GATCCATCGAGTCACCTTCTCACAACGACACTAGCTAGTCACATATCACCATGACTAGCTACACCGTAGCTCACTAGCTAGCGCTCTTAGTTTTGTGACGTACAAAGGCGCAAGTGTGTGCTAGCTGCTTTACCTGATTGGGCTCAAAAGAGAACACCCAAAGATTCGATCCAGATCGTACTATATACTCCTACTATACGGGGATAGTCACCGTTAATGTACATTGTGCTTGTCTAAGCATCAATCGACGTCCAAGTCTAAGCCATCAATTGTCGAAAGAGAAGTAGCAAATTAAACCACGAGCAGTCCTCTAATGCTACACGTAATTAATTGGACTTGCTATTTCATCAGTCAACGGTCGATTTCTCTTTAAATTTCAGTTAATTCTTTTTGAATGTCTAGGAATACCTCAAGCAGTCAAGCTTCGTACTACTCTATAATTTACATTTCTTTCCTTCTAACGTGCACTGATTAACACCTCTCATTACTCACACAACGTCACCACCATACACGTCATCTGTCGGCCTCCCTCCACCTCCACCTTATTAGGACTACCTAGATTTATCATGCTACACTCTAATCGTCGACTGTTTTCTCATCCTCTACCATTGCCACCATATTGTCTCGCTGTCATTGCGCCTCTGCATCAGTCCTGGCATGACACCGTCCGATACCCTCCTCCATCCACTCACCACCTTCACGTTTTTTTTTTTTTGCCTACCACCAGTCTTTCACCACCCAAGCCATCCCTTTGAAGCCCTCTCACCGTTTCCTATGTCTTAAACCTTCCCCAACACAAAAACTTTAGTCCATAGGTAGTCTATCAGAGGTTTCATTGCCGCAACCGTCTAATCTATCAGTCCGCCATCTCCCAACCTCTCCTCTCTTCTTGTCCAAAGAGAAATAGTAAACCACAATTCAAGATTGAAGATGATGCTCTGACCATTATATTTTGATCTAATGACCAGGGTTAGGTATAATTTGTAATTTGCACAAATTTTAGTCACTTGATGAATAGCAAAGGTGTAATTAATTTCCGATCATAAGAGGAATAATGAACAAATCAATCAACGCATCCTCAATATTATGATATAATAGACGGTAAACAAGTTGTACTGTACCATGGCTATCTATCTATGCATGAAAGATACAATCATACTACAACTAGTACGTAGCAGTGGACACTAGAAAAAAGTTGAAAAAACAAGAGCAAGAAAAAAGGAATAGGGTAGCTAGAGGGTACTACAAGCATAGGAGGCCTTTGTACCTCACTCACGTCAGACACCAACATATGACAGATCCCAGCTTGTTCCCCTTGCAAAGAGGTTAAAAGCCCAAGTGCCAAGCCGTGGACAGCACCGGCCGGGCCTTTCGATGATGATGACCAATTGCATGGACGGTTGTTGCTGATGCTGTCCTCGGGATGCTCCTCTTTTGCTAGCAAAACCATCCAGCCAAGCTGGATGTGGATGAGTTCGCCGGAGATTTCTTTGTCTGAAACGGACAGACACGACTCGACGTAAAGAAGGCGACCTTTTGCTCTTTGGAGCGTGTCATTTGGCAAAGATCAGGATGGGATCACGCAACCCAGCTCCCTAAAAAACGAAGGGGCAATCTTCTTTCTTTTCTTTTTCTTTTTTGGTCACAATATTTTGAATTAAAATGTAAATATAATTGTTCAATTTCGATATGATCAGTTCGTGGCGTGGTGGCATAGTAACTTCTATTCGGTGGCTACTGGGCACAGGCTACTGTTGCGATCTCAGATCGTACAACGCCGTGGGATATGATTCGGGTGTGTACAGGAGCATGTATGCCGTCATCCGCCCGCAAAACGAAGCAGGAAAGCCGTGTCGTCCGCGCGCGGCGGCACAGCCACAGCCTACGCCGACGCCGACGCCGACGCCGAGACGCTCGATCGGTGGAGCCGGAAACACACAACAGACAAGCCGTGCGGGCGGCGCACCTGGCGTGACGCGCCCGCCCCACCACTGCACGCGGTGCTCAGCACAGCAGCGCGTCGTGCAGCCGTGCCCCGCGCGCGGTGCTGAACTGTGAAGGCCTTGGCTCCTTGCGCTGTCGCGGGCGCGGATGCATGCGGCGCTGCATGAGTGGGCTGGTTTAGTTGAGGAAAAAGTCCACTTTAACTCCCTTAAAAGTATGCCGAATCTAATTCGTACCCCTTAACCAGAAAACCGGGTAGAATGACTCCCTCAACTATTAAAACTGGTATAATTTGACTCTCTCGGCAGTTTTGAAGGGCGGTTTTGCTGACGTAGCGCTTTGACCCGGTCCAACCGGCTGACTCAGCATATGGACCCCACATGTCAATGTCACATTTTCCTCTTCTCTCTTTCTTTTCTCGTTTCCCCCAATCTTTCTCCATGGCGCTACGCGATGGCTGGCGGCGATGTCTTCTCTGCGCTCGTGCCGTTGCCACTGGTGGAGTACGCCGAGCGCCGCCACACGAGACGGACACCACAGGATTGTTGTCACGGGAGACGGTGATGAAGGCGACCACGGTGTTCGACTAGAGATGGAGGATCACCGCCGTGAGACAAGGAAGCAGAAGAACCCCCTCGGTGCGCGCCTCGCCTATTGAATCCCATCTCCCCCTTTTAGGCTTTCACCACTCATTCGCGATGCAATGTCGATCTCCCTCGTAGGTGGTGGCGGTGGCGACCTGCGTCGAAAGCGGAGGAGAAATTTGCATATGTGCCATCCTTAAAAACTGGCTTCGCTAGAATGCCATCATCAAAATGGGATTTGCTCGAATGCCACCCTTAAGCTGTGGGCATTCGCTACAATGCCATTTTCGCTATTTCTTGCACTTGTAAATTATTTTCCATCCATTTCATTTTTTCTCGGACCTTTTTGCCCCGGGCTTCATCTTCTTTCTTCTCTCATCCTCTCCTCTCTTCTCTCTCCACCCGCAGGGAACCGAGAGGGGGCGACGTCGGCGCGCCGGCGCTAGGGAGGGAAGCGGGCCTAGCGGCGCAAGCGCGCGGAAGGAGGCGGCGACGGCGGTGGCGACAGGGGCCGAAAGTGCAAGAAATAGCGGAAATGACATTGTGGCGAATGCCCACAGCTTGAGGGTGGCATTCGGGCGAATCCCATTTTAACGATGGCATTCTAGCGAAGCCAGTTTTTAAGGATGGCACATATGCAAATTTCTTTAAGTGGAGCAATGACATGGGCCAAGGCGAATCAACACCGTGGCCTTGAGGCGAAGCGGTGGTTGGATCTCCTGACGCGTGGCATTGCCCCGGCCTTGATCGGAGTGGCGGTGGCAGGACCTAGAGGGGGAACGGCGATGGGCCGACTTGGAGATGAAGCGGTGGCGCGGTGCGCCCAAACGCCCTACCGCCAGGTGCGGCTCGACCCACTCGGACCCCGGCTGACACAGGAACAGCCCCGCCGCGCCGCCTCGCTCCGACACGAATGTTACCTCCTCCCCGCCATCACCGATGAACTGCGGTGCGTTAAAGTTCACGGATACGCCGTCCCGTGTGGCGCGCTCGGCATACTCCACCAGCGGTAGCAGCACGGGTACAGAGAAGACGTCGCCGCTAGTCACCGCGCAGCGCCATGGAGAAAAAGAGGGGAAAACGAGAAAGAAAGAAGAGGAAAATGTGACATTGACATGTGGGTCCCATATGGCTGAGTCAGCCGGTTGGACCGAGTCAAAGTGCCACGTCAGCGAAACCGCCCTCCAAAACCGTTGAGGGAGCCAAATTATACCGGTTTTAATAGTTGAGGGAGTCATTCTACCCGGTGTTCTGGTTAAAGGGTATGAATTAGATTCGGCGTACTTTGAAGGAGTCAAACTGGACTTTTTCCTTTAGTTGATAGACGTGGGCTGGTGACCTCTTCTTTTTCGTGGTGAGTGGGTCGCGATGGCCTCGCAGCGACGCGGCCCACGTACGCCACTTTGACTCGGCTTCGGTGTGCCGGCTTGAGACTTTGGCTTGACGACGTACGTCCGTCGCCTACGCGGCGGGATATTCCGCCGCACCTCGCCAATATCCTCCTCCTCCTCCCTGCATGGAGATCTCCGGAGCTTCGGCTGTTGGATTCTTGCGCACGGCACCCTGCTTTTCACGGTTTTTGTGTTCCATGAGTGTACGCAGCGCCATAAGACGAAACTCCAGATTGTCACAGTTAGCTGTTGAGAATATAGAAAAACTACTGGATTTTCTTGTATCTTCTAGCTTCAGTTTAATTTTTAAATTCTATAATACAAATTTTGTGAGAATCTAGACTATTTAGATAGATGAAGATTTTTTTAAAAAATTATTCACTCCAACATATGCTTACGTAATTTTTTTCAAAGATGTCCAGATTCATAGTTTTAGGATAGGTCTAATCCCATCCTAGGTTCTAATATATTGGGACGGAGGGAGTATTCCCTAAGTCACTGTTTAGTTTCCAAAAACTTTTCACGAAAACATCATATCGAATCTTTGGACACATGTATAGAGCATTAAATATAGATAAAAAGAAAAACTGATTGTACAGTTTGCATATAAATCGCGAGACGAATCTTTTGAGTCTAATTAGTCCATGATTAACCATAAGTGCTACAGTAACCCACATGTGCTAATGACGGCTTAATTAGGCTCAAAAGATTCGTCTCGCGGTTTCCAGACAAGTTATTAAATTAGTTTTTTTCATTTATGTCCGAAAACACCTTCCAGCATACGGTCAAACGTCCGATGTGATACCCAAAAATTTTCATTTCACCAAATAAAAAGACCCTAAATGTGAGTGACAATGGCTTCTTTTTGTCATGATAAAAGTGCAGTCGTCATCTTTTCATCCCTTTCTCATCATACGAAGAAAGTCAAATGCTCGTGCTTTATTTTTAATCCACCCAACCAGTTAATCCCTAACTATATGAGCATGGTTCCTTGTAAAACATGGGCATAATACTAGTCATGCCTTTAGTAAAATTTAAAACTTCAAGCATATAAACATTATTTCGTATATTACATTGGACAGAATTATTTGCTTAAATTTGTCTTAAAAATTTCTTGTACTTGATTTTTTTAAAATTGCTCATCGAGCAAAGGTCCTATTTGCAAGAGTAGCATCTTCTGCCCGTTGGCCGTTACCAATTTCCCTCTACCAGCAAGACTACCGCTGCAAGAAGATCCAACTCAAACATCAACGCGGCGAGGGTTCCGAGATCGGGAGGCGAGGCCGCGCCACGCCGCGCCGCGCCGCGCCGCCGGCGATGGAGGAGGCGGCGAGGCGGACGCTGGTGCTGGTCAACCTGGCGGCCATCATGGAGCGCGCCGACGAGGCGCTCCTCCCGGCGGTGTACCGGGAGGTCGGGGAGGCGCTGCGCGCCACGCCCGCGGCGCTCGGCGCCCTCACGCTGTGCCGCTCCTCGGTGCAGGCCGCCTGCTACCCGCTCGCCGCCTACGCCGCCGTCCGCTACGACCGCGCCCGCGTCGTCGCGCTCGGGGCCTTCCTCTGGGCCGCCGCGACCTTCCTCGTCGCCGTCTCCGACAACTTCGCGCAGGTCTGATTCCAATTCCCCTCGGAATATCTCGATTCCTGCTTTTTAGTTGTTACCAAATATTCCAGTCTGTTTCACTTTACCTTGCCGAAGATCTAGGCCCGTTCATAGCAAAATTTGTCCAATTCTGCTGTTCAGAACTCCAGATCGCATTTCGGATCGAAGGATGGACGCATTTTGTACCTCTAGGATTCAGTAGTCTCAGCTGGCCATTTTTGTTGATTATTCAACATGTGAGTATTTGACCGTGCTATTCTAAGCTTGTGTGCTATAAATACATTCATGTATTGGGCACACCGATCTGAGCTGATTCCGTGGATATAGTGACGAATCATACGATGCAGACCTCTATTTGAATCCAGCTTTAATTTTCAGGCATGAATTTCCTGTCTGTTTATTTTTCTTGTTATGTTACTAGGTGAGATCTGATATTAGAATAGGCTGGTGTAACCAATAATGTTGGCAAGTTACAGCAGTTAAATAGAGAAAACTATTCTGCCTATAGAATTAAGAGTTGGCATGACCTTATCTTACTTGAAATGACAATTATTTTGTGTAGGTAGCTGTAGCAAGAGGAATGAATGGTATTGGGCTAGCACTTGTAACCCCTGCTATTCAATCTTTGGTGGCAGACTACTCCGATGACAATTCACGGGGATCAGCATTTGGATGGCTTCAACTTACTGGAAATTTGGGGTCTCTGATAGGAGGGTTGTTCTCCATCATGCTAGCATCTACTACATTCATGGGCATTGCTGGTTGGCGCATTGCCTTTCATGTTGTTGCTCTCATCAGTGTCACAGTTGGTATATTGGTTCGCCTATTCGCGGTGGATCCTCATTATATCAATTTTGGAAACAAAAAGCAGCATGTCCGCAAGTCTGCTTGGAGAGAAATGAAGGATTTGGTGGTGGAAGCTAAGGCTGTTGTGAAAATACCATCTTTTCAAATCATTGTAGCGCAGGGAATTACAGGTTCATTTCCATGGTCTGCCTTATCATTTGCTCCAATGTGGCTGGAGTTGATGGGTTTTACGCATAAGGGAACTGGAATTCTCATGGTCACATCTGCAGTAGCAAGCTCACTGGGAGGACTGTTTGGTGGAAAAATGGGGGATTATCTTGCTAAGCACTATCCAAATTTTGGTAGAATAGTCATATCTCAGATAAGCTCCGCTTCTGCAATTCCTCTTGCGGCTCTTTTACTGCTAGGCTTGCCTGAAGACCCATCTACAGGTTTTTTGCATGGTTCAGTCATGTTCATTGTGGGATTTTGCATCTCCTGGAATGCTCCTGCTACAAACAAGTAAGCAACATGTACCAGTTCGTTGCTTTCTTTGATATTGAAAGAATTTGTCAAAGAAACTAAAATTTCAGTACTCTAAAGTCATGTTTTGTGCAAAACCGTAATCCATTTTGGAATTTTGGAAAAATAGTAGTTCTTTCCGAAGGTAAAATATAATCTTGAGATGGAAAACTAAAGATATGTTACAAAATTTATGTGTTCTGGATGATGTACCAGCCTTTTCATAATTTCTTGATTAGAGCCAAAAGGCATAGCATAAGTTTTTTGAAAAGGAGGAATCATATTATATATCATGTCATGAGAATAATAGCAGTAAACTTCCAAATTCCTACTGATTTGACTATATGTGTTTGTGATTATTCCTACTGATTTGACTAATTTGTTTTTGCCTGTAGCCCTATATTTGCAGAGATTGTTCCTGAGAGATCAAGGACTAGTATTTATGCACTCGATCGTTCCCTTGAATCTTTATTTGCTTCATTCGCTCCACCAGTTGTCGGGTATCTAGCAGAGCATGCATACGGCTACAACCCAATCACTTATGGAGTTGGCATAAGCAGTGTTGAGAGGGACAAGGAAAATGCCGCTGCCCTAGCCAAGGCTCTTTACACGGCAATAGCCATCCCGATGCTACTCTGTTGCTTCATCTACTCCCTGTTGTACCAAACATATCCTCGAGACAGGGAGAGGGCAAGAATGGATTCGCTGATAACTTCAGAGCTGCAGCGGATTGAACCGGACAGATCTCATCGGACCAGTGATTATTACAATGGGGAAGGTGTGTCGGTGATCAATATTGAGTATGGGGAGGAAGGGGTGGATGCTGACGATGATGAGAAACCATTAATGCAGTTCCGAATTGAACAAAGCGCGGCTGACAAATGACCTAGACGTGAGAAGTGTGAGAATACAGGCAAACGACAATGTGATTTAGCAGATCTTCAGGTCTGTGTTCATACTCTACAGGATAATCATACCAGCAGTTTTTTTTTATCTACAGAAATCTCTGACAGCACAAATTCTTTAAAGATGATAGCTTCCTCAATAGCTAACGTATATAGGAAATAATGTTGGTTAGTTGGTTAATTGGTTTTATGTGACGGACCTTAGTGATTAGCAAGATTTTTGTGGGCCAGGAGAAGGGAGACTCTAGGTTGAAATGGCATGTGATCTTTGGTCACCAGTTCTATTGTCTACTGTTTTAACTGTTTGAGCCTATAATTTGATGGAATCATACAGCAGTTTTGTAAGATTCAGAAATATTACTGGTTAGAATTTATAGTTGCTCAGTTGTGTAGGCCCGTCTAGCTCAGTCGGTAGAGCGCAAGGCTCTTAACCTTGTGGTCGTGGGTTCGAGCCCCACGGTGGGCGTTGTTTTTTCTCTGTTTTCTAATACGTTTTTTTTGTCTATAAATAAATTTTTTTTGAGGGGAAGACGGCAGGAGCTCTGCCAATTTCATAAAAGGAGGAGCAGAAAAGGAGGTCGTTTTACAAGCCAGCCATGCAAGCTGAGGGCAAGCGTACAGCTTGCGAGATTAAAAACAGATGGGAAACCCCAATCTTGAGAAAGTGAACTGCAACAAGAAGTAGAAGGCGTAGAAAACTCATCTAGGAACTAAGGGCTTCATCAAACTCTTTGCACAAAGCAATGATGAAATTAACGACCTGAGCTACCGAGTTGTAAATGTCATTGAAAATCCTTCCATTTCTTTGCAGCCAAATGCCCCAGGCAGTGTAGATGAAAAGGCCATCAAAATTACGTCTTTGTTCCTTAACTAGCTCCTTCCTGCAAGCCTCCCACCAATCTAGCAAACGCCCCGGAAAAAGAGAGGGTGAAGGCATGTGTAGGCCAAGCTTGTTCCACATGGAGCTCCAAACTTGTCTTGCGAAGGCACAATCCATGAGTAGGTGATTAGCCGTTTCTGGTTCAATGCCGCAGAGGGGACAGATCTCACTGTTATCCCAGCCCCTTAGTTGAAGTTTATCAGCAGTGAGGATTTTTCTGTGAATCATCAGCCAGCCAAAGAATTTGCATTTATTTTCCGTTTTGGCCTTCCAAACGAAAGTTGATCTGTTGTCCTGTATACTTCCTAGAAACTGGATCCTGTAAGCCGAGCTAGCCGAATAGCATCCATTTGGGGTCCATCTCCATGATATGGAATCCTCAATGCCATCCTGCAAATGAATTTGCTGCAGAGAGTGCCAAAGAATGATGAACTCCCTGACTTGGACCGTGCTGTTCATTCTCCGCATCTGACGAAGCCAGCGATTATCGCCAAGTTCCTGGGCAACCGTCCTGTTTTTCCTGGATGCGATCTGAAATAAGGATGGGGCAATATCTTTAGGAGCTTTACCTTCCAGCCATCGTTCATGCCAGAATTTGGCTTTGTTACCATTTCCTAAGGAGATGATGGTGGAGGCCCTGAAGAGTTGCTTATCTGTTTCATCACAGGGAAGGTTTGAGCCCTGCCACAGTTTGTCCTGAGCTGTCCAATCATACCATAACCACCTCAGTCTGAGTGCACGACCAAAAAGTTCCAAATTAGTAATGTCGAGTCCCCCTAATTAAATCTTTTGATCTGCAAACCCTCTTCCAGTTGACTAGACAGTGACCTCCATTAGCCTGCTCAGAACCTGTCCATAAGAAAGCCCTGCGAATCTTGTCTATCTTTTTCTCTACCCATTTCTTGAGGGGGAACACCGTGAGGTGATAGGTTGGCAAAGCTGAGAGGGTAGACTTGATTAGAACCGCTCTACCTGTTTTGTTGAGAAGTTTTCCTTTCCAGGTAGGAAGGCGAGCAGCAAATCTGTCAATTAGGGGTTGAACATCAAGCCTCCGAAGCTTTCTGATGTGCAGAGGTAGGCCAAGGTAGGAGCACGGGAATTCTTTCAACTGGGCTGGGAAGGGGGAAAGAATATCCTGGAGGTCTAGATCTTTGCATCTGATGGCGTAAACCTCACTTTTTGTTAGGTTAGTGATCATTCCCGTTGCTCGTCCAAAGTGAAGAAGGATAGCCTGCACTGCCTGTATCTCATCCTTGACCAGCCTGGTGAAAATGACAGCATCATTTGCATATAGAGCCATGTTAAAGCGGGCAGTTCTCCTATGAAGGGGCTGCAGCAAGCCTTCATCCTGTGCAGCCACAAGAAGGTTTTGAAGCGGGTCTATGGCTAGAATGAAGAGAATCGGAGATAACGGGTCACCCTGCCGTAGGCCCTTGCCATGCATGAAACTGCTACCTGCTCTTCCATTTAGGAGGACCTTAGAAGAAGAAGAACCAAGAATGGAGCAGATCCAACCTAGCCATCTGCTACCGAACCCCAGCGTCCTAAGCCTGTCAAGAAGGTAAGGCCAGCTGACTGAGTCGAAGGCTTTGGCAATGTCTAATTTGAGGAGAATTGCCGGGGTCTTGGAAGAATGGAGCTCTTTGACCAAGTTGTTGACGAAGAGGAAGTTGTCCTGTATGTTTCTTCCTTTTATGAAAGCGCTTTGATTGTGGGACACAAGCTGTTGAAGTTTCGGAGCTAATTTGTTTGCAAGGAGCTTTGAAAAGAGTTTCCCAAATGCATGGATGAGGCTTATGAGTCTGAATTCACTGACACGAAGAGCATTCTCTTTTTTTTGGAAGCAAAGCAATGTAGGCTAAAATCAAAAGCCATAGACTTTGAGAGGAGTGATTTGCCACCTGATTTATTGCCTGTGTGATATCTTCATGAATGATGTCCCAATATTTTTTTAAAAAAAGCACCTGTGAAGCCATCTAGACCCGGGGAGTTGTCTGAACGGGATTGAAAAATTGCACTTTTGATTTCTTCAACTGAGAAAGGTGCTTCTAGATCAGCGAGGTCAAGGTTGTGTTCCTGTAAGGAGGGATTGATCACAGCGGAGTGCTGCTTGTAAACATTGAAAAGTTCTTGTCCTTTTTCTTCATGAGAGTGAACCATCCCGGAGTCTGTCAGGAGGTGTTGTATGAAGTTTTTCCTTCTTCTCGCGCTAGCTTTGATTTGAAAGAACCGAGTGTTTGCGTCACTTGCTTTGATCCATACTTGTCTGGATCTTTGACGAAGTCGCACCCTGTCTAGGGCTGCTAGACCTAAGAGCTTCTGCTTAAGGGATCTTCTGAAAAGGATCTCCTGAGCTGAGAGGTTCCGCTCTTCCTGTGCTAAGTCTAGTCTAAGGATCAGCTCAGAAGCTATCTCCATTCTCAACTTTAGACTCCTAACTCTGCATCTGCTCCAGTTTCTTAGTGCTTTCGCCGTTCGGGCTAACTTGATATGAATTCTTTTCAGGGCATCAGGCGAGTGGACCGTTTTGACCAGGCAGACTACACAGTTTCTAGGAATCCTGGGAGCCTTATCCAGTATTTTTCAAACCTGAGAAGGTTGCATTTAGGCCCCGAAGGGTTTGCAGTTAGCAGCAGAGGACAATGATCTGAGACCATCGTAGAGATAGCTGAAAGCAAGCAATTTGGGAACCTTTCTTCCCACTCATGTGAGCAAAACACCCTGTCAATTTTTGTTAAGGTTGGTATTTCTGTTTCGCTGGACCAGGTGTAGCGACGGCCATTTAGTTTTATTTCAATAACTTCCAACGTGTTTAAAGCCGCCCTAAAGGACTGCATCATGCCCCTGTTAAGATTGCTGTTATTTTTGTCGGAGTCCTGGACAATGAGGTTGAAATCACCTAAGATCATCCACTTTTGATTTACTGTGTTCTTTGTTTGCTTTAGTTCCTCCAGAAAATCTCTTTTTTCATTGTATGGTTGTGGTCCATACACCCCTGTTATGCTCCAAGCCGAGCCATCTTCTTTTTCTTTTAAATTTGCCATGATCGAGTAAACACCTGTTTGCACACTTTCAATCGAGTATTTTGAGTCAGACACTGCCAGCAGGATACCTCCTCTTGTACCTGTAGCCGGCGGGAAACAGAAATTATCTGCAAACGAAGGACCTAGAACCCTGTTGACTATTGCTTGATCAAAGAACTCTAATTTAGTTTCTTGAAGGCATACACAGGAGCAGTTTATGTCCATGACAAGGTTTCTGACAACCTGCTGATGGGCTGTGGAGTTTAAGCCTCTAACATTCCAACTCAAAATGGCACAATCATTTGTAGACATTTAACGGGATGGGCACCTGCAGTATCCCAAGCGGATGGAGGAGCACAACCTGTAGGAATGGTGAGGCTTGAAGCATAGTAGAGAAGCAAAACACAGTCGCAGGAAGAGATGAGGTAGAGCTTGGCCGGTAGAGGCAACTGAGCACTTCATTTTCTGTAGAGACATGACCTGGATACATGACTGAAGGACCATCCTTACTAGATCGAGGTCTAACTAGGTACAGGGGGAGCATGAGGCACAGCATAGAAGAACAAAGCCAACTAGAGCTACAGGAGCTCCAAAAGAAACTAAACTACTCTAAACCCCTCAGGAGAAGCAAACAACCCATTTCACTACTACAGAGACTCATGACAGCAAAAGGGAACAACACATCGAGAAGCGACGAAGCCAACTAAGTCTTCTTCTTGCTGTCACCAATGGCGCAGCCAGCCACCAGAGCAGAGAAGGCATCCATGACCTCCTGAGAGAGAGGCTGCTTGAAAAGCTTGACGTATTTGGCCATTGCATCCTCAGTCTTCTTGCCGTCCTCAGGGAGCAGGCCAGCCTTCTTCATCAGCAGCTCATGAGCGAGGTCACCTTGCTTGGCCGGAGAGGAACGAGCGGCTGCCTTCTTGGCCAACCGAGCACTCTTGCGGCCCGCCTGGCTAAGACGAGTCGGGCTCTTCTTCAAGAGCTTTCCCTTGGAGACCTGGCGCGTGGGAGTTTTGAGCAGAGGAGGCTGCACCACTGCGAAGGCCTGGGACAGGAAATCTGCAAGCTTGTCTGGGGAGATCATCAGAGGCAACTGGGAAGGTTGAGATTGGGCAGCCCGAGAGACCTACATCAGCACGGCGGACTGGGACGCCTGGGCAGCTACCAGCTCCTCCAGCATAGGGTCAGCCTCCATCACGTACTGGTTGGCCTGAAGAGGGGTGGCCTGGGTGATCGGGTCCTATGGGGGTGTAGAAGGGGGGCGAGACAGCTGGGAGCCGCCATCCTTCATCGCTGCAGGAACCGACAGCGATGGCGGGGGGGATGACCTTCCACACGGAGACCTTGAGCGAGCGGCCCTCACCGGAGAGCAAGCTGCCCTGCGGTGACCACCCCCGTAGGACCCACCTATGTTCTTCGAAGACCTGGAAGAGGAGCGCCTGGGGAAAGCTGAGCTGCGAGCAGGAGGGACATCCCAACCCAAGGGGCGGCGGCGCTCCCTCGCTGGCGGAGAGCGGGAACGTGAGCGCGAGCGATCTCTGCCTGGGCCCGGGCTAGGGGAAGCCGGAGGCTGAGGGGCAAGAGTGCCATCCTTGACGCTGAGGCTCCAGATAAAATCATGACGCTTTGGGATTTCTTCTGTCATCAAGACAGGGGAGATGATTCCGCTGGCCTGACTCCCTGGACTATACATCCAAGTTGGCTCAGTTGGCGGTGGGTTGAAGTTGAGCACCTGATCGAGATGCACGAGCACCGGGTAGGCCAGCAGCTTGGGAGGGGAAGTCCTCTGCCGAGCCTCTCCGTCCAGGTCCCAGCGTGAGTCTGGGGAGCGTGGGGACAGCGGTTCTTCAAGCTCGAAGTGCACCTCCTTGGGATGGAGTCTGGATCGTCCACCCACAGCCAGGCGCAGAGGCAAGCTGTCTCGTTCTCCGTTCTTGGCTCATCAAGGTCCTAGATCAAGCAACCTTCATCAAGCAGACCTGTAACTGTCTCTGCCGACCTAGCGTGGCTGGGGATGCCTTCAAAGCAGACACGAATGCTGAAGCGCCATTTGACCAGCTCTGCCTGGACGCGTCTCGACCACGGGAGCACCGAGAGGTCAATGTCCTCCACAGCAAAAGGGCTTGCCGCAACCATCATGTCCCTGAGCGACCGAGAGGTGCAGGTGACCAGGTAGCCTCCTTTTGGGAAGACGACAACATTGAGGTCCTCATGAGGAACCTAAAACCTGGACGCCAGCAACCTGTTGATCTGTCGCATGTTCGTCACTGGGAGATTGCCTGTAACCTGTACCACCGCTGCGGAGTGAGAAAGGAAACTTTCGTCCTCACGGATGGCCGATGTCCTGGGCAGGACGCGCTGGATGCTGTCCGGCCTGTTGGCTGGTTCCCCTGGGCGCGTCATTGCCGGGAGCGGAGGGAAAACAAGCCGACTGGCTAGCGGAGGAGCAGGAGTGGGGCGAGGAGGCTGGACCCCCCTATGCCATTGTCTGTCTCCCGGGCACCAGCGGGCTTTGTGGCCAGAACCGCCACAGAGAATGCACCTAAGGGGGTCTCTACAGGAAGCAACTCGGTGGTCCTGAGCTAGACAACGGAAGCAGTGACACCCCGCTCTTCAAAGGTTGAAGAGGCTCTTTAAAGCAACTCGGTGGTCCTGAAGGTGCTTGGGCTACGAGGGGAAAGGTTGGTGGCGATCAGTGAATGCAAAGGGAAGCTGAGGAGGAGCAGCGGATTGAAGGCGCATGAATGCCGAAGGCCGTTGGGCAGGTCTCTTCCTCCACCAATGCTTTGGCTTCACTGTCTGCCAAACTTGAAGACGGGTGGCAGTCTCAGACTGAAGATTTACCGGGATTGCTTTGGGAAGCTGCGAGGGCGAAGTCATTCCTCTTGCTGCTTGAACGAAGCTACCCTGAGGAGTAACTCCCTTTACCTTCAAGCCGGAGGGCACAGGAGGAGTAAATCCTTCACCCACCCTGCGCAGCAAAATCGGGGCTGCCTGAAAACCTGAAGAACCTGTGGAGGGGGGAACTTGCTGGATCTTGGCTGGCACCACGGGGGGACGCGCATCCGCTGCCTCACTGACCAGATCTGCCGGGAGGAATTGAGGGCGAAGCAGATCTGGCGAATCCCCATCCGAGCAGTCGCCGGAGAGGGAGCCGAGGCTGACTCTCTCCGGAAAGGGAGGAGAGCCGAGGAAGGAACCTGTGCTAGCGGGGGAGGACACCGGGGCCGGGCTGGACGGCGGAGGAGGGGTGGGCACCTGGGCCGGAGCGGCACCCGGCAAGGGGGCGAGAGGAGGAGGAGGAGACGCGTCGACCATTTTTCTTGTCTATAAATAAATTGAGTTTGAGGACTTGAGTACATGACATTCATAGTTCACAGCCCTGATTGGCGTCGTTCTCTCTCTCTTTTCTAATAGTTTTTGTTTCTATAAATTGAGTTTGAGGACTTGAGTACTTGACAGTTGACATTCATGGTTCATGGCCCTGATTAACATGGATGGTTTAGTAAGATAAGAATGTTACTAACACGGGGAAGATGTTTCGGTGATTGATACAATAGTGTTTGAATCTCCTGAAAATGAAGATGAAGATAAAGATTAAGTGTTTCACGCAAAACGGGGTGGTAACAATGTGTGATTAATTGAGTTTTGATTATTACAAACTTGAAGTATGGATTAATCTTATATTTTAGAACAACTTTCATATAGAAAGTTTTCGCATGAAACACACCGTTTAGTGGTTTGAAAAGTGTGTCACTTTTATCCAAAAGTTTATCCAGTTTTTGTTAGAGAAGAAAAGGGCCGAGTATGAGGAGGAAGGCTTGGATGCTGACTACGGTGACAAAACACTAATGCACTACGAACTGAACAAAGTGCAGCTGCCAAATGAACTAAACAGACTACAGACAAACAATGTGATTTATCAGATCTCCAGGTCGGTATGAACCTACAGTAATACCAGTAGTATTTTTTACAGGAATCTCTGGAAGTACTGATTTTCTGAAGGTGAATAGTTTTCTTCAACAGCTAACATGTACAGGTAAGAATGTTGATTAATTGATTATATGTTTGGGACCTTAGTGATTGGCATGATTTGGAAGAACACTGCTTTATAATTTTCCTTTAACAAATCTGTCACAGCATATATACGAATGTGTTGCTGTAACCCCCAAACACACACACACACACACACAATGCAGGCTGTCCTTTAACACCATGGCATCATGACAGCTCACTGAACCCCCAAGAGAAAACCTACTTAATTTAAGAAATCCTTATATGAGAGTATGAGACAACCTACTTAATTTAAGAAAACATTATGTCTTGTATACACTGGGAAACAGTAGTTACTGCGGCAAAAAAAACATTGGGAAACAAGCTTTCCCTTCAAGATTTACTTCCAATTCAACCCACAAAACAGAAACCTGCCATCAGTTTGGTGCCTTGCTCCAGCGACTGATTTGGTGCCAGAATGCGATAATCAGCATGGGTTTCGGTCAAAATCGACAAGGATATCCATGAGAAATTGCCAGCAGAAGCAAGCAATGTTCACGAACATGGCCTCAGGGATGAACCAGGAGGCAAGAACAAACCAGGGTACGGTAAGATGGCAGGGACCCTTTCTCAGTAGCAACAGATAGCTCAAAAATAAAAGCATCCTGTAACGTGATACGGAGAACATCAATGGTTACTACTGATAAGTGGTAACCATGATTGAACGGCCCACTATTCAAATATGACCTGCACAATGAAGAACTGATAAAAACATACACAATTCAAATAAGCCCAGCTGGTGACAAAAGATTCATTATAAGTTCACAACATTAGCATTGTGTCATCAACTCCAAAATACTTAGACATGGACCAAACTACAGTCAGATAATTGAGGTTTCCCCAAAAGAACTTAGTCACCACACTAAGGCTGAGGCCTGACGAATTCGGATGAAGTTAACATCAGTAAATCAATCAACCTACAATGGTCCAGGACAACTAATAATCACTGCGAGATTGCATGGCAACACACCTTCGCTTCAATCCCAAGGGAACAGCCATGTTGCAGAAATCATCTCATGCTTCCAGGCCATCGGCAGAGGGGAAGAGACCTCGGCGCTCCTCATGTCGTAGACATTGACAGAAGTGGTCTCCTCCTCATAGGAATACTCCTTGTTATTCTCCATAACATCATCAAGGAAGAAGATTTGGTCATTTGGCATCCCGTACTGAGACGCGGACACTGCCTTAGAGCATGGCCGTCCAAGGAAAACCATCTGATCAACCCCAAGGGTTGTCACATTCACCCACCGTGAGTTCTCCAAATCAGCCTTGAACACCTCAAACTCGTTCTGTCCAGGCACGACGGTCTTGCCTACCACTCTGCAGCAAACCTTCCTGCGTACCATCAGCAATACACCACATGATTCAACTAGGTAGAGCTTCTTTTTGTCCGTTGTGCTTGTGTCGTCGTCATCCGTAATCAGAACTGAAGACCAGGTGGGATCGCCCTTGATGACCTGCCCAATTTGGGAGATCTGTGGATCGCCGGTGTTTGGATCCTGGCTGATGTTGACGACAAGGAGGTTCTCATCATGAGCGAGGGCGTACAGCTTCCCCCGGTAGAATGCCATGTCTTCAAACAGCTTGCACTTGTCATAAGCTCGTACCGACCATGAGGACGCCCCTGGCTGGCACACTAGAATCTGGCTGTTGCGTCCAGCATTGGCGAGTGAGCTGCCGATGAACGCGGCGACGAGGTTCTGCGAGCACAGGAGTAGCTTGTTTATGGGCATCTTGTCCGAAGTCTTGATATGCATCCAAGTAGCGTGAGGGTAGAACATGCTGACATGTGCATTACGCCCTGCGATCCCAACATTTACATAACTAGCAACCGCATTTGGGGGTCGGAGCCGGACACGGGACAGGGCGGGGAGCGTCACGGTGGCGCCGGCGAAGGGGTCGACCAAGAAGCAGCCGTCGTCGTGCGGGAAGACGAGCCAGCGGCCGCAGGCGGCGGTCTTGTAGCCGGCGCAGCCGGCACGAGGGAAACGGAAGGGCTTGCCGTAGGGGAGGCAGTAGAAGGCGCCGTCCGGGAGCGCGAGCAGCGGCAGGGGCGCCGGCAGGAGGGCGTTCCGCGCGGCGCCGCGCCACTGCGGACACACGGCGGCGAAGCAGGCTCTGTCCACTTGGGCCGGGAGGAAGCGGAGCACCTGGACGGCCAGGTCCCGCGGGATGTCCGCCCACGACGGCGGCTGCCTCTGCTGCCTGGCGCGCGCCGCCGTTGCCTCGTCCTCCGCCATGGCGCGCCCGCCGAGGTCAAACCTTTGCATACAGCAAGAAAGACACCGAGACATCACGCGAGCGTTAGCGCTACATCATCACGGGGAACGAACGCATCAGGATCCAAACAAACCCCACAAGGAAACGGTGCGGTCCGCACGAGGGCAATACGTCGAACACCTCGCGTGCACGGGCAATGCCACAGCACACACCGAGGCAAATGGGGATTTTTTTTTTCTTTTGGGGGGGAACTTTCACATGGGAAAAACAAATAAACCCCATGGGGATTGGCTGCATATTCCCCTCCAACCGTTTGTTTGTTTGGATAATGGCGGATCGGAAGGAGAAGGCTCTATTTCAAACTCTAGAAGATTAAAAAAATGAAAATCTATAGAATATACCCGAGAAATCCCAAAAAATAGTACATATAAATTCGAAAAAAGAAATCGCCTAGAATCAAATGGGAGGGATGAGAACGAGAATGCAGAGGAGGAGGAGGGCAACCTGAAACCCCAACGCAGCCGGGGAAGAGCAGCAGTATGGAGTGGGGGAAGAGAACCGGAGAAGCGGCGTGTGCCGGGGCAATTACCACTTCACCAGGAGAGAGGATGTTGGAGAGTCGCGACCCTTGTCTTCATTTGGAGTTTGGACTGAACGTTGTTAACAGTTCACTTACCTATGTCAAGTTGTCAACAGACCATAGTTTTACAGTCTATATCTAACGTTGATCATCCGTTTTTTTTAAAAAAAATATAATTAATTTTTTTTATTGTTGTTAGATAATAAAACATGAATATTACTTTATATATGACTAATTATTTTTATTTTTTTTTATAAAATTTGTAAATAAGATGGACTGTCAAACGTTTGACATAAAAACCCATGACTGTATTTAAAATGCAACGAACTTAGTATTACATATTTATGTTATATGGATTTTATGTGTTTATAATACATAGGTTTAGTGATATCTTGTTAAACGTAACATATAAAAGTGAAAATGGTTAAATATCTATCTAGTGTTAACATTTGTGCCGGTAGGAATGAACGTAAAGGATACAACAATGAAAATGTAACATTTACCATCCTGGCCCGTCTAGCTCAGTCGGTAGAGCGCAAGGCTCTTAACCTTGTGGTCGTGGGTTCGAGCCCCACGGTGGGCGCCTTTCATTTTTATTCTTTTAAATTTGAAGTACTTTTCTGTTTTGCCACCAATTGATGTGTGTGTTTAGTTTCACACACATACAAATCCCTTTTACTAGGACAGGGTTGACATGGTGCTTTATGTTTCGCCCTGATTGACATGAATAGAAGCCAAAGCATGTTAAACATTGCTCAGCACCTGGGCAACTTGCTCTCTCCCTCCATTTAATTCCAGCTGCAAATTTTAATTTCCATGTAGGAAGGGGAAATGTGGTTGTGCCGCTGATGCTTAAGCCGATTTTTAATTTCTCAACTGTTTTCTCTTCCTGCTGCCTCGCAAGCCACAATGTTTGATGTCTCTGTCAAGTAACTTAACCCTCAACCACGCTTTCCACATGGGCTGTGCCTGTCCCGTTACATGGCGAGATAGAGAGCGGACATCAAATGCCATGGTTGATTTTGCCAAAAGGCTCGATTGGTGCCATCTCTAAGTAATCTAGATTTGTGTTCCAGTGATCCAGTTCGAGCACATCCTAATCAGGTGCTAACTTTGCCATGTTTTTTTTTCGAACGTGTAAAAGAATTACACGTCAATATATTAGAAGAAAAATGTTATATCTACACAACACAATCAGCCAGACCAGCTTATGATGCTAGGGGAAAAGAGAAAAGGTAAAATAAAAAGCTAAAGCTTATAAAACTACGGCGGCTAAAACAAGACTCCAAACAACGGGAAGGGGCCGAGCCACGCTACACTCCTAACAAATCCCCAAAAGCGGCAATCGCTAATTTTGCTATGCATTGAAGTAGACTCCTCAATCTCCTCTTTTTTTAGCGGTTTATACGAAAACAAGGTGACATAACTCCAGTCCATTCAGAATCAGAGATGCAGTCCCAGTTGCCAACGAACCATCTTAAGACGGAAAGCAGCAAAAGCTCTCGTGGTGAAAAAAAATCCCCAACACTCGCGGCGGATCTCGCTGTCAGCTCCAGCTCGGCTGCTCCTGCTCTTGCTCGCCCAGGTCAACATCCCCATCCAAACCCCAAATTCACAACGACACGCATGCTCCAGCGACTCCGTTCCGCTTCTGCTCCCCACATTTAAGCAAAGCGAGAAGGAGAGGAGAGGAGAGGAGCTACCGGCGACGGCGATGGGAAGGGAGGCGGAGGCGCGGCGGCGGTGGACGCTGGTTCTGGTGAACCTGGCGTCGGTGCTGGAGAAGGCCGACGAGGTGCTGCTCCCGGCGGTGTACCGGGAGGTCGGGGCGGAGCTGGGGGTGTCGCCGACGGCGCTGGGCTCGCTCACCCTGTGCCGCGCGATCGTCCAGGCGGCGTCGTACCCGCTCGCCGCCTACGCCTCCGCGCGCCACGACCGCGCCCGCGTCATCGCCGTCGGCGCCTTCCTCTGGGCCGCCGCCACGCTCCTCGTCGCCGTCTCCGGCTCCTTCCTCCAGGTCACCTCCTCCCCTCTCGCTGACTGCGGGACCCACTCCACCTTCCCCGTTTTACACGCACCTACTCCTATATAATTTGATTATCCGAATATTCCATTTCCATCCCAATTTTTATCTTCGAAAAAACTCCATTTCGATAAGAAAAACCAGACAAACAGGAAGAAAGCTCCATCGTTTGGCATACTATGGACATATATTTACAAACGAAAAATAATTTACAAATAAAACTTTTATGTAAGTGTTCTTAGCGATAAGAAATAAAGGCCGAAAAATAAAATACGATAAAGTCAACTTTAAATTAGAAATTAAAAAATTAAATTTTGACTTACAAAGATAGGTTTAAGTAAAAAGATGAGACTGTCAGCCTCAGTTTTTTCTTCCACTGACGCTGTGGGTCCCACCTGTAAGGGAGAGAGGGAACTGGATGAACTGAAAAAATTCCGTGGCGCGCGCAGATGGCGATCTCGCGGGGGCTCAACGGCGTCGGGCTGGCGCTGGTGCTCCCGGCGATCAGCTCGCTGGTCGCCGACTACACGGACGACCACACCCGCGGCGCCGCGTTCGGGTGGCTGCAGATGACCTGCAACCTCGGCTCCATCATGGGGGGATCCTTCGGCGTGCTGCTCGCGCCGGTCACCTTCCTCGGCGTCGCCGGCTGGCGCCTGGCGTTCCACGCCGTCGCCCTCGTCAGCGCCGTGCTGGGCATCCTCATGTGGTGCTTCGCCGCCGACCCGCGCGCCAAGTCCAAGACCGCCGCCTCCGCCGCCGAGGAGGCCCGGGAGCTGCTCCGCGACGCCCGCGGCGTCATCGGCGTGCCCACGTTCCAGATCATCGTCGCGCAGGGGATCGCCGGGTCGATACCCTGGTCGGCGCTCAACTTCTCCGCCATGTGGCTCGAGCTCGTCGGCTTCACGCACTGGGAGACCAGCGTCATCACGGGGCTCTACCTCCTCGCCACCGCGCTCGGCGCGCTCTTCGGCGGCCTCGTCGGGGACCCCGTCTCCAGGCGGTTCCCGAACACCGGAAGGATCGCGCTGGCGCAGATCAGCTCGGCGTCGGCGCTCCCGCTCGCCGCCGTCCTGCTCCTCGCGCTGCCGAACGACCCGTCCACCGGCGTCGCGCACGCCGCCGTGTTCTTCATCATGGGGTTCGCCATCTCCTGGAACGCGTCATCCACAAACAAGTACCATGCTCGACACTGAAACAATTTCATATCTGAATCTCCAATGCAATGCTGATATGTCTTACAATTTACATTTTGCAATGCAGCCCAATCTTCGCGGAGATTGTACCGGAGAAGGCGAGAACAACGGTCTACGCTCTCGACAAATGCTTTGAAGCGGTGTTCGCTTCATTCGCGCCACCGATCGTCGGTGTTCTAGCAGAGCAAGTGTTCGGCTACAAGCCGGTCTCCTCTGACGCAAGCGTCGAAACGGACAGAGAAAATGCGGCTGCATTGGCCAAGGCAGTGTACACGGAGATCGCCGTGCCCATGGCCATCTGTTGCCTGACATACACCTTCCTGTACTGCACGTATCCTCGGGACAGAGATCGTGCTCGAAGGAACATTCTGATGGCATCGGATGACCAGCTCTGCCAAGAAGCAGGTGAGAGTGACTCAAGTGAGATTTGTACCCAGGAGGATGAAGAATTTGCTGTTGGTTCCATAAACCAGAGGTTAATACATGCAAGAGAGTAGCATCAGAAGAGGGGCAGCCTGTTTTACAAAGGTCTCGCAATCTTCCAGAGTCTGCACTCTGTTGCTTTCCATTTTCAGATTCTCAACTATTGGAGAGCTCTGCCTGAGCAGAATCGCGCTCATCAACTAGTATTGGAAGATATATATAGTACCCGAGAGATGTAATTTATACAACATCCTGTGAATAAGTGCTGCAATTGATTGTTTTCAGGAGCTACCAAAAAAAGGAGGAAAACAGTGTAATGGCTTATTGGCACTCAGCTTCTCGTTCTTTTTAGTCTTGTACGATTTCTCTAATCAATTTAACTACCAGATGTTCTGACGAATTGGTAAAAAAAGAAAAAGTTATCCTAAAAACTATAATAAGAGCATTGCTTTATGAAACACAAAATGACTTGATGACGATCGTGCATATGATACCATGGACACCATTATCGATATGAGCCCACTACGATGCTTTCTGCGGGTAATAGAAAACAATATAAATCATTGATCTTATTTGATCGAAGGGTTCAGGTTTATTTATACTACCAGTTAGCAGTAGTAAAAATGTGGAGATTCATTATTGTCAACAAAAAAAGTGGGGGAGGGTATAATTTTCATTTAGCAGTGACTAAACATTTTTCCTTCTTTTTTTTTTGGCTTTTTTATGGAATATGATCAATGTCAATGCAAATGAATGATCATATATCGATTTAGCTGGAAAAAATATAAATGACAAAATAACTCTTGAATTATTGTATTAGTAAATTACTAATTTACTCCTAATAATACTAGTAATATAATACTACTAGTAGAGAGCACTAGGCATCGCTCGATGGATACATGACAAGCAACACGGCAGATCAATTCAACAGTGTACCACTGGGGTCACATATTAATAAGTGCGGGCGAGGCCGATGCGGCGAACTCGCGGAGCATGACGACGGCGCTGATCACCCGTGTGGCCAGGATCTCCATGAGCACGCCGGAGACGGCATTGGTGGCTCTCCATGGGCTTGAGTAGGGCTCACTGGCCACCTCCCCTATTCCAGGCTCGCCGGCCGCCTCTGCCGCGCCGCCCTAGCTTCCCAGCTCACTGAAGAAGAGAAGAGAAGAGAAGAAAGAAAAGAGAAGAGAAGAGAAGAGAAAGAGGAGAGGAGAAAGAAAAGATGCTACATGTGGGTGACATATTTTTTTTATTTTTTATTTTGTTGACTAGGGTGCCACATCAGTAAAATTATAGATCCATACTGCCATGAGACCTAAATTGCACGGTTTTATACATTTTAGGGGTGAAGATTTCTGGTATTTGGAATTAGGGATGTCATACAAAGTCGACTTAAAGTAGATAGAGGCGACAAAACGGCCCAAATGGCCGGGAGCACGAGGGCCGAGGGAGGGGTCTTCCTAATGCACGATCGATCGCCTACGCCGAGGGCGCGTGATCGGGAAAGCCCACATCCCTCCCCTAACACGTTTCTCTTCCCTTCTTCTCTTCCTACTACACCATAAATTTTTAGAAATAAAAAAACACAAGTTAGAAAAAAAATTAAAAATAGGAAAAAAAAATCTAATACTCTTATTTATGTGGATAGACTCTATACTTATGTATAGACTTTATACTGTAAACTTCACACGTATAAACTTATATGTACAGAAATACTATATATAAAAATATTTGAATTCAAATTTAAATTTGAATCGAGTATATAAACTTTTGACGTATAAACTTTGGGTCTATAAACTTTATATGTATAAACATTAGATGTATAAAATTTAGATATATATAAACTTTAGATGTATAAACTTACTAAAATAGAAAAGTAAAGTGGTGTAAAAAAAAAGGAAACTGCATGGGAGGAAATCCTCTAGGGCGATCGATCGCGCGATAGGTTTTTCGCGGGGGAGAGGCGTCGTTTGACTGGTCGCCTGCGGGACCGAACAAGCCGAAGCGTCGTCCACGTGAATGCGATGTAGGCTTCGCAACAGAGATCGACGGCTGAAGGCGAGCGGAGCATTCCGGCGAACGAGTGCGAGACGGAGAGAGAAGATGACCACCGGCGCGGCGGCGCCTAGAGGAGGTAACAGTGAATCGAACCAACGGAGCGGATTTTCCGGGAGGGGAACGACGGCGGCTAATCTCGCCGGTCGAGGGAAGTTCGGGTTTGGCCGAACCGGTACGCACTCGCGATGCGCCGCGTGGGCACGGACACCAATGGTCACCGGGAACAGCCGCGCGACGAAGCTACGCGGCGGCGGCGGCGAGGGCGCTACGGCGAGAGACGAGATAAAGCGGCCGGCGAGCAGGGAGCTTCTTTGGGAACGTGCTAGAAGGCTCAAGGAGGACGGAGGCGCGACAAATTGAGAAGCGGCGCGAGGGCAGAAAAGCTGCCGGCGTCCAGTGGCGTCGACGCGCGAACGTGACGCCACGCGGGCGCGGCGAAGGGCTCATCGCCTCATCGGCGGGAGATGGCCCCCCAGGGGCGGCGCGGCCCGCAGACTCGGCCCTCACAACGGCTTCTTGCCGTAATTGTTGTTAGTTATAAAAGTTAGTCGATATAGCGGAAAGACGACTAACCCTCTCGATCGCTTCAGTCATTGATCATCCAAGACATGTCAGATGACGACACAGGAACACACGATATTTGTTAACGAGGTTCAGCCGAAGCCTACATCCCCGGGGCTCTGATTATGGGCGCTCCTCCCCAACCAATATAGCTCCTAGCCGCTACGAGTCCATGGCCACGCCGCCATCATCTCCCTGCGTGTCTATGCTACATTGTAGTCGTCATGGTTACATTGTGGTGTCCCCCTCTCTATTTAAGAGAGTTGCCGGGTTACAGAATCCGACTCTAACTCCACCCACTAACACCTATTACAACTCCAAGTCCAACTGTAACCAAATAGGACTAGTATATTCGACACATATTCTAACAAACTTCACCTTGGCGAATATACGCCACCCAGAAGTAGTAGAATCACCATGCCGATCCATCTGTCCTCCAGACTTGGGTTGTTTCCTTTTGCAGCTTCACCACGAGCCGCCTGACGAGCCTCCGCTAGACCCGCCGCCTTGAAGAGACTCCGCTATCCCTGTAATTTCTTCCTCTTGAATCTACCTGCAACAGTGCTCCACCTTCTCACCTATCATCTCAGTCGTCTTGCCAAGCGAAATTAGATTTCTTCCTAGCTGTCACATCATAGACTCCCCGAAGACCATGTTCACCTCCATCTTCCATCTTAAATTTGACTTGATCTAATCCATGGCCAGATAACATGCGTCATCACCAAATAGATAAATCAAACTCACCAGACTTGAAGAGAACCATTTCTTCCTTGTTGTCTTATGAACCAAGCTAATAAATCCAACATCCTCGCTTTCCCGCATCCGTAGACTGAACCTATGATACTTTGAGAAAATTCACCGTTGCCTTGAATCACTTGAAGAAATTAACACCATAGCACTTGCTTTTCCTCGTCAGTGATGCAGATTTCATATATCCCCATCATGCCAACCTGCATATCTTGGATATATCATGTACTGCCAAACAGTATCGTCGACCCCATCAACGATATTTGACCCGATGTTGCCCAGAATCTTTTTTTTCCCTTCAGTTCTGGTCTAACTCCATATATCTCAACTCCTCGTCGAGTCCCATATATATCATGTCTGCCAGATAATTCCATATGCGACCTGACCGACCTGTCGCCGCCAGTCTATTCGCCATTGTCACTTGCAAACTATCTAGACCGTATAACCTTTTTTCCCTTCTTCTGAATCCGCTCACAAGTTTCTGCAACGAACCACCGGTCCGTTGAACCCGGTCTAACCCTCCAAGCTCCGCAGTCTAACCAGTCCGTCGGTCTAACCACCCTGCCGGCCCAGTTTAACCAGCCTCGATCCTCTCTGGACCGAATGCCACATGATGTACCATCTCCTAAGTCACCGTAGACCATACAAGTTCCGTCTTAGGGCAGCACCACACCAATTGCCTCTGCGCCTGTGCATCTCTCTACTGAATCACCACCACCTTAATTACGTCAACCAATGCGTCCTAGACTCCCGGTAGCCTTGCACGCTTTGATCTCCACGCGCAGCTTGATGACCCACGTTAATTAGCACCACCACACAGCTAGCTTATTGGTCTTCCGGGCTCCCTGCCATACGTAAACCAATGTTGCACAGTAGTATAATGCATGCACGTACTATGGCAGCCAACATATGCTTGCATACACATGTAACCCTATCATAATTAACGTGACCAGCAAAAGACTACTACTCTCTCCTTTTTTCTTGGTCCACCGCCTGACTTTGTGGAGGTTAACACCGGTCCATGCACTTCTTACACATGCCTGCCTTCCTACGAGCCAAAAACCAAACCCCGACTTGATCTCGGTCTCCGCTTCCTCCTGCTACAAGCCGCAGCCTACGCCTCCTCTGAGTCGTCGCCGCCGCCTGCATCAGACACCGAAACCGAAACTGCCACCGCTCGGATTAGAGAAACTTCTTCGCTAGAGTCCGTAGCTACTCCTCCACGATGGAGCCCACTGCCACCTCTCCCTGCTTAAGTTGACGTCTCCGCACCGTATCCGTCTTGGTTCTGCTCTTGGAAACCACACCTATGCATGTGTAGGTGTGCACAAGTCATGCCTCCATACACGACGTCCGTGCCCCTGCACGCACAGCAGTCGCAGCCCTCATGTTCACCGTCCACGACCCCGTCGTCATCGGCCCTGCACGTCCGCCGCGCCGCGCCACGCTCGCCAGCTTTGCCCTTCCGTCAATGGCCTCCCTGCCGCCGCGGATCCGCGTTCGCCGCGTGCGTCGGACGCGCCGTCCATGGTGCTACCCCTCTAATCTCTCTGAACGCCTTCGGCCACGCCCGGCCTCGTCTTCCGGTCACGCTCCACCATCGTCGGTCTGATCGCGAGTGAGGTCGTCGCCTCCACAACGTCCTCGTTGTCGCCATTGATCTCATCGCCACGACTGACGATCTCCTATCGATGCGCGATCCCACCTCGTGTTTCCTTCTCCACATGTCTTCTTGATCCAATGCTGAAACCTTCTGCTCTGATACCACTTGTTATAAAAGTTAGTCGATATAGCGGAAAGACGACTAACCCTCCTGATCGCTTCAGTCATTGATCACCCAAGACATGCCAGATGACGACACAGGAACATACGATATTTGTTAACGAGGTTCAGCCGAAGCCTATATCCCCGGGGCTCTGATTATGGGCGCTCCTCCCCAACCAATATAGCTCCTAGCCGCTACGAGTCCATGGCCACGCCGCCATCATCTCCCTGCGTGTCTATGCTACATTGTAGTCGTCATGGTTACATTGTGGTGTCCCCCTCTCTATTTAAGAGAGTTGCCGGGTTACAGACTCCGACTCTAACTCCACCCCTAACACCTATTACAACTTCAAGTCCAACTGTAATCAAATAGGACTAGTATATTCGACACTTATTCTAACATTGTGCGCAGCAGCAGCAGCAATGGCGACTCCCGCCTCCTTCCAACGGTCATTGCCGCAATTGTGCACGCCTCAACGGCGGTCTTCCGTCGCGGCTATAACATGGGTATCTGCGTATCTGTGTGTGCGTTCTCCTGTGCATTCGAGATGAGCGATATCCGCGGCTTCCACCGTGCGGTCCCGAGCGACGCGGCTGACGGAACTGCCGGAGGAGCTCCGATCAGCGCCGGCGCCATCGCCGGCACCGTCTGCGCCGTTGTCGTGGTTGTCGGGCTGCTGGCCCCGCTCGTGTACTGGCTGTATCGGAGGAAGCTGAAGGCGGCGGCGAGTCCTCCTCTGCGTCCGCCGGCCGCCGCGGCGACGCCCCTCGTCCGCGCTCAGGAAGCAGGCGCGGCGGTCGGAGGCCAAGGCGACTACACGCGGCGTCGTGCGCAAGTCGCCGTCCCCGCCAGGGATGGCGGCGACCTCTGCTGCGGCATGTGCGGCTCCGCCTACGACATCGTGCGAGGAGGTGGGGAGCTGCCGGAGACGCTGGAGTGCGGCCACCACTTCCACCGGCGGTGCGTCCGGCGGTGGCTGCGCGTCAACCTCGCCTGCCCGACGTGCAACGCCACGCACATCCAACTGTGCGGAGACGACGACGACGGTGTGCAACACCTCTCCCTGTTCATCCTCTTCTTGGCGCGTGAATCGTGGTTAATCATAATTTTTCCTCTTCAACAGGTCAAGCGACCACGCCCAGGCATCGGCTGACGGCGAGCGATTACAGCGGCTGGGATGAACTCTCCACCGGCGTTGGCAGTTCCAGCTGCCGTTTCTGATGGATAGTTTGCAGCTCGTAGTTTGCTAATTAGTAGAGGAAATTAACTTTTAGGTTGAGTTATTAGTATTATTTATTTATTTTGGATCGAGCTAGGTTGGTTCTTGAGCTTTTTTCAATAAAGTGCACAGCTTCTTACAATTAATCCATCACAAATCTGAGGCATTTGTAACTGTCCTCATCCCCCTCGTGCGGTCGGCGATGGCGGCGCGCGGCTGCAGCCGGCGGGGGAGACGGAGGAGGTACGCGCGGACGCCTTCGCCCTCGTTGTCGACGTCGCCACCGATGACAAGGTCCGCGCCGCTCACCAGCTCGCACGCCTCGTCGTCGTCGATGCTCGCCACCTCGGTCCGTCCGGCCGCTGCCCGTCGCATAGACAGTGGATAAGAAGAAGAAATGGAGAGCTCCGTGACGCTGTGGGTGGTATTACTACTACTCACAGTCACAGAGGACGACGACATGCGTGCGGCCGGCGCGAGTGCGGCGCCGCGGCCCAGCGGACGAGCGACGAGAAGCCGGCGGCGCGGTGATCGCGGTCGCCATCGCCTATCAGAGGAGTCCTCCGCCCGCGCCTGGAGCCGCCGACGACGATGAGGCTGAGCGGCGCGAAGTCGTCGGCGCCGCTGCTCCCCATCCGCAGCCGTGCTCGCCTGCCACCGTCGCCGCCTCTCCGGCCTCCGCCACCGCGCTCGCCTGTCGACGCCACCTCGCCCTGCCGCCGCCCTCCCCTTCTCCCGTGTCTCCGCCGCCGCGTCGCCGCCCCGCCGAGCTTGCTGTCCTTGGAGAAGACGCTCGACGAGCTACGGAGGATGTGGTAGACCAGTGCCTGCACCAGCACGAACATGACCGAACATGACCGACCTGCTCCTCTACACGTGCATCGCCTGTGCATGCTCCTGCTCCTCGTACTCGTGCTAGCGTTCGCCAGGTGGGGAACCGACCGGTCGATCTCCTCTCCACCACTCCTTCCCCGTCGGCCGTGCCAACCCTCTTCCCCGCCGCGTCGGTGATGCCACTTCCGCTGCATCAGCCCTCGGCCCTCCTCTCCGCGGCGCTCCTCCCTCGCTGGCCCTCCCCTCCGCCGCACCGCCTGCACCACCGGGCGTTGCCACCTCACCCCGACGATGACGCGTGGCCACGGCAATGGCGCCGCACGGCACGCGGAGTAGGAGGGAAGGCAAACAACCGACGCGCTCCTCCCCGTGCAACGGCAGCCATTGGCGGCGGCGCCCGTCGCATCGGTCGTCCTCTCCGCCGCGCTCCTTCCCTGTCAGCCGCTGGCCACGCCGGCCCTCCTCCCTGCCGTGTCGAAGACGCTGCCGCCATCCACGCCCAGAAGAAAAAGGAGAAAGGAAGGGAGAGAAGAGGGGAAAAAGAGAGAGGGTGGTGACTTGATATGTGGGGCCCACGTAAGGTCTCACGCTGGCTCAACCGCCACGTCAGATAAAATCGGGGTTAAAATCATAGAGGGATCTAAAGTGAACTGTTTTCTAAGTTAAGAAATGTCATATATGGACGAGACTACAACGAGATCGCTATCGCGATAGCGCTAACGCGCGACGCTCCTGACAAAAAAAAAAGGAAAACACGGTTTCCTTTTTAGCGCGCGCGCCTCTGACAAAAAAAGGAAAGCCGCGCGCGCGTCGTGCCACGCACACCGTGCTTGGCGTGGGACAGCTAGCGTGGGCCCACCTAAAGGAAGCGCGCTACGCGCCTCACCCCCCCTCCAATCTAACAAATCCGGACCAGCGTCGATCCCGAACGTAGCTGTGGCTGCACAAAAATCAGAAAAAAAACGAGAGAGAAGAACGAAGAGTGTCAATCCAGAACTCAACCGCCGCGGCACAAAAATCAGAAAAAGAAAACGAGGAAGCACGAAGAGGAGGAGGAGGAAGCACGAAGAGAGAGAAAAGAAGAGCAGATCACAGGTAACTACATAGCCAATACTGTCTTTTCAGATCTATCGACAAAAAACATACAAACTAACCTAGAGAATTTTTAGGTTCTTTTTGTCTTCTGTGAGAAATGAATTCTATGAATCCTGTCTTCCCCGAGATACGAATACTATGAATCTGTCTCCCTTTCTGACTTCCTTCGTATATCGAATAAATTTCTTTTCAAGTGCTGCTGAAAAAAAATAGAGGAAAAAAGGCATTAGTACTGGTGTTCAATTCTCAGTGCAATTTCAAAAGGGTTACTTCTAACACTTCGATAAGTTACTTCCTAGATATGCAAGTTACTTTCCAATAAACTTGAATTTACATTTCCTAGTTACATAGGCATGAGTGCTGTTGTTTAAAAATCTCAGAGTAATTTTAACATAAAGTTACTTCCTAGAAACATGCAAGTTACTTCCAAATAAACTTGAATTTACATTTCGTAGTTACATAGGCATGAGTACCGGTGTTGAAATCTTATAGCAATTTTAACATAAAGTCTCAGTGCATTTTTAACAGAAAGTTACTTCTAACACTTCGATAAGTTACTTCCTAGAAACATGATACATTCCCCCCTAGTTGCCTCTCAAAGAAATTTGAACAGAACGTTACTTCTATCAACTCAATAAGTTACTTCCTGGGAACATGAAAGTTACTTCCAGAAAAACTTGAATTTACATTCCCTAGTTACACAGCATGATGCATCCCCCCAGTTGCCTCTCAGAGCAAACTTAATAGAAAACTTAGTTCTAACACTTCAATAAGTTACTTTCTAGGAACATGCAAGTTGCTTCCAAAATAATCTTGAATTAAAATTTCATAGTTACAACTTTTGTATCCATTAATTACATTGTTGGGCAATTTTAACTGTAATTTCAGTGAAAAACTTCTGTATCCATTTTATACCTGGTATGTGTACACAACATGATGCATTCCTCCTAGTTGCCTCTCTTTCTCTTCTAGTACTGCATCAAAAACAATATGTGAAAAAAAAACCATAAGTATAGCCACTGGTGTCAAAAAATGAGAAAAATTGCTTCTTAGAGGCATCTAACTGTAACTGTCTAAAAAGTTATTGTCCTGTTGCATGTTACTAACTTCAAAACTATACTGACTTACTTCCAAACTATACTAACTTACTTCCAAACTGTACTGAATTACTTTCCCACAAATTGATAAGGAAGACAGGGTGCAGAACATATTCCGGGTTGATGGAGCAGCAAGAAAAGCGTACAAGGACTACAAAGATTACATCTCGTTTGACTACACATACATGACAAACATGTATAACATGCCTTGTGCACCATTCATTAGGATAAACAGATATGGGCAATCTATTTAGGTACTTCTCTTGGTATTTGTTTTATGCAAAGTTACTTCCTATTAATGTGTGAGTTACTTCCAAAAATGCACTAACTTACTTTCAGAATCACAATATGTGCTGAATTACTTCAAAACCAGAACTAATTTACTTTCAGCAACACAAAACTGTACCTAGTTACTCTACAAGTGTGTCAACTTACTTCCTAGTAATGTGTGAGTTACTTCCAAACTATACTAACTTACTTCCAGAATGATAATATGTGCTGAATTACTTGATAACAATACTGAATTACTTTCAGCAACAAAAAGCTGAACCTACTTACTTTGCAACTGTATGGACTTACTTCCAAACAGTAACTAACTTACTTTTTTTTTATATTCAGTTAGGTTGTGGGTTCCTAAGGAATGAAAAGACAAAAACCTTTGTATAGTTGTTCCAAACATAATAACTTATCAAGACTTAGCTATGAAGGCAGCTATTATGCTAGTTTTCCCAAATGCTAAGCATCACAATTGCCGGTGGCATATAATGCAAAATGCTTAAAAGAAGATTGGCCATATACTAGATCATGACCAAGAGTTGTGTACAACATATACTAGATCATGACCAAGAGTTATGTACAAATTACTTCTACACAGGAACATGCAAGTTGCTTCCAAGAAAAAATAAAACTTCAATAAGGTGTAGCACTGTATTCAACATCAAAATCAAAATACACATGTCCAAGTCCATATTCAACATCTAAATACCATTTCAAAGTACTGTAAGTTACTTCTAGAACATGTTAAGTTACTTTTCACAACATATTAAGTTACTTCTAGAACATGTTAAGTTACTTCTAGAAAAATACAAATAAAAGTCTAGTGCAGCATCATCGAAAAAAGTGTAGTGCAGTGATAAAAAAGGCAAAACACAGGTTCGGGGGTAGAAAGATAGATGGTTGTTCAATACCTTTGTTCTACTCCTTTTTGGAGGAGGTTGCGTTGCATCATCTCCACCATGATCTCTCTTCTTCCTGCGTTGCGATACACTCCTTTTTTTCTGACTTGACTCTAGTTTGTCCAACGCGCCTTTCGTTACATGGGATTTCTTCCTAGCTATTCCTGGAAAATCATTTTGACTATTAGTTTCACCAAAATCTAACCAATTACAACTAAACAACTAGTAGAAAGTAACATTTATGTGTTTAGAAGTAAGTCAGTACATTTTGGAAGTAACTTAACAACTAGTAGGAAGTACAAAAAAATTGCAAACTTAATTTCATTGTTCTCAAAATGTTACTCACATGCCACGGGAAAAAGTAAGTTTTAACTAGACTAGATGTAATTCAATAAATCAAATGTGTTACTTAAGGAACATTTTGAGACGACCATTATTTGCTACTAGAGGAAAATGTTACTAGACATGCCACAATATTTGCAAAAAAAAAAAAGGTAATAACATCAATGACTAGGGAGAGCTTCAGATTATTAGCAACATGGTAACTGAAAATCACATTGGATTAGCCAATCCAAGACGACATAGATTAGCCAATCAAGGGATCAATCGATCGGTCAGCACTCATCTGCCTGTCACCACTGATCAGTAGCATGCATGCATATACATGCTGACATGCATGCTCTCCCCCCTGCTACCTGCAGCCTCTATTCTCTGAATGTACCTCGATCTCTGCAAATCAATGTCAATCGATTTGATACATGTTGCTTGTTACGACTCGAAACCTATCTAGCTACCCAAATTTACATTGTACATGAAGCATGGAAACCTAAAGCTATCAAGGGGCACACAAAAATCCTAGTAAATGGCAGCAGAAGTACACCAACTTTTTATTATACTGAGGCTACACAACATGGAATTTGAATCATGAATTATCCAACAGCCCAAGCCATGTACAAAATGCCAAATGGAGAGAAAAATTGAAATACCTTCAAATCAAGCCGGAGATCCACCACCACAAACTTTGCACTCGCCGAGAGGACGCAGAGGAGCTCCACGGAGAGGACGAACTAACACCTGGATGAGGGAGAGAGAGAGAGAGAGGGGAAATGAGGGGATAGAGCTATTATAGGGGAGAAAACAAACCGAGAGGTTTGTGGAGCACAAAAAATCGCACATATGCGCAGTGAAAACTGCACAATCTCTCCACCTCTCCCGGCACACAAATTTGCACAGTGAAAACTGCCTAATCTCTCCACCTCTCCTAGCACAAAAATCACACACAAAAATCACTCCACTCTCCGGCTGAAAAAAAACCGCAACCACCTCTCTGCACGCTGCAACTTACCGCACGGGCGCCAGATTTGGTGGAGAGAAAACCACCTAAGCCGCAGCCTTCACTTCCCCCCGCAACTGCAAGCACGATGTGGAGAGAAAAAACGCCGCCTCCACGCAGATTCCGCTGCCTCCACCGCCGATTCCGCCGTCGGCGCGACGGGACGAAACAACCGCACCTTCCCCCTCCCACACTGCCGCCGCAGCGACATCTCCACCGCCTCCGCCGACGATTTCGCCGGAGATTGTCGCCGCCTCCGCCTCTCTCTCTCTCTCTCGCCACCCACAATTTTTAAATAGTAAAACAACTCTCTCTCTCTCTCTCTTTCTCGGTCGGAACGAGCGGAGCAGCTCGGTTTGGATAAGCAACACGCGGTCGGGACAAGCGCGCGCGCCGGATGCACGCCACGTCGCCCGCGCGCCAATGGACGGCTGGCACGGGCATCGCGCGTTAAGCCTAAACGGAGAGGCCTCTCTGTTTAGATTTTACGGTCATATATCTGGTTTTGCGGTTAAGGGACGATTTTGTAATGACAAGTTGAGAAACCTTCGGTGTACTTTTTCCTTTTTGCAATGGAAAAAGTACACCGAAGGTCCCTCAACTTGTTATCGAGTTACAAAATCGTTCCCCAACCGCAAAACCGGATATAACGCATCCTCTAACTTACAAAACCAGTGCAAACAAGATCCCTCGGCAGTTTTAACCCCGGTTTTGCCCCACGTGGCGGCTGAGTCACCGTGGGACCCACGTGGGCCCCACATGTCATGGTGCCACGCCAGCACCACTCTCTTTCCCTCCTCTTCTCTTTCTTTTTTTCCTTCATTCCTTCCTTCCTCTCGTTGTCTGCTCTCGCACGGGTGGCGACGCGCGCGGCCGGAGGGTGGTGCGGCCGGCGACGGCGGCTCCCGGGTAGCGGCGCGAGCTCGCCAACCTCCCTGTCCCCTTCGTGCGGTCGGCAATGGCGGCGCGCGGCTGTGGCCATCTTCGACTCGACACCGCCGCCATCAAGTCGCTGCCGTCGGCGATGGCAGCGCGCGGCTGCGGCCGGCGTGGGAGGTGGAGGAGGTATGCGTGGAGGCCCTCGCCCTCGTCATCGACGTCGCCACTTCGAGCCCATCATCCCGCGAACGGACAGGCCCTCGTCCTCGTCGTCAACGTCGCCATGCCGGACCTCCTCCTCTCCCTGTCCACCACTGCCTCCTCGCACTTCCGGGCATCCGCAGGGACCTCCTCACCCACATCATCTCCCACCCTCAGGCGCTCGCCCAGTGCGAGCTCACCCTCAACGCCATGGGCCTCAACTCGGCTCCGGGCATCGGTGGTGCCCGTAACCTCCTGCAGCTTCCCGATATCATCCTCAACGCCCGTAACCTCCTCACCGGCAACAAAACCGCGCTCTTCGCCATCCCATGGCTCGTACGTCTCACCTCACCTTCAATACCCTCCACATTTTCCCCAATTTGTTGATCTGTTTGTTGATTTTGTGCCTCAGGGGAGGTGCTCGCCAACGGCATCCAGGACGACGCCGGCGACGTGACGCGGTTCGTGACCAAGATCGAGAGGGAGGGAACGTCGCGCTGCCCGCGCCACCGTGCGTCGGCCACTCTACGCAGGCCCTTCCCTCTGCCGTGCCGCCCGCACCACCGTGCATCGCCACCTCACCCCGACGACGTCCCGTCGGCCACGGCAATGGCGCCGCACGGCACGCGGAGGAGGAGGGAAGGCAGACGACCGCCGCGCTCCTCCCCACGCGACGACAGCCATTGGCGGCGCCGCCCGTCGCATCGGCCCTCCTCTCCGCCGCGCTCCTTCCCCGTCAGCCTCCGGCCACGCGGGCCCTTCTCCCCGCCGCGTCGAAGACGTTGCCGACATCCACGCGCAGAGGAAAAAGGAGAGAGGAAGGGAGAGAAGAGGTGAAAAAGAGAGGGGGTGGTGACGTGGTTTCCCTGACATGTGGGGCCCACATGGGTCCCACGCTGACGCAGCCGCCACGTCAGATAAAACCGGGGTCAAAATCACTGAGGGACCTAAAGTGAACGGTTTTGTATAGTTATGGGACCCCGTATATCTGGTTTTACAGTTCGAGAACGTTTTTTATCCCGATGACAAGTTGAGGGACCTTCGGTGCACTTTTTCCTTTTGCAATTAAAGCTGATGTTGTCGGCCTTTGACACAGAGTGGACCTCCAGCAGGCCCATTAGCGGCTCAAATGTATCAACGGTCTTATAGTTATAGTCTAATCTATACCGGCTCATAATAAAACCGTTCGGTTCAGAGCGGCTCAAATGTATGAACAGTCTTTCTATCTGTAGTCTAATCTGGATATTTTACATTCTAAATTTTTTACATTCTATATATTTTAAAAATATTTTACAAAAATATTAAGAACACTTATCTGAGCGTCAGGCTCTTTGGTCTAGAGAGTAACCCCAATAGCCGGTTCATAATAAAACTATTAAGTTCAGAATGGCTCAAATGTATGAACAGTCATTTTATATATAGTCTAATTTGGATATTTAACATTCTAGATATTTCTAGAAATATTTTACAAAAATATCTTTAAGAAACTTATCTGAGCATCAGGGTCTTTGGCCCAGACATTAACCCCAGGGGTTGAGCTGATACCTATATCGAACACACCTGTTGAAAATATACTTGTGTGGTGGGGTGGTAGTATAGATGGCTAAATGGGTCAACTGGCCTGGCCCAAGCATGACCAGGCATGGCCCGAGATCAGTCGGGCTGGCATGGCTCGACCGACACGCCGGGTCATGTCGTGCTCGCCCACGGGCTACACCAACTGCCCAGACACGGCCTAATAAAACTCGAGTCGTTCCGGGTCGGCCTGAAGGCACGACAAGCCTACCACGCTCCTCCTTGGAATTAAGGCTATTATGCCTCGTTCATATCTTTGGGCCATGTCTTATATAGCTAGAATAAGTCCATTTTGTATCCTTCATCTTTTTGGGACGTGTCTTATATGGTTGTATTATGAGTACAGGATTACGGTGAAGCCAATATTCCATGAATATTTAGCATTGATAATTTGGTTAGGAGGGATTGAAATGGTAGTAGGAGATATTGTTTTTTAATGAAAAATAAGACAATATATCATTTATTCTTGGATTGCTAATTTCCCAAATTTCTCTGGAGAGCGGTACATATTGCTTTTATATTATACCCTCCACATATTATATCTCATATTTTTGGGATTTGGCTTGTGTGTATTGATAAAAAAAAACTAAGAAACTTATTCTTGTAAGAGCATCAGTAATATGTTGAGCTCTATGACTTAATAAAAATGATGTGGTCTTCGATAAATCACCATCAAAATCTTATATGCAAATACTTTTTAAGGTAACGTGTTGTCTCCGGTGTTGGGCTCAACTACAAAGGTTCGATGAATACATCAAACTAATAAATGGTGCATGTCGTAAACTCGAGTGCAGATTTTCACAACTTCGAGTATAGGTTCACGAATAAGATTCAATAATTGCGGGTCTTTTATTTTGTGTTGGTGTTTATTAGTTTGTATTTTCTTTATGTTACATTGGTGTGTTTTTTGGACTCATTGGTGTGTGAACGCTTCTGAGCGAATTGGTGTAATAATTGACTATAACTCGTTAAGGAAATACTGAAAATATAGTCTATTATAAAAAAGATTCCTTTAAACAGGCATCAATCCTGGATTATTAACCCCATTCATTGAACCATTTTGACACATCCACTCCCAGAAATGTTGCATTCCCTACTAACCCCCAGTTCCCATGGACAGTCATCGTCACGGGAAAGCCGGGATTTATTCCATTATCTTAAAAAAAATCATCATGGGAAGGAAAATGCTAAGATTACGGCTGATATCAATTTCCTCTAACCAAATACACCCATGATCATCCTCCAAATAAGGTGAGGACACTATCAAAGACAGAGGCCACGCTGAAGTCACTCACTCACGGCTGGCCTCCAGGACCGCCATATTCGAACACAGCTCCCTCCGGGCCTGTTCCCGAGCTCGAGGTGACCGTGGCGTCGTAGATGTTGATGTCGGCGACATCTCTCGCCACCGTCCAGTTGGCGATCCTGGCGCCTTGGGCCGCCACCCACGTGAACCTGGCGGCGCGGTAGTTGCCGCCGTGCACGGGCTGGATGCCGTTGCCCATGGGTGGGCTCTTCTGCCCCGGCGACGCGTACACGATCCCTCCCATCTGCACCTCCGTCCCGCCGCTCATCCCGTTGATGATCTCCTTGGGGAAGTAGCCCACGACCTCGTCACCGACCACCACCTGCCAGTTCCCGGTTTGGATATCCTAGACCACACATGTTGCAAAAATATGTATCATCAGAAACCACGTATATTTTTTTTCATAATACTAGCTGAATGTCCATGCATTGCAACGGGAATTAAATAGTAGAGAACCACATAGCACACTCTAAAGCCTCAAAAATTAAAATAAAACTATCCTCGCTGTAAAATCTTAGGGTTATATTATTTATCATCATTTTCACCTTCAATTTTTTTCCCTCTATTTGGTGGTAGTATATCTAAGAAACATTTACGCTACTTGAGATGTACTTCTGCAGGTGATGAGTTCAATTCAATGCAATACTTGATTGTGTGCATCCTAGGGGCTGTTCAGATTGTTGTCATTTTGAACCATTCCATTATTTGGCAAGTTGCCAAAATTTGGCTTCATTTGGTTTGCTACCAAATATTGGTAATGCCCATAGAATTTGGCAAGATTTTAGAAACTTCTCCTCACAAAATTATGCCAATATTTGATAAGGTAACAAACTAAACATTATCTTTACATTTCTAACTTACCAAAATGTTGGCATTGCTAAAATTTGGCTTTACCAACAAATGGTAAGGTTGATTTTGGCAACAAACTGAACAGGCCCCTAGAATATATACGTAGGACGCGGGGATGTAATTCACCTTTCTTAACATTAAAAAGGTTCAGTGCAATGTGATGAACAGCATTGATCACCTTGGTCATATTCAGAGGAATAGATCCTGTTGTAAGTACCATCCCAGGAGAGGTAGTTCTGCTCAGCAGCACAAAGCCTGGGCAGAGCATGTTCATGCAGCCGGTCTTGTGGTAGTCATCGGCCTGTTTACAGGAGATTTTCTGCTGTCAATATGTAGACTAGCTACCAAGAGGTACTCCAATACAAAATACTTTCCAATTAGAAGGTCACAAATTTCTATCCTGCGAAACCCACCGTCCAATAAGTCACCAATCGTGTCTGGGTGTCGCTCTCGCGGTCAGGATCGACCTGGTGTATAGTATAGATAAGGGTAAAAATACAGTGCAAAGGTGTTTGGCAGAAAATGCCTACAAAATCATCAAAAGTGAAAAGAAAAACTCACATGCCATCCAGATTGTATGACACTAACTGCGTTGGAGCTATCATCAACAAGCAGTATTTGAGCCGACGAAGACTGGCCCTGTTGAACATTGAGCGGATACACCTCGAGCACTGCGCCCGTAGCTTGGAATTTTGAGCCTTCTTCGCTGTTGATCAACAATAGGGCGAACTAGAGGGAAGGCATGGCATGAACAATGAGAATGTGACATTGTTCATACTACAATATTTTCTTTTCGTGAGCAGGACAGTTGTAGAACGAGTAGCTCTGAATTCAAATGGACAATACTGTGGATGTGTATTATAGGTTTCACAAGTGAGTTTTTTTTTTTGGTCCTCCATCCATCTGATGTAGGAGTAAGAGCTGTGACAATATCTAAATATTTGATTCATGATTTGTAATTAAAAGAAACATTGATTGCTCCCATAAATACATTGTCTTTTCTCAGTAAATCATGCTGGCATGCTATCTGCTGAAATCACGCGTGCTAGCCATGATGTCACTATCATTTTCTTCGTTTCAATTTGCAATAAAACATATAAATATAGCATGCGTCAAAATAAAATGGTTACATGAATCAAAGTACTATATCATTTTAATATATTTTATTTGGAAGACAGGTATGGATGTTATGTAAAATTTGAACGAAATACAATAAAAAAATCTGAATTATTTCCATGTAATCGCAAACAAAATCTGAAGTATTTCTTAACTTCCATTTCAAAATGAAAATACAAAACCTGTATATAGGTCTATTGCCAAATCTAATTTGAAATTGGACTTTTGCTGGTAGAGGCAGTTTTTCTCGATATTTTGCCAAGTTTATTACTAACTCAAGGAAGCATCATTGTCCTTCATTTTACAGCATAATAAATTAGCATCAATTTTTGCTTTTGAATGTTGTAAATGACCATTTAATATCCATAAAGTAAGAGGAATGTTGTCCTAGATTAAATGCAAAATGGATACATTTGGTGATGATTTGGTGTATCACCCAAAAAAAAAATATTCCGAAGTAGAGAATCATAAAATCTGAGAGAAAATTCGAATTTTGAAATGCCAACTTACATGTTGTCCAGGAATTGTACTAGTGTAACTCATTGGCGTAAATGATTGGTCTTTCTGTGGTTTCAACGGTCCACGAAACGCGCGTGCCCTTAGGAGATCCTCCTTGAGAGTCCTTCGAATGAGAACCGTTCCATCAGGGCAACTTTCTTGCAGACCAAAATGAGTTATCAAACTTTTGGAGTATGAGCGCGGTGGAATCTGGTTTCAGATTTCAGTAAAAAAACAGTTAGTCCAGTGAATGAGGCTTCTTCATAAAATATATTGGGAATTTACACATAGTAAACCTATAAGCTGACAGGTTTCACTGCTAGTAACCAATAAATACTATTCTACAGAGTTTTTTTTTTTTTTGAGCTTCTATTCTACAGAGTTTGTCTTCTGTAATGTAGTACAGGGAATACATCATGCTGCAAAACAGATGACTTCCTTTTGAACTCTATGAATTATAATTCGCCATCGATCTAAATCTGATGTGTATGCCTTGTAAAGAACAGGTACAAACAAATCTAGAAAGACATTTTAGAATCATACCGTGATAACAGAACAATTGCTAGAAAAAATAGATTTTTGAAATCGACATCGATCTATTTTCTATTTTCTCCAGGGTACACTTCACTCCATGATCTCATTTTTGGTGCAGATTACCGTTGTGTAATTTTTTGTTTTGCAAATCTCTTTGATGCAATAATCTTCTGTTGCAAATCTCTACCACAGCTAGTGAAATAGCTATACTAAAACGCAAAAAATAAGTGCACATGAGAGAATATAAATTTTTTATCCTGACTATTACCTGAAGTTTGTGATTCTTGAGAAGAGGATGATCGAATGCAGGCTGTCTGTAGATGTCCACGCAATCAAAAACTACACCATAGCTATCCTGCCATTTCATCAAATGCAGAATAATAAAAGAACGAAATATTGAATGGAGCATGGTAATTGGTTATTGGTGTCCCAAAGTTTCTTCACGTGGATATCAATATTACCTTGAAAGATTTCACATAGGGCTTGTTAAGCATCATGAGTTCTCTCTCCAGTGCTAAGTCGTCTTCGTTGGAGAGCACCAAGCTTCTTGCTGCAGCATTGCTGAAGAACAGAAAAGAGAGCACGACAAATATCGATGACTGCCCCATCTTGACTTGATCCAATGATCCTTGTGCTATGTTTGTCATTATATATGCAGCAGGGTGATCGGTGTATTTATGTGGCTAGATTTGTTACGCTATTGCTGTATCAAAGATGTTAATTAGGTGGTTCAGAATATTCCTTAATATTAGGGATATATATATATAGGTTTTTAATGTGGTGATCCGAAATATTAAAAAGATTTAAAGCCAAAATACATACTATTTATGTAATATAACTCAATGACAATATTCTTGATGAATAAACTAATTTGAGTATAATATGGAGGGATTAGAATTGTAGCATTCAGAAACACTTTTTTTTAAAAAAAAATGGTACGAGTATAATCCCTTTTGTTACAACATCTTTGCCTGGTTCTTGCCATTTCTAGCATGCTAATTTCCCCACGTATATTGTTTGTTGTATGGTTGTCTTCCTATTTGTGCTAATGTAAGTTTTATATGTACCTTATGACAACTAATTCATGATGTTATATGTTAGCAGTGTCCTCTTCTCATGAGCTTGCCATTTCTATTCCTCATGGAGGCCACACCTCATTGTTGTGACTTTCACAATTCACACTACCTATGGTGATCAAGGATTTTTACGATCCAGCGGTACCTTGCGGTACCGATTCTCGACCGTTGGATCCGGGCAGATCCAACGGCTGGCAGAGATTGGTACTGCGGGGTACCAGTTCTAACCCTGATGCGGTACCTCGTGTTGAATGTAGGTGGAAGGGCAGTAATGTAATTCCGCGTGCCAATGATAGAGAGAGCAGACGGTAGATGCTCAGAAACCCTAGAATTTGCCTCTCCCGCATCTCCATTAGTCCTGTCCCGCGGCGCCGCCGTCTTCCATCACGCCGCCGCTGGACTTGTTCCTCTCCCACGCTGTCATCCTTCCCTTGTTCCTCTCTCGCGCCACCGCTGTTCTCTTTTTTCTCTCTCGCGCCGCCACCGGACTTTATCCTCTTCCGCGCCGCCGGCGTTCCCTTGTTGCTCTGCGCCGCCGCTGGGAACGACAACGACTTGGACGCCGCCGCCACCGGGAACGACAACGACTTGGATGATGCCATCGCCGGGAACAATGACTCGAACGCCGCATCCACCCTTGCTCATCTTTTCTATCCCGATCCTACCCATCCCGGATTCAATGGTTAGATGTGTTTTGGTACCGCACGGTACCAGTACCACCCAGTACAACCTGCTGGACCATAGCAATCCTCATGGTGATCACTCGTTTGCATTGGTTTTAATATATCTTATTTAGTATTTGTTTCCTAATTTATAGAATCCCTCCTAATTGTTGCTTCTCCCTTTCAAAGCGACTATATCTTTTAGATATTAGTAGTATTTACTTCTCTCTAACCGTTTGTTAAGGACGATGTTATGACATTAAACGCACATACACATTCCAATCATTGCAAATATGAGCAGCCCTTGCACTTTCTTTGGTGAGGTGTGTTACGAAACCAGCAGCCCACAAAAACCCAACTTGATTACTTACTAATCGAGTCTATCACTAAATACAAAAGGTGAATGAAGCTATACCTATAAATAGAGTGAGAAGATTCACTATTGTACAATTTAAAAAGAGAATGAGTAAGAAAGCATGTCACACCCTCATATCTTTGTGACTCCATTTTTGTAAGCATTATATAATCCCTCTTAAACTACTTTGTAGCATGAAGGGTTGCATAATACCTAATTTGTAGTAGGGGGAGTAGCATAATACGTTATCAGCATAAGTTCTATCAAAGACCGAGGAAGAACAACGGTAAGAACTCCTAGGTTTGTTTTGCATCTCGTTGATCTGATTGTGAAAACGAACTCATCTTTCTGTCATTGTTCCCTTTTTGTGACTCTCGACAAACACTGCCACTGTCGACTTGGAGTCACCAGTGCAAGCCGATTGGGGTATTCTCTCGGCAGTCGGCACTAACTATGGCTCCGCCACATCGGGCCGAACAAGGACAGGCAAAAGAGCCAGCCACCACGCACTAGCAGTCAACCTCCACGCCCGCCTCGTGCCTATTCTATGATAAGCGATGCAGCATGCAGCTGTCCACTGTTAGTAGTGATTTATTGTTTACTAGGCGTTTGAAATATATCTCCATTTGAAATGTCGATATATTCTATAACCCTTTCAAATGGCGACAGCAGTACAGTTTTGTGATATCTCAAAATGGGGAGTCTAATTTTGTTGTATTAACAAAAAATGGTATAGCTAATAAAAAAAACTCGCATACCTAATGCCATACATCCTCATTCGACATCAAGACAACCCAATGCTTAATGGAAAAATTTTGCAACCCCTGCTAGATACAACAAGATACGTATGTAGCAACAACAATGATTTGAGCTCCATGTTGCCTTACCTTGTTTCATCAACTTGCCTGACATGAGCAAATAATGACATTTTTGCCGCTAAGCCTGAAAGAAATATGAAAATAGCTAACCTCATCTAGGAGGAAAACTTACTTGTATCGATTGTAGTGCTGTTGGCATCTAACATTTGCGAGATCAGTGAAGAACTTCTCTAAACGTGGTACAAAATCCTGTCCCTAGCGTTTTGTGGAGATCGCAGAAGCAGCAAAACAATGGAGTTTGGCTGGCGTGACAGTGAGTGTGTTAGCTTATACTGCACCGATGGCGTCGGTCGTTTTCCTCTGTTTCGCGGGACATCGCCTTAATCTTCTTAGGTTTTCGGTGTATGTAATCTCGTCCTTGAAATCTTAATAATCCCTCCCTCCGAAAGTCTAAGGCTTATTTTATTCTTTGGTTTTTTCCAAAAGTCTAAGTCCTATTTGTAGTCATTATATGCTAAATTAAATTGTTGATGGGAACCAAGAAGCCATTTTAGTACTCCCTCCATCTATTTTTGATAGTCATATTTCCAAATCTGAAAAAAATTATTTTTGATAGGCATATTTCAATCCAACAACTTATCATCTTAATGGTTTTCTTTGAATTTAATGCGTGACTCTCTATTCTTCCACACAAGATTGGCTACATGAGCATCGAAAAATGTAAATATTAATGAATCGCTTGTTTTACGAGGAATGACTAATACATGTTTAAAAATTCCTATGGAATAGGTAATCCTATGCACATTTTGGAGGAAAGTTAGCAAGAGGTCCAACCTCTTGGAAAAATTCCTTTGAGTCTATCTCTCTCATCTGATTCCTGCGTTTTTCCTATGATCCAATCAAATGGTCATTCCTATGTTTTTCCTGTATTTTCCAATCCTCTATTTTACACCTACATTCCTATCAGAATCCTGTATTTTTCCTATTCCTCTGTTTTTCCATTCCTACGATTCAAAAGGACCCTACACTATCGCAGGAATGAGAAAACGTAGGAATAGAAAAAACGTAGGATTTTGATAGGAATGTAAGTGTAAAACAGAGGATTGCAAAACACAGGAATGGCCATTTGATTGGACCGCAGGAAAAACGCAAGAATTAGAAGAGAGATAAAGACTCAAAGGAAAGTTTCCACGAGGTTCTATCTCATATTAGAATTCCTTCAAAACTTGCATGACATTAGGCATTCCATAGGAATTTCATAGGATTCCATAAGATCCATTCCTTTGCTTCAAAGGGCTATATAGGATAAATTTCTATAGGAATGAAATCCTTTAAAATTCCTATGAATTTTCTTTGAATCAAAGGGACCTAAATAAATAGTGAACACAATAAATTTGTTTATGCTCTGTATATACTACTAGTAGCAGCATGAGTCGATATACAAAAGTTACAGGATTGCAAGAGCCGAGTCGCCGAGTCCTATACACAAAAAAATTGAGGTACAAGCAACCAAAATGGTTAGGTAAAGCAAAATATATGTATGTACTCACTATTCTATACCACATTTCCCTCAGGTAAAACTATTAGTCCAACTAGAAAGGGCGCGGAGAATCCTGTAACAATATATTTTAACATTCAGTAAAGGATTAGACTTGATAAAATGTAGTGAACTTCACAAGATTCAATTAGAATGCAGTGTGTTCACTTACAGTGCATAATCAATGATTTTCAGGACAAGGTTGAGAGGACTGTCCAGTTGATCAATTAGCTTGCTTTAGTAGCTGAGAACATTATATAGAATCCATTTCTGACAAACTTGAAATCAATAAGCCCACACGCTCTGCAAAGATCTTCGAACTCCGCTTCTGATAAGAAGATATTACTGCCGGTAAATTGGCTGATGTACTGCAAGATAATTTCATGAGAAAAGTGTGATTGTGTGAAACAAAACAGATTCCAAAAGGTGATACTACAGATAGCAGGACCAGATACTCCATAGGTTAACTTAAATATGCTAATATCTACATGTTCAAGCATTAAAGGTTCACTCCAATTTTAAATAACTACCATCATTAGGAAGCAAATTAATTTAACTTCTTAAAACGAATCATCAGTCGTGGATAATTAGGTTCCAGTATTACCGGGCGTCCTATCCTCAATACCGGTACAGCTGGTGGAAGAATATCTGCAACGAAAGTGGAAGCAACGAAAACGCCCCCAGGTCTAAGGACTCGACTAATTTCTGCAACCTGAAAAGAAAGAAGACAATAATAATGTTACGCTTCCTCACAAGGTATCGATTGACAACTTGCTAAAAAGTATTTGTTGCTGGAGAAGTCTACATATTGTACATTCTACACACAGAAAAGCCACAAATAATGTACTGTGATTTTTCATAAACATGATTCCTTGTTCTTCAGTAAGTTATCAAGTGAACCTTAATACATGTGTAATAAGTACCCTGAGTAAGTTTTCATGTATCCTAGTGGTGGTTCATGTTTATCCTATGGTTAGTGCTTGTGTAATCACATACATGTGGCTATGGGAAGGTTGGAACCAAACAAGTATGAGCATTTTCTTGTTCTAGCACTATGTGCAATTTCAATGGGCTCTACAGATGGAATTAGACAAAAGAGAATATGCCATCCACGTGTATTTGAGTGCATAGAAGAACATCACTGAGGAAATGAGTATGGTTTTCTGTTTTTTTTCTTCTGAGAAAGACAAAGTCAGCAAATGCATAATATAGGAAACAACTCAAACAGCTTGTAGAACTCAACAATACTGAAAGACACAGTAAGGTCGTAAGAGTTTTTACAGACATAAAATTGTTATTCAAGTAGAAATCTTACAGCACAAGCTGGGGATGGCCAACAATGGATCGCAGCAGCTGCATGGACAGCATCAATTGAACCGCTCACAAAAGGGAGTCGGGATATATCAGCTCTCGCCAAGGCTAATGTCCTGAAACAGAAGTAATAAATAGCATTCAACGTTAGCATCAAGTATAGCATTCAACATTAGAAGAAATCAATAATGACGAAAAAATGCTATGAAGCATAAAAGACAATGCGAAGGACACAAATGAGTATTGCGACTTAATGAATTAAGCATGACAAAGGAATTACATACAAATGTTGGTGATTGGGGAACTGAGGACCATACTTATCTGAAATGTTTTCCTGCTTGACATATTCATTGCACTGCTTCAACATGTTCTCTGAGAAATCTAGTGCCACAACAAGAGAATATAGTTCACTCTTAACAAATAATCTTGAAAACAGGCCACTTCCACAACTTGCATCAACTATAATCCCTCCAGTTGTCGGTTTCAAATAAGTTTGAGCCATTTCAAACTGCAGTCGCGTTGCAATATTTTTCAGAAAGTGAAGAAATTATGCTTGCATGCACAAGATGATACATAAATGCTTTAATTATACCAAAGAAAATTGAACCTAATAAATTAACCATGGCTACAAGTTGTGTTCAGCACCAAGATTGATATTATAGGTAGAGAGTTTTGAGTACATCATCTCCTAAACTCAGCTGGTGGCTTACTTATTTAGTTTCCAGTGTTGAAAAAACGGGCTGGTTCCCAGTCCATCAGTTAACCCAACCACCTGATTGAGCTAGACCCAGTTTGGATGCAAATAGGACTTTTCTGGCTTGCCTTAACGAAAATGGTTGTGTGAACATTTGCGCATATATGTTGATCATATCCCTCTTAATATTTACCACACAAGTGTTTTGATTAGTTATAGCTATGTATTTCTAAAAAGCAAGAAAGAAGCTATGCAGCACATTTAATAATGATGGTCGCAAGATAGCTGTTTTACAAATGCAATAAAATCCTGAAGCATACAAAATAGTGAGTGGCATGACCTCTCTCTCTAGGCCTGGGAAACCACTCCAAATGAAATTTTGGCGCCATCCCCTCTCATAAAGAAATGATACCAGCGGAGTCCTGTTCCATAATCAACAGGAAATAAATAGTCTAAAGAGAAATAATCTATAAACAAGTATACCTATGTGAAAGACAGGCATATTTCATACCACATCTCCCAGATGGTCGAACATTTTCAAGGTTTCATAGAGGTGCAGAGGTTTCTTTCACTACATAACTACAGGCTACAGCCACAGACCACAAAGCATGATTTTGGCAGTTAATTGTAAACTCTCAAACAACTAATGCGAGATGCTTAGCTACATTCTGCCAACAATTCATAAGTCAGGAATACGTCAATTTAAGCACGATAGGTTTGGTTCCTCTCGTAATGTGATCTGTTCATCTAAGTTCACCAGCTTAACAAACTTCAGAAGACTCTGTTACCTGAAAACTTCAGTTGTCACTGTCGTGGATTCAGAGTACTCAGTAGAACCAACTGCTACAGTCATATCCCAGTAATCCCCTCTATTGGGATAAAATTTCTTGCAGGTAGAACACTCAAGACTAGAACTAGAAGCAGCACTGACCGGCCTGAAAAGATTCAACAAATTAACTATCAAACGGGGAAGCGAAGCGATTAGCATGCCTCGATATGCTGCTGATGTGAAAATGGAAAAATACCACTTACGCGGACTGATCGCTCGAGCTTATGAGGGGGTAGTAGCAGATTGGGCATGCCAGCTTTCTGAGCTTGTTCTCTGCCGCCGGTTCACGCTCCACCGAAGATTCCTGCGCAATCAATCGTTCATTCATAATTTGCAGTTAAACACATATTGCAGAGAAATTTCGCGTCCCGTCTCCAGCTCCTGGGACACGCGCAGAGCGCGTAATCCGAGGAGCACGCGCGCGCGAGTATCGAGCCCGCCACCCGTTCGACGGAATGCGTCAGAGGGCACGCTCACCTCGACGGCCTCGTCGGGGGCGGCGGTGACGAATTCGGGGGTGACGCTGGCGCGCAGGGCCGAGCGCGGGATGCCCTTCGCGGAGGCGGACGCTCCAGGCGCGCGCCGCCGCGCCGCGGCGCAGGACAGCAGGCGGTGCCCGCCGCGGCCGCCGCAGAGCGCCACGGCGGAGCCTGCGGAGCAGCGCGACCACATCGCCGGCGACCGGGAGCCGAAGCGCCGCGGCGGAGGAGGAGGCGAAGGCGAAGGTCTGGAGATCGTAGGAGCGGGAGGAGGGGTGTGCGGCGCGCGGGGCTCCCACGATGCCCACGAACGGGAGGCTGTGGCCGACGAACAAACACAGTGGCCACGAACCGTCGCTCCTTTGCGCAGCGAGCGAGATGATATCTGAGCGGAGTGGTGCGGGCCGAATCCATTGGACGTATCCAGTCCAGAGGCCACCGTGTTGGGTTGGGTACTTGGGCTACCGGAGGAAAGAGTTCGGCCCACCTAAAGTTCGAGGAATAAGTTTACTTAAGGTCCCTTAATTTATCGCCGAGTCCGAAATTCAACCCTAGACCGTAAAACCAGATACAATTCATCCCCACTTACAAAACTTAGTACAAAAGAGCTCTCGGCAGTATTGTCCTTAATTTGCTCTTGCCAGCTAGCAGCGTGTTTGATGTATCGATGATTTGATACAATCCCAACTCGATATGATCATGCGGTGCTGTTCGCGATGTGGAAGCTCGGGGGCAAGTGCGTGTGCTCAAGAGCGACTGCAAGACAGTCATGGCGGCGTGCTCCTGCTGCTGCCACGCGATGGTGGAGAAAACGGACAATATGCCATTCTATATGATGCTTACCGGATAAAATGCCACTCGGTAAAATGTATCGGCCTATCGGACAATACGCGCTCGCTGCATGCCCCGTCCTCCTTTTCCCGCGTCGTCGCCTCTTCCTCTGGCCCATCATCCCCACCGCTGCTCACCCGCCCGTTCGCCACCTTGTCCTCCTTCCGCCACCGCCTCATGGCGAGGCCTCCGGCACCGCCCACCAGTCCACCCTAGATGCTCCCTTTCCCCCTCTCTTCACAGCCACAGCCAGGGGTATTTCGGGCATAAAAATGGTAAAAACTTTCCAAAGTGGCATTTCATCCGGTAGGCAACGTATTAAGTGGTATTTTATCTGATGCATTTTATTGAGTGGCATTTCATCGAAACCCCACATATAGCATACTATTCGTTTTCTCTGCAATGGTGGCCGCGTCATGCTACCTCTAGTGCACGCTGTGGAGTACCAGGCGCTTGCGCCGCCACCATGACGACGACGATGTGGAGGAAGGAGGAGGAGGAGGGCCCCTCCTCCACAGGAGGTGGGGATCGAGTACGGTGGCCGTTGCCGCCGGGAGAGGAGCGCGGCGACGGAAAGGGAATGGAGGAATCAAGACCAGATGCGGCGGTCTTTGCAGCGAGACTGACGAGCTTAGAGGAGAAGGCGGTGGCCAAGGCGAGGAGGAGCCACCATGGCCATGGGGAGAGCAGAGGGTGGAGACCAGATTGTTTTTTTCTAGATCAAACTATCACGTAAACGCCACATCAATGTTACGTGGGACGAAAACCTAGTCAATGAGCCACGTAGGCGCCACGTTAGCCAAAACCAAAAACAATACTGCCAAGAGACCTCGTTTGCACTAGTTTTTTAAGTTGGGGATACGTTGCATCCGGTTTTGCGGTCCAGGGAAGAATTTAAGACTCGACGACAAGTTGAGGGACTTAAAATGAACTCATTCCAAATTTCGGCCCACCTCTTTCACTTAACCCACAGCTAGAATACGTGACGCGGTGACAAGATGCAACGACCGGCGCTCCTGGCCTGCCACTGCCATTCCCCGATGAGGAGGCGCCGCTCGCGCGGGAGGCTGGCGAGGTCGCTAGCGCGGAGGCCGAGGCGGAGGAGGAGCGGAGGGAGGGAGGGTGAGCTTGCGCGGACGACGCGTGCTGCACTCGACGGTGGCGCTGGAGGCGGAAGCTTTGGCTCAAGGCTCATTGTTGCATGGTTCACCATGTGGAGGGGCTGGTAAGTGGTAACTAGGTATAAAGTCGTGTTAATTATATCCATTTGGCTAGATGAATGACTTAAGGAACTAACACATTGTTGACGGTCATTAGCGATCAGTTTCGACCGTCAATACTACCAAAATAAAGGAGAACTAGTTATGCTTGCAATGCATATTTGTGTTAGAATAATAATATTCCACTAGTATTAGGATTACTAACCTCTTGCAGAGAATGAACACAAAATAGAGGAGAATCGACATCAAACCAGACGATCAATCAATCGGACGATGTAGAGAATCAGACTTATGCATGAATGGGCCAAGAACTCAGAAATGATACAACGAATTGGGCCAAAATTCACAAGTCTGCAGAGAAGAACAATAGTGGGGGCCACCTGCTAGAGCTTGGGCCAGTTGGGCCAGCCCAGAGTTCGGCCGAACCACCCTGGTCGTCGTTGGATCCAGGTTTTGGCTGGACGGCGTGGATCACTCCCCAATGACGGTTGGAGGGAAATTCCGACCATTCCAACTGCCACAACCGTCATTGGCAGCCTATTAAGGAGCTCATCTTCTCACTTCCTCTACACACTTCAAGCAAAGTTCTCTCATATTCTCTCAAGCTTAGTTTAGTAGTCTCAAGCTAGTGGAGTAGGAATAGAATAGAAATCAGAGTCCGGAGATCTTCGGAAGAGTTCGGGTATAGCTCTAGTAGCTCTCATTTCTTCTTTTGTAAGACTTGTACTTTATTTAGAATATTCTTCTGTATACAATTCTGGTATTGAAATACTTTCTAAGTATATGAATGCCAACTTTACTTTATATTCAAGTTATATTGATTATACTGCTAGCTTATCTGGGAGATGCATAGGTACGGGTGTAATGTTTGCTTATGCAATTACTCTATGTCATGACGACGATATTAGAGTAGTATCTGGTAGTTTAGGCGTGGTGTTTAGATTACTGGGTATCATTATTTGGGGTTATATGCTACAGAAGAGAGGTGGGTCGCTAATGGTAACAGCTCAGTAGTACGGGTAATCCTCCGCACGTGTATATAGTCCTAAGTTAATTTCCTAGGGAGGGTACTCCTCCGTATTTAGCCCTGGTTGTATGGTCATGACGAACTGTCGTAAGGAACTCGGCAGTCAGGGGTGGCTTCTTGAAGTACCAGGAGGGCATCGGAAAGAGGTTATTAGCCAGTTAATCTTATAACTAGGGTGTATGTATAATATGTACACTAGAAGTATAGGAATATATTCTTTTCTATTTTCTTTCCACTTATCTTAGATAGTTTAATATGAGAATGAGAAGTCTTATGCTTGTGTGTCATCCTACCCTATGAATTATATTAACCCCTACTTAGACTATGATTATTACAAGTAACATATAAATTATTAGTACGGTTCTCTCTACTATAATCTTCCCACAGGATTAAACAAATATGATACCCTTGAAATACTCTCAGGTGAAATACTACAATGGTATATACGTGCGCTTGCGGATAAACTCTGTATCCATAATATACCAGGAATATTTCTACGCCATTGCTAGGAATTATATTTCTAGTAATGTCGTTAAGAAATACCAACACACATCAGGTTGTTTCTGTTGTAAACCAACCTATTAGTGAATCAACGGATCTGTTACCTGTCCCTCCCATAGCAGTAGAGGCGTGAGATAATGTAGAACACCCGTACCCTTCCTTTTGCCCTCAAGAACATTACAGAAGTAGACAATGAACGCAGATATAGTGTGGAGCACTCTCTTTATTATAGATCTGATGTGTAGTATAAGCCAACCTTAGATGTTTCACCATGACTCTGTATATATATAAGTGTCTTAGGAGGAGATAGATCTTATTTTTACTTCGGTTCGAATTGGTACACAAGAAAGGATCTTATCTCCCTGGGAGATAATAATATTCCGTAACAGTTTCAGTGGCATGCAGCTATTTAATCGTGATCGCTTATCGCACTCAAGTTGTTGATTAGCATTTGCAGTCTGTAAGTAACAAAGCAAAATAATTTGAAGCTGGAGGATCGGGGTATAGATGGAAATTACATGAAAGGATGAAGTTAAAGGAGAAAGAGGCAATGGCTCCACATCTTCACCAATGAAAGGCAAGCTCGACATGGATTAGCAACTTCCGCATGCTGCCCTTTATGCACCTTTGATGAAGATGTGGAGCACCTCTTCTCCTACGTTGTTCCGGTGTAGCAGCCATCTAGCACGCCTTCGGCCTAGACGAACACCAGCGCCTCCCTACCACGACTCGAAGACGTCTGGGACATCCCTCCACACGAACACTTCGTCACTCCTCGAGTCTGGCGCACCATCCTTCTCGCTGCAATTTGGAATATTTGGAAACGGCGCAACAACAAGGTCTTCAATTCCCTAGATGACTCCGCACCGTCAGTTCTCCGGTGTTATACTAGCGACATCAACTTGTGGTCCCACCGATGTCACAATGTTGAGGGCAAACAGCAGCTTCGTAATTGGGCCTCGCAACTCTTTGTAATTAGCTCTTAATTAATCCTCTCTCTCACCCCCTTAACCCTTCTCCTATATATGATTTCTTCAAATCAATAAAAGTTCAGGCTGGTGTCTGACACCCGCCGTAGTTTCCCTTAAAAAAAACCTAACTTTATGTTTCATGAGTTATAAACAACTTTGCCGCATCTATCTCTCCCTTCATTCATGCTATGTGTTGCTGAAAGGGTATTTGAGATATCAAACTAAAATGAAATATTAAATTTATCACGATTGATCAAGTGTAATGCATTTCATTTCTAACATACAAGTGTATCGGACAATCATTGATGGGGAGGGTTACTAGTTTGTAATTAATAATATCAATATCTCTATATAGATTAACTTTTCCATGTTTGAAGTCAATTTCAGCACAATCTTTTATTCAAGATTACTCAATTCAAGTCTACCCATGTAAATTTAAACCTACTTAATTCACGATTGCAAATCGTACTTGTGTTTGTGTAGCCAATTTTATCTGCAATTCACGTACTGTCTTAAAATTGGCCTATTGCGTTGGACCAATGGATCGTGAGTTCGTGACACTGCTGTCCTTCAAGTTTGACCCTTGATGCAGAACGGTGTAATGTGTATGGACAGGAAGTTCAGGGTATGCTTGAAAACCAAAAGTGAGGCCAAAACCATGGCCAACTACGAATTTAGAAAAAAAATGTTAGGCACAAATGCATCTTTCAATGGGTTAGTTTTCGGATTAACATCTAGCTAATAGTCCAAAGTAATGGGTATAAAATCTTTAGAACAGAGGATTAACTGTAGCGGCTATAGCAAATACAACTTTAATAGTAATCAATCTGAGCCATCATGAATAGCTCAAGACAGTTGGTTATAGAGGCACCACCATGACCCAAAAGGACCCACTCCAACTAGCGCTCATGGTCTTTTTCTTCCTCTAGCTCTCTTTATTTTTCCTATGGAGAAAAAAGTTTTCTTATTCTCCCCTCCTAACTACTCCTATATTGTAGCCACAAGACGTCCCTATAAATCAATCCTACCATTGTGTTTCACACTTTCACTTTTGTTAAGGCATACAAACTCGCTATAATTGATGACATACCTTTTACCCTTCAAACCATCGCTTTGGCACTAAAATATAACACGTAACAAGGTCCTCTTGTCAAGATTCTAGTACTTAGGGTTGTTTATAGTCGGTTGCCTGGGATTGCGGTTTAGCCACAACCAACACGAATAGTGTGGCAAGCAACATGCTGTAACTGTTGTAGTCGTAGGCTTACCTATCGAATATCCCTAATATTCCCGAGTATTGGTATCAAAACTAAATGAGCCTAGACATAGAGACTTGTAATATTTGTCAACAAAGTACGAGTTTATTGATAAATAAACTAAATGAGCCTAGGCATAGAAATTTGTACGAGTTTGGTTGTGTATATAATTCTTAATTTTTAAGTGCATAGGTAGAAGATATGACTATACAAACAAGGATGCAGTCATATACAATGAACTTCTAAAAAAAATCTTTGTTATAAAAAGTGCTTATGTCAAATGACACCAATGCTATCATTTTAATGAAATTACAGGAACTGTTTGTAGTCTCACCTTGAGCTTGATCAGCTCAAGTTTGATGATCTTCATTTGCTTGATCAGGCTGTCCAAGACCATATGTCCAATTGTGAACCTAGACGATGCATCTGTCGCGAGAAATTAAAATTTCCCATTGGTTAAGGCAGACACGAGGATGCCATGCCATTCCACAGTCACAGACCAAATAACATGTTGGGCTCAGAGTTATGCATGGGATGAACCTAAGACGGTCCGATCCAGGTTGACATTTGACACTTTGACAGCCATGTGCCGCGGCGCCTGTGGATTATTCTCTTCCCTGTGGCCGGAGTTTGGGTTTTCGTAAAGGACCCACAGAATGCAGAATGTTAACAAGATTGATCATAATAAGGATCTCCGCAAGGAAGTCTTCAGCCTGCCTAATTACCCAATCCAACTCCTAAACAAACATTCAGCACAGACACAAACACAACCCTCTCTTACGTCAGAGCACTTCTTTTTAGTAGCGGAATGGCAGATCACTAGACCAGCAGCAGTAGAGCTAGAGCGGTGCTTGCTCTTGCTCGTAGTCGTAGGGTGTTTGGCCGTTTGACGTTTGCCCATGTGACCATCCCCACCCACTGTACCAAACCCCACGCCCCAGGTCGTCCACCTCCATCCCGCGTCGGTCTCGTCTCTCCCCCGTTTCTCCCCCCTTCCCCGCGTCGTCAACCCCCCCCCCCCCCCCCCCCCCCCCGCGCCTCAGCCGTTTCGTCCCCGACTCCGCACTGCTGCTGCTGGTGGTGTGGGTTCGCTTCCCACTCACTCACACACCCACACACACTATCCTCCTCCTCCTCGTCGCCGCGACGCCGCCTTTCTCTCCACCGCGATTTCTATATATAAAACGCCCCCAAAAATACCTTGCCCCTCCCTCACTCCACCGGATCTACACCGCCAACGCACAAAACACCCCATCGGATCTTGTGTGCTTGCGGCTGCCGGAGATCGATGGCGCGGTGGCCGAGGCCAGCGCTGCTGCTGCTGCTCGTCGCCGTGCTGCTCCTCTCCCACATTGCGCTCTGCTCCTCCGCCGCGGCGTCGGGGAAGCCCAAGGGGAAGGGTGTCGGGGGGCGGAAGGCGCTGCTGGCTGATGATGGTGGGGAGGAGGAGGAGGTGGTGGTGGTGCCGCCGCCGGTGAAGAAGGCGAAGGGTGCCGCGGCTGCGGTGGGGAAGATCAAGAAGAAGGTCGTCGGGGTGGACGGCAAGAACCAGACCAAGGTTGTGAAGGGCAAGAAATCGGAGCCCGCTGGTGCGGTGAAGGCGACCAAGAAGTTGTCGGCGGCGGCGGCGGCGAAAGCTTCTGCGGATGCGGCCGTTGTTAAGGCGAAGGTCCCGAAGACGGATAAGGCGGCGACGGCGAAGTCCAAGGGAACCGACACCGCGAAGCCGGCGAAGGTGGCGAAGGCGGGGAGTGCCAAGGCGGTGAAGCCGGTGAAGCCGGTGAAGACGGCGAAATCTGAGTCCGTTGTCGCCGCCAAGGCGAAGAAAGCGTCCAATTCGACCGTGGATGGTGGTGCCAAGCAGGCCAAATCGAGCAAGAAGGCGGCGCAGGCGGTGGTTGATGGGGAAGCGAGTGGTGGCAAGGTGAATGCCACCGCGAGCAATGAGGCGGCGGAGGTGGAAGAGGATGTGGTGTTCGCGGAGGCGGCGGAGGGGACGGACGACCTCATCTCCGAGTTCAAGGGCCTCCCGGCGCGGCTGCAGGAGACGCTCATGCCGGACCTGGCGCGGCTGTCGCACTCCTCCAAGCTGTACCTGTCCGCGGCGAACGCCGGGATCGCCGACGGCGTGCGGCCGATCCTGGGGGGCCGGTGGGCGGCGGCCGCCGCGTCGGCGGCCTCCATTGCGCTGCTGCTCCTGCCGCTGTTCATGCTCACGGCGCTGGTGCGGCGCATGGCCCCGTACCTGCCGCTCCTCCACCGCGCGCTGCTGCTCGCGCAGGCGTACCTCGCCATCTACTTCGCCACGCTCGCGCTCGCCGCCGCCGCCACGGGGCTCGAGCCGCTCCGCTTCTTCCACGCCGCCTCGCCGGCGGCGTACGCCTGGACGCAGGCCGCGCAGTCGCTCGGCTTCATGGGCTACCTCATGCTCCAGATGGTGGACCTCGTCGCCGTCTTCTCCGGCGCCGCCTCGCCGGAGGAGGACGGCAACGGGGACGCCACCAAGGCGCTCGGCCTGGCGCAGATGGTCGTCGGCCTCGCCGTCGGCCTGCACTACTACGCCGCCGTGTTCCACCGCGCCGCGGCCGGCGAGGCCCCCCGCGCGAACTGGCGCGTGTACGCCGTGTACGCCGCTTGCTTCGTCGTCGTCTGCGCGTGCGCGCGCGCCGAGAGGAGGAAGAAAGCCTACCTCGCCGGCGGCACCGACGGCGGCGCCGAGGAGTGGAAGAAGAGCTGAGCAAAATACACACAAACTTCAGGGTCTCATCTGCAAATTTCGCAATTTGGTGGAAGCCGAAGGGCATGGTTGTAAGAAGATTTAGGATTGGTGGAAACAAATATTCAGAAAAGGAAAACAAGATGAAAAAAAAAAACTGCCATTTTTCTTTTTTTTTTCTCCCTTGCACTAGCATTATTATGTTTTCCTTTTTCATATTGATTGGTTTTAGTACAGAGGGATAAATTGCCACAATGGTGGCAAAATAAGGGATAAGTTATTATTATTCACGAGATATTATTACATAAGGATCAAGAAATTGTGGTGCCCGGAGGAGAAAAATCTCCCGAGGCAGCGTGCTAATGTACTAGAATTTTGTTGAAAAATTGAGGTGTTCAATTCTGAAGAAAATGGTCTTCAGTTCACATGCTGATATGCATAATCCGAGTGATATTGTTACTCTGTTTGCATGGAATTTAGGAAATTAATGGAGAAAGAGGAGTGGGTGTAATGGGGATTAATGATAGTATGGGAATTTGGTGAGCTGTTGTTGTTTGGGGAATTAAAGAGGATTTGTACTTCTCGGCTGGAAAAGACCTCTGCTTTCACAAAAGTATCACGAGATCCTTGGGGATAGCTAGCCTAGCTTGTTCTGATGCCCCTTGATCAGCATCAGCTTGCTGTTCTGCTTCTGCATAACTGGCAAATGCAGAAAAGCGTATCAGCATTATATTCCACACAGCTAACTGATAAGAAACTAGCTAATTTTCTGTTAATTTTGCCTCTTCTTTTTTAACTTTGACCAATAGTATCTTGCATTCAGCAATTCAGGAAGTGTTTTTGTAATGATGTTCTGATTCCAACACATCCATGGTGGGCACCGTGAAGCTTCGGCAGCAATCATTCATGGATGTTTTATGGCCTGGCAGATTTACTTAAGCAGCTGTGAGTGAGATACAGTGAGCAATTGGAGAGGAGAGGCCTTGGACCCCATCCCAGAGTTGGTGGCCTCTGTTTGCAGGCGTGCCCTATAGTAGTGGAGTACTCCTGAATAAAAGAACCAGTGCTAGTAATCAGGACAAAATAACTGCACTCAAAATTACAGCAACTGTAAATACACATACTCATATATTGACATATCACATAACCCTGCCTTTCTTGAAAACCTAACTGAACAATGTTCTTATTTTCTGGTGAGAAACCAGAAAGGAAAAAAGTCAAAAACAGATGATATCGCACTAACTGATCAGATAGATGGGTTAAAGAAAGGGCAGGCACATCTCCGGAGCTACAAAATGGTGGCTGAACTGAAACCGAAACTGAAACTGAAATCGCCGTGTTGACGAAAGGCAGGCAGGCAAGCAATGCCCAACAGTTGTTGACTGGCTTCTTCAAGATGGAAGCCTAGCCTTGAAACATATATGTCTGCATCCATGCCTGGCTGTCTGGTATTACTCCTAGTTGTACCTCGCCAGATTTGGTTTGGTTGAGTCGCATTTGCTGCACTTTACAAGCCATCAGTGGATCACCCCCACAATTTACTATCACTGCTACTTCTGCATACCAATAAACACCATGGCAGTACTGCTGACGCTCAATGATGATGAACAAAGAAGCATCATCAGATCAATTGAACAACAATTAACAAAGGGCTTGTTTCAAATGTTTTTTTATATGACTGTGGCTTATAAACCGAAGACACACGTAATCAAACACATCAAGAAAATAATTTGAAGGTAAGACTTTTCTTGGCGGTCTTAAAAACGAAAGCTCGGGAAATAAATGATGAATAACCCTAAATTAACTCTGAAGCTCAGGAGTAATAGTTTCATGTCTCTTAAACCCCCAGCTCATCAAACCCAACAGGCTTAAAGACGTCAACATCGCTAATCTGAATTATTTATTAACACTCGTATGAATTATTGACATGGGGCTGGGACTGATCACTTGATGATGCATAAATGGGTTGGCTCGAGGTCACCTTTTCCATGGCTTGCATGGCATGGCAATGGCAATGGCAATAGCAAATTGGCAATGGCATATTGGCGGCATTGGCTGTGTGTGTGACTTGCCCAACCCACCCACCGCGTTGCACTTGCACATTTGCACGAGCTCCTCATCCCAAACCCTCGTTTGGCCCGGCTCGATTAATCGATCGACCCGGTTGGTCCCCGCCTCGAAGCAATGATGCGAATGCGTGTGTGCGAAAGTTGCAACCACGCCGACACGCGTCTCGTCCAACTGTGTTGTCCGTGAGGAAGAGAGGGGCTCCGGTAAGTAGGGACTAGGGTGGTTAGTTAGCGTGCCAAATTTTATTTAAGAATACGAACACATATTTAAAATATTAAACGTAGATCTTTATATACTAAAAGTCCATTAAACTTCCTACAAACGCTCTTAAGTCGTCACATGGCACTCTAATAAATTAGAGAAAATCCTAGAAATTCTAAGAAAAAAACAAAACATATGCCCCTTAATTTTCACTTAAATTGGTGGGTCCAATATTATATACCGTTAGATGAAATTGATCTTAAAATAAACTAAACCAAATACTATGGGCCCCACCTCTCCTCCTCCCTAGATATATACGTACGTACTGTACGTACGCTTCTTCTTTCCTTTCTCTGTTTTTTTTCAATTTTTCTTCTTTTTTCCATTTATATAATATATATATATATATATATATAATCATAATTCATGCGTACGCTTCTTCTTTCAATTCTTTTTTTTCCTTTTTTTACTTTTTCCATTTATATAATAGATATATATTTTTTAAATAATTATATTTTACAAACAAAAAATCTACCATCATACAACTCAGGGGTAACTAAATTATCTCTAAAATTTTTGAAAATAAAATTTACACCATTATCTGTTACCCACTAAATTAATAATAATGTAAGATAATTTTCATTTAAACTGGTGTACTCATTACTTTGTACTATTATGTTTAAATAATACACTATTTTAAAATAAAGTTTACACAGTTATATGTGTACATATGTACGTGTACGTACGCTTCTTTCGCTTATTTATTTTTCTTTTTTCCATTTATATAATGGAATATATATTTTTTAAATAATCATAATTTTATAAACAGAGAATCTACCATCATACAACTCATAGGTAACTAAATTAGCTCTACAATTTTTGAAAATAAAATTTACACCATTATATGTTACCCATTAAATTAATAATTTAATATAATTTCCATTTAAACCGGTGTACTCATTACTTTGTACTATTATTTTTAAATAATGCACTATTTTAAAATAAAGTTCACACATTATATTGTATACATACGTATGTGTACGTATGCTTCTTTCGCTTATTTTTTCCCCCTTTTTTCTTCTTTTTTCTATTTATATAATGGATATATATTTTTTAAATAATCATAATTTTACAAATATAGAATCTACCATCGTACAACTTGCATGTAACTAAATTAGCTCTACAATTTTAAAAAATAAAATTTAGACCATTATATGTTACCCATAAAATTAATAATTTCCACTTAAACCGGTGTACTCATTACTTTGTGCTATTATTTTCCAATAATGCACTATTTAAAAATAAAGTTTACACAATTATATTGTGTACCTATCAAATAAACAATTTAAGATCTATATTAACTAATTTATACGTGCATTTAAGCCGATGGACTCATTATTTAAATCACTGGATTTATTTTTTATTACATTGGACTATTATTCTCCAATAATGCATTGTTTCAAAATAAAGTCTACACTATATTATGTACCCATTAAATTAACAATTTAAAATCTATATTAACTAACTTACACTTACACTAGAACCGGTGGACCCATTATTTAAATCATCGGATCTATTGTTTTCTTATAAATAAAGCGTTCGAAGTTCTCTTTTTTGGCCCGCTACACAATGCACGTCTGCACTTTTGCCTTTTGCACGCGTGACAAAGCGCCGTGTCTAAGGCATCTAAGGTGATTACGACCGCCACTACGCTACCACTTTGCCACATATCAAGTCATATATGGAGTTGAATAATTTTATTAATAACATGTAAAGAAAATTAAAGGTGTGATGCCGTGAGAGAAGAATTAAGCACCGCGGGTTGAATTTTTTCCAACACTTAGCTCTGTTTAACCTGAAATTAAGAGTTGATTATAGAATAATTATAATGTATTGTGTTATGTCATATTTGGATTTTGTACTATTTGTTCGTACAGGTGAAAGAAATTATTATGTTATAAATGTGAGCATAATATTAACAAATATTAATAGAACTTTTACTAAGACAAGCGTGCTATAAGAGAGTTTAACCCTCTTTTTTTTCCCAATTCCATAGTTTGGGTTTTCGTTTGCACGCTTTCCAAGTTTCTAAATGGTGTCTTTTTTAAACAACAGTTTAGCTTTTTAGAAGTCAATTCATTCATTTGTACCCTCAAATAGCTATCATATAAATAAGCTATTCTAAATCCTAAGTAGTACATGTTTTTTTCATGCGAGTGATGGTGATCAATAAATTGGGGATCAATGGATAATCAAAGTCGTAAGATAAATATGTAAGAGCTACTATGAACAACTGTAAATAGGTGTCAAAATTAATTGCTATTAATTAGACATCTAATGGCTTGCTAGCCACATAATTAATTTCTCTCTAGATGTATATAAACATGGACGAAGCTGGAATAAATAATACCATATGCCCCATGCATATATATTATGTGGTTAATATTCTAATTACATGTGTTAAGTCCTTTAAAATTTCTTAAAATGCTCTCAAACTGCCATGTGGTGCTCTAATAAATTAAAGCAACTATTAAAAATTCTAAGAAAAAAAAGCAAAATATCTATTATTTGATTTTCACTTAAATCGGTATGTACAATATTATAAACCATTAGATTAAATTGATCTTAGAACAAACTAAATACTACGAGGTTCCACCTCTCCTCCCGGGGCATAGGTACGCACCTAAGTACGTGGGTACGTATGCTTCCTCTCCCTCTTTTCATTTTTCCCGTTCTTTTTTTTCCATGCATGCGCTTTCCTCCCATTCTTACTATATCATGCGTCTTCATGAGATGATTTAATCATAAGAATTTTAAGTATCTTGCTCTATAAATGGATTGTATAATAATTAACTTGCAATAGTTTCTTATTTACTCGAGAAAAAAAAACATGATTCAAAAGTCATAAGTACTTAATCCATCTCCTACTCAAAAGTTTGTGAATGGTTTTTTAAGATACTTTAAGAAAAATAGAACCTTTAAATTATTATAAAATAACATTATCCAAACATTAGTTTGCCCTTAATTTATGAGACAAAATTTTCGAACAAACAATAATCTTATCTTTTAATAATATAATGCCCGCGCATCCGCGCGGGCCACCTTCCTAGTTAATAATAAAATAAATTACAGATTCCGTCTGTAAACTACGAGATGAATCTATTAAGCCTAATTAATCCGTCATAGCAAATATTTAATGTAGCACCACATTGTCAAATCATGGCGTAATTAGGCTCAAAAGATTCGTCTCGCAATTTGCATACAAATTGTATGGTTTTCTCGTTCACATTTAATGCTTAATGCATGTGTCCAAACATTTGAGGTGTGTATGCAAGGTTTATAAAACTGATTGGATTTTTTTCCATTTGAAAATTTATTTTAACTTATTTCGGGAATGAATTCATTTCACGGCGCCAAAGCGCCATGGTCCACCATAACGGTGCCAATATCAGCTTATCCCCCTAGTCTCCCCGTGTAAGATAAGTCCTTATATAAAGAGGACATCGCTAATGTCATTGACGCCGATGATCCATTTATAAAAATATTTTAGAAAACAGATTTATTTATAATAAAACAATATTTACAAGTAGATTCTTGATGCCAATGACACTGGCACCGATAACTATTTGTAAATATTGTGTTATTATAAATATGTTCTTTCGAATTTTTTGAACTAATAGGTTCTCGGTGTCAATGACATCGGCGTCATTCCTCTTCATTTAAGTACTTTGCTTCCGCGGAAGGGATGGGTCATTGGCACCATCATGTTGGACCACAATGCCAATGATATTAAGATTTCAAAAGATCTAAAATATATATAAAAAAAAGACAAAACCGATGTGTAAACCGACTTGGTTTTTATGAAACATCTGACACAATCGACTGGCTAGAGAACACAAATTACTTAGTTTGAAGATCAAGTTAAATTGAAATCAACTTTTATATCTTTTATAAAACTAGAAAAAATACCTGTGCGTTGCAACGGGTGAAGACTATTTTAATTTTATTATTGTTATATGGTTTAGTTAAGGTGAAATTCACTGTGTTAAATTCGCTTGGATATATATTTTGTTCGAAAATCATAAGCTGCAATTAGTAGTCCGATCATCTCAAGTTAGTATGCGAGTTTTTTAAAGAGATATCTTATACGATTCATTCTGTATTTCCAAAAGCGGACGATCTTAAAACCGAGTCAAATACATATTTGTATTTTCAAAAGCGAACAAACTTAAAAACCGACTCATAAACGGATAACATACCAAACTACCGACAAAAACATATTCAATTTTTATAATAGTAGAGATTTGATTCGGTGAACCCTAGATGTGTGTCCGTGTGTGGCACAATGCCAATTTACCTAGTTTTGAGCACGGTCACTGACTTTGGTTGTACGCTAAACAACACGGTTAATTAAGGTCCTTTTTCTAGAGGATCGAGGTTGATGCTGGTTGGACAGTGGATAGTTGAACTAGACAGTGGACAGTGGATTAGTAGATTAAATCGCTCGAGGATGGAATGCTTGCTTCAACCATAATTTTGGCTGGAGCTCGCTGACATTTGACCACCATTTTCGCGGGTGAAAGACCACCGAGACCATCGAGGAGGAAAAGATCAAAAGAGTAGAAAAGGTGCAGGAGATTGCATCCTACCAACTCCACTAGTTAATGAACATGTCGTGGTTAATGAACACGCCACTAATTAATCAAATATGTCGTGGTTAATGGCGCCATAATGATATCCTCGCCCTGTCACTGATCGATCTTTGCACGTTGGCCAAAACATGGCACGCTAAATGTGCTCTGCTCTTGGAGCACTGAGAGCAAGATTGTGAGAGGCAGCAGATGTCGTTGTGGTACAGATGGTTAGAGAATCCACTCATAACGCGTGAAAGCTCCATGACACTCGCGTTGGTTGCTGCCCCTGAGCCACACTGAGCTAGTAGCACCTAGCAGAGAGTACGTGCACTATATGTGACACTAAGTTGTGAGCATGATGAATAATCCAAAAATCCTAATGACCCCATCTGCATGCCAGGATGATTGATTTAAAGTATAATTCATCAATTAATATAAATCAGCCACGATGAGGATATTTAATTTGAGCAGTCAGCGGCAACAGTAGAGGAGGCCGGGCAGGTGAGGCCTCTCTCGCAAGGGGACAAGGAGGAAAGCAGGCGACGGCGGCGTCGGGCGGGTCACAGGCGCGCATCGGAATGCAGCGCCGCGGCGTCGTCTTCCTCCGCCCGCCCACGCGCTTTTCGCTAAACCTTGGATGGATGGGCGCCAGAATGTCGAGTGATCGATCGATCACCGACACTGCCTGCATTTACTTCCAACTAACACGCCATCAAGTCCTACTAGCTAGCACTACGTTCCTTCAGTTCTCTGTATTGAGGTGGTGTTTGGATCCAGGGACTTAACTTTAGTCCCTCTATTTAGACACTAATTTAGAGTATTAAATATAGACTACTTACAAAACTAATTACATAAATGAAAGCTAATTCGCGTGACAAATTTTTTAAGCCTAATTAATCCATAATTAGATAATGTTTACTGTAGCATCACATAGGCTAATCATGGATTAATTAGGCTCAATAGATTCGTCTCGCGAATTAGTCCAAGATTATGGATGGGTTTTATTAATAGTCTACGTTTAATATTTATAATTAATTTTCAAACATCCGATGTGATATGGACTTAAAAGTTTTAAAAGTTTTAGTCTCATCTAAACAGGGTCTGAGTCTTTCAGAAAAAGGCTGCCTGTATTATTATTGTTTTTTTTACTGAAATATTATTATTGTATAGTACTCCGTGTATTAAGCTGTGACAGGGCTGCATCGTCGTCGCCGGTATTCCTGCTGTGCTGAGCAGGGGGTCATCATCTGCTGGTTTGCACCGATTTTATGGCGGTTTTTGCACACAGCCCCGACGGCCATGGCATACGCGGGCCGTCGAGCCTCGAGCAGTGTCTGGCCTGCCTGTCCATGAGCTGGCAGTAGTAATTACACGAAGTATTTTGAAGACGTCAGGGAAGGGAAGTGCCCATACTGCTATGCGACCTAATTTAACCCGGTTTGGCAAGTTTTTTTTTGAGAGCTCTCCACTTTGAGTACAAGCTGTAGTATCTGAACATACGTGCAAACGCACTCCACCACGCACACACACTCCACACACACACCCCTACACGCATGCACCGGTTTGGCAAGTTAGGGAGGGGGACCAGATTTCCGATATTGTGGTTCAGGTATTGAAATTCGACGAAAAGATGAGGGATGTAAAGTGGACCTTGTTCCTCGGCCTGTCTTACATACAACCCGAAGATGGCCCAACAACAATGCTCCCCCGACAAAAGGCCCATTTTTCACTCCCCTCGCCTGCGCGAGCGAGCGACCGAGGCGGATCCCCCACCGTCGCCGGCGCCGGCGAAGCGGCTGGGCGGCGGCGGACGCGGCTCAGGCGAGAGGCCGTTCCTCTTCCCGGAGGATGGTGTCTGGCTACTACTCCAACGCGCGCTTCAGAGATCAGCACATGTAAGTCGTCTGCTACCTTCGCACCGTTGCAACATCCACCCATCGATCAGATTGGAGCCCTACTCAAGTACTCATCCTACCAAACTATAAGAAATTCTCCACACTCGCGATTGATTTGCCTAGATGAAGGAAAATTACTGCTTAACAGGAGACCTAGAAGTTCAGGCTGTGTGGGTGTTTTCTGTTGTACCTGTTTTTTTTTTTTTTTTTTTTTTTTTTTCACGAGTGTCAATGTGAGAACGAATGCACCGCAGATCTGTAGGTAATAATCTAGATTATAGCCTGATTGGCTGTAGAAGTATGTTTTGTCAAGAATGATTTTAGGGAGATACATGCTCACCGATAATGATAGGTGTTGCGGGCATTAACCAATCTTTCCATGTGTGCTTCAACCGTTGGTTTGAAATTAGCATGATGGAATCATTAGTTCATACATTCAAATGCTTGATTCAATGCTTGAAATCACCACCTTAATTTACCTTGACAGAAGTATGTGAGTCTTGCTGTCTGACATGGTGATAGATTCAGCACTTTGAGTTTTATCGAGTCACAATGCTTAGACATAATTAATTTTACAATTCACTATACATTTCTTCCTTGAAGACTGATGACTGATCTAGGTATGAAAATATAAAACGGAATATGTTGGATGGTCAGGGTGAGAACTGGGAACATAAAGATAAGGTGTCAATGTGATTTGCTTGGCTTCATAGATCACAATATGTTTGTTCTGTTTCACTAATTGACCGATCTTGAATCCTGACAACAGCTTTGTGATGCTTCAACTGTAAACAAAAACAAGGACATAAATAAATTAACATAACAAATTACAAACTGCTCAATTTAAGAAGAATAGGTTATGTACAAAGTATGGAACTCGTACCTTAGTTGTTGCTGGAAATATTCATTTGTTTGGTCCCATCTTGTTGATCCACTGTGCTCATCCCCATCATATCCAGTATCATCATCCCATTCCTCCTCATCTTTCACTATTTCATGTTCTGACAGTCTATACATTTCAAGTGTAGGATGGTTGGGAAGAAGGTAGACTGCATTTCTAATTGCAGACTCAGCAGCCTCCACCTCCCAATTCCTTGCACCTCTGCAATGAATGCTGACACCGAGATGCTTGAGGGAGGTAAGTTGCTTGATACCGAAATCAAAATCAACGCCATATGCAGACATTGCATCATGAGCACAATATCGAAACTCAAGCCGCTGGAGCTTTGGTGTTGCTCCTTCTTCAAACATCAAACCCAATCCATCCTTTTTGTTTTTCCGAAACATCAAACCAAGCTCACCATTCACTGGATAAAAATAGAACAACTTTAAAGATTGGAATCCACAGCGACTAATGACTAGTGTTTCTTGTGGGGATTCCTCAAGGTAAAGTTTAAGAGATAGCAACGCAGGCATGTTTTGTAAGATCTTCATATCTTCCACTCCAAACTGTTTTACGTTGATGTCTAAAAATGTGAGCTCAGAGAGGGAAGACATCCAATTAGGAAGCCTAGGAAAATAAAAGTGAGAAACCATCCGAAACATCTCAAGATGACATGGAGGAGGGTACCATGAATCAACCAAGAAATCCAGTAAAAGACTGTAACCGTGTGTAATGTGAAGGGATCGGAGGTTGTGCTCTCCTATCTTGCAGAGTGATGAGATAATTGACTTTGTGTAGCTTCCCTCATCGTGAATTTCACCATTAGGATGCCAATATATAGAAAATACCTTCAAATTGGTTAAATTACCCAACTCAACCACAACATCCACGGAGTTCTTGCTTCCATCAAGCACCACTAGCTCCTCAAGAGATCTCATGTTGCTGATCCCATTTGGCATTTTTACACCAAAGCGTCCCAACAGTAGGCGAACCAATTGCTGTAGTTGAGTTATGGTCTCTGGCAATTCTTTTATTCTCGTCCCTCTGAGGTCGAGTGTTTGCAAAAGTTGTAGCTTCCCAATTTGTGCTGGGACCCTGCTAATGTGGCAGTTTCGGAGACTTAGATACCTCAATTGAAATAAACTTGCAATATTCTCGATGTCTCCATCCTTCAAACTAGAACAATCCTCTAGATCCAGAACTCGTAAAACTTGTAGGTCAAAGAAAGGGGGCATCTGCTTCAGATCACCAAAGACACTAAGTGACCGAACCTGAGAAAATCTGTTGGTTCCAAGCCATATATTGGTTTTTTCATGGTTTGTTTGGAGGGAAAGACGCCTAACCTTGTTAGTTGAAAGCATGGACTTCTGGTCATCAATTATAGTAATAAAGTTCTCCTCAATTGACAAGCATATAATGAGATCTAGCATGATATCATGCACTCGGCAAGCCTTTGCTCTACCAGTATAGTCGATGTCCACTGGTTGCACCATATTTCTATTGACCAACTCATTGAAGTACTTTTCTCCTACTTCTTCCAGATTCAGTCCTTGTTCTTCAGTAATCAATCCTTCAGCTATCCATCTCCATATCAAACGCTCTCTCTTGATCACATGATCCTCTGGAAATACACTTATATGCAACAAACAGAGCTTCAGTTGATGAGGTAGGTCATAATAACTTAGAAATAGTATCCTCTTTACTATTTCTAGATCTTGGTTTTGCTTGAGCATGGAGCCGATAGAATTCCACACTTTTTTCCACTCGTGCTTGGTAACTGGTTTGGTTGATAATAGGCTAGCTATATTAATTATGGCCAGCGGTAAACCACTACATTTTCTTAGGATTTCATCAGTTACTTCTTTGAGTTCTGTAGGGTGATTATCTTCATTGCCGAAAATCCTTTTCAAAAATAATTTTCTTGAGTCGTCACTACCAAGAGGTTTAATATCATAAATATAATCTTCATGTGTAAAGCAGCAAGATTGTGCAACGTCTTGAATGCGAGTGGTTGTCATTATCCTGCTCGCATTGCTGTTATATGGAAAAGCACATTGGATAACTTGCCATGCTGATTTACTCCATATGTCATCAATTACTATGAAGTACCTATATACAAATCATAAAAGGTAAACTGTTACTGTGTTAGTAGGATTGAAGCAAGCTTTAACGGTAGCATCCAATCCCAAAAATAAAACTGTGCTTTTTCGAAGGGAAGAAAAAAGAACTTCAGTTTCATTTGCATAGGTGACCAATTGACCACACTAAAAATACACATCTGACTATGTGAGCAAGCAACAATATAGCATGTTTCCTTCCAACCTTCACTCATGTGGATCAAATAGATCGTGATGGTTTTGTGCCTTTTTTGCTTGGTTCATCCTATAGTGCTAGAAAGTTTGACTTGGAATCGTAGATTATATCCAGATCAAACCAAGTGTTTGCACACGTTCCCGTAGTATAAAAATTTATACTTTTGATCCTAGTGATATACTCTAAATATATCAAATCCTTTCATACCTGTTATTTTTTAGATATTCTTTAATCATGTTGATGAGTTGGTGATCTTCCAATGGTTGATTAAGATTTTCCTTGATCCTCCAGAAGTGATCCTTCTGATAATCTGACATCGGGTTGCTTGTATAAAGAACTTCTGAAAGTATGTCTCTCAAGATCTTATTGATATTAGGATTCCGTGATACAGATACAAAAGCTGTGCAATCGAATTGGCTTTTTATCATTTGGTACACCTGACAGGCGAGTGTTGTTTTTCCTAAGCCTCCAAATCCAACAATTGAGATAACCTTGCGATTTTGTGCAAAACCATTGCCCTTGGTAAGCCATTCGACAAGCTCATCCCTTGGGCCATCGATTCCCACTAGTCTATCCGCTTCCTCAAAGAGTGCTGGTAGCCTGGGGTCGATGGCCACTGCCTTCGAAGTAAGGATATCTACATCAAGCTTTAGCCTCTTGCGTCGGTCATTTACCTCTACAGCACGTTCCTTCAGTGCAGCAATCTGCTTACCAGTGTGTCTGTACACTTTCAGTGTCCTGAGCCAACTAATAATCTTGTTAATGAGCCCATCACTAACACTTCCATGGTCTAGGCTGTGCAGAAAAATGTCGATGCAGTCCTCAATGTCATAGGATAGCTCCCGCAACTGATGTATCCACAACTTCACCTGTGAGTTACAGTCCTCCAACTGTGATAAGTCCTCAAGTGCAGCCTTCATGATGATCAGCTCGTCTCTCAGGGATGTGATGCCGGCTTGAACACCTCTGAGCTTGCTGTACTCCCTCCCAAGTAGAACGGTGAGCTTCCCAAGGAGGGAGTTCGTCACCCCCATCAATGCGATGGCTGTTACTCCTACCATTTTTGTTTTTCTGTGCCTCTCTTTGCTCTGGCTAAGATTTGTTGGAATGTGCAGGGACTCTCGGTGACATGGGAGACTAGAGAGTAGAGCTGTACTTCGAGCTTGTTGGTGTTGAAGACACTTGTGTGGTGCTTCCAGTTATCTTGCCCAGTGGGGTGTCTATGTGAGTATGCATGCTGACTCTGTGACACAGAGTGCACAGTCTGAGCTCCACTTGTTGAGCACCTTATTTTCAAAAAAAAAAAAAAAAAAAAAAAAAAAAAAACTTGTTGAGCACCAAGATTACTGGCTACTTATTTAGTCAATGTTCATGCTGCATTCTTCTCCATTGGGCATTGCATCAGAAATTCTCAACCACGCGTGAAGTTCTTGACTGAGACAGGTACATAGTTTAAAGTTAGACCACATGCTTATTCTTTGTAACTTGCTTAAATGGCACAGCACAAAGTCAGTCTCAACGCGTTGTTTCTCTAACCAGGATGGCTGAACTTCATTTTTCTTCTCCTTTTACTGTTGTGAAAATATTGTTTGAATTTCTTGCGACTTGCTCTATTCTCAACAAAAATGTAAGAGCTAAAATTTGTTTGTACCGTTTCATCTTTTCTTTAGCCTATATTGCAATTTTTGTATTTTTTTCCCTGCAGAAGTAATAACTCAACATGGTAATCAAGGAAGCAAAGATAAGTTTTTTTTTTACATGAGTCAAAAATTATTTTGTTTAACCATTCTCCGAAAAATAAACTGCTGCTACGAGGTGCTCGAGCAAATCAGAAGTTAGCTGGTAACATCTTTGAAAGAAATGCAGAGAGCAAAGGGTGAAGACCATGAAAGAGGGGACACAAGGTTTCGAGGAAAAGGGGTTATACACGTGGTGATACTCACTTGACGGTGCTGTTATTTTCGGATGGATTTGAGTTTTATGAAACTCAACAGGCATTAGCCAAAGGTCCTTGTCACTGAGTAAGTGGGTATACTTTGAGGAACAGTGTATGCTAAACAAATGTGTTTTGATTTGGACTTGTGTAGTTGTGTTGAGTGAAATCTTCCATGTATTTTCATCTGTTTGTTCGACACGGTTGAGTGCACGACTACACGAGTGACGTGAGTCTGATAGCTCCAGTGACCAAGCGCGTAAACGTGACATAAAATGCACAAATGGGAAGTCTTTGCTTGTACTTTCTTCCATCTAAGAGCATCTCCAACAGTCTCCTTATCCCCTTCTCTAAGTTAAATTTTGGCAATTTTGATTCAATTTCACCCTCCAACAGACTGGCTATCGGGCTGGCCAAGCCATCCGGCTGGCCAAAGTCCTCCTTCCACTAGCCAAATTTGGCCAACCAAAATAGCCTAGCCAATCGTGGGCCCCACGCCGACAGCATCCCTCTTCCCTTTCTCTCTCCGCCAACCATCGTCGTCGAGATGCCATCGCTGGTGCTGTCGAGGCTGTCGTTGCCGGAAGCCGCCGTCGCCAGCCGTCGTCGCACCGTCGTCAGATCCGCTGTTGCCAGACGCCGCCGTCGTCGTGCCGTTGCCAGATCCGCCAGGTCGTCGTTGAGCCGTCGCCAGCCGTCGTCGGCGCCGTCGTCTCCGAGGTCGTCGTTGCCGGACGCCGCGCCGTCGTCAGCCGTCGTCGACGCCGTCGCCAGCCGTTGTCGGCGCCGTCGCCAGATCCGTCGCCAGCCGAGGTCGCCGTCCCGTCGTCTCCGAGGTCGTCGTCGCCTGCCGTCGTCATCGCCATGCCCCGGCGGATTCGACCGGTGCGGCATGTAGTAGAGGACGCCGCCATCTCGCTCCTGCCGTTGTGTTCGCCGCCCGCGCCGATTGGCCGCCCCACGTCCACGCGAGCTCGGCCCAAGCGGCGGCGGCGGCACCTGCTGCGAGCTGAGCAGAGTGGGTTTGGGGAAAAGGGGGGAGAGATGAGGAAGAAGAAAGGGTTGTAGAGACTGACACGTGGGTCCCACTGTCATAGGCTCATAATAGAGAGGATGAATGGAGAGGCTGTTGGAGTAAATAAGAGTTTGACTGGCTAAATCAGATGGAGAGTTGGCCAAATAGACATTTGGAGAGTTAGATTTGGAGAAACTGTTGGAGATGCTCTAAGAGGTAACCTCATCGTCACTTGAGTAATAGTACCTTCGAGGATAGGATTGGAAATTCCCCTTTTGTACTTTGCTTGAGTTTTTTTTTCCAGGTCTTCAAGGGATATTGGTGTAAATGTCAGTCGAGGTATACAATTAGAGGTATATATCTCCTTACTAACACTATTAGGTACATACATATATGTACTATGTATGTATGTATCATCTTCCTTTGCATATGCAGCCTGCAGCATGTATGGTACTCCTACATGAGGAGCATAGTACGCCTGCTCGTCATTTTTAGCCATGACGTCATCCCAAAATATCTTGATTTCAGGCCTGGTTTAGTTCTCAACTTTTTCTTTAAACTTCCAACTTTTTTATCAAATCAAAACTTTTCTACACACATAAACTTCCAACTTTTCCGTCACATCGTTTTAATTTCAATCAAACTTCCAATTTTAACGTGAACTAAACACACCCTCAAGCGAGAGGGGTGGTTTAGAAGCAGCATGACGGCATTCCTGATGGTTGCCTCAACAGCCTCCACTGGGTACTGACATGTATATATGGAATTGATGTCTGACACGAAGCTTGATCCCTGATTTAGGCCCTACCTTTTCAGGCTTCAAAGCAGATTTAAAAAAAAAATGGAGGAAGAGGCGACCCTTGTCGACGTTTGAGATCGTGACTACGGTATTTGCATAATATGTGGATCGTTGGTACCAGGGTATATACGAGATTGAAGTAAAAGAGATGGAGACAATGATTTTTATACAGGTTCGGGTCCCTTATCTGACAGGTAATAGCCCTACTCCTGTTGGCCGAAGCCGGTGTTGCTCTTATTCATCATAATCACACACGTACAATATTTGGGATAACCTATTTAGTTATCGTCGACTTGGCAGCATAGAGTCGACGATAACCAACTCGTAGTCAACGACATGGTAGTCTTCTTCCTTGAATATGAACTCGTCGAGATTAGAAATGGTGCTAGATCACTCGTAGTCAACGACAGGGTAGTCTTCCTCCTCGAATATGAACTCGTTGAGATCAGAGATGACGCTAGATCCCTCTTGCCGGCCTCCAAAGGCACCGGATGGAATATGTCTAGGTTAATCTCTTATGTCGATGTCTAGCGGCGTATTGGTTTGTTTTGTTTTGTGTTGGTCTGTATGTCTTGTGACATGTCCCCTCTCCTCCTATGGGATCTTGTATTTATACCTATTGTTATCTCTCTATCCAAGTAGAACTAGAGAGACCAATATAGATACAATCCGAGTAGTCCTTGTCGTTTCCATATAGAACTTTTCTTATCCTTTCTTATCCGGAATTCCTATATACGAGGTATGATTCCGTATAAAACTTGGTACATGGTGAGCCCTGCCGAGCTTAGTCAATTACTGTTATGTATGTGGTACCAATAACCATGACAACCCTCCAAATATTTTTTAAGAAGAAATTATAAGCGTGTTGAGAATTAAACACCGAGAGTTGAAACCACACACTCCTTCTCACTGCAATATCAAGTGCATCTCTAAAAGCGGATTTAAATTTTAAACTTTGATTTTAGGATTAGTTTTGGACAGATTTTTCACTTGCTTTCGTACCAGTCATGGAAATAGAGTTGGGCAACAAAAAATGACAAAGAAAACCCTAAAATTAATCTTAAAACAAAAGTTTAGAGCTCAAAATCAGCTTTGGATTATATAGGAATAAAGAACTGGACAGAAACCTGATGGATTCTTTGGTGGCATGAGAGGAACGAGTAATACCATTGTCAAATGTAGTTTTCAACTTTCAGCTGTCGCAGATGCTACATGCTAGCTAGATGGTCTTCTTCTAACTGGTACTGGTTCCCTCTAGTTGTTCAGTAGCATCATTGTCCTCATTCGTTGCCATATGTTCTTTCAGAAATTTTCTTACTTCAAGGGAGGGATGATTGGGGTGAAGATTAGCATGATTTCTTATGGCAACCTCCGCGACCTCCACCTCCCGTGCTGTTGCACCCGCACAATAAATGTCCACCAGGAACAATTTGAGGGAGGTCAGTTGATGGATGCTGAAATCAGACCCGCAACCCCGTTCAGGTACTGTAATATGAGCATGATATCTAATGTTTAACCGCTGGAGCTTTGGCATAACTCCTCCTTCAAATATCATACCTGGTCCACCCTTTTTGTCTTCAGCATACAAGAGAGAAAAATCCTTTAGACACTGGAATCCACCATGGCTGATGATCAGTGTTTCTTGATTGGATTCCCGTACTTCTAGATAGAGGTTTACCAAGACAGGCAAGTCTTTCAGTGGCTGCATATCTTCCTCTTCCAACTGTTCTAAACGGATATCTAGGTAGATGAGGGTGGAGAATGATGATATCCGTCTTGGAATCCTGTGGAAGTGCGCCATGCCATTCATCTCAAAATGGCGGAGATGCTGTGGAGGAGGGTACCATGACTCTATTAAGAAATCCACGGTACAATAAAGGTATAATCGGGTAATATTTAGAATCTGGAGGTTACTTTGTCCTAGCTTGCATAGTGATGATACCAAAGGCTTCTTGTACCTTTCCTCATCCTCACCGGTTATATCATGATCCCAATGTATGACAAGCCTTTTTAGTTTGATTATATTACCTAGCTCCAGAACAACATTTATGGAATTCTTGCTGCAATTGAAGCACCTCAAATACTGAAGAGCTCTCATGTTGCTAATACCATCCGGCAATCTTGCCTGAAAACCCAATTCAAGGGACACCAATTGGCGTAGTTGTACAATGCTTGCAGGCAATTCTGTCACTTTTGAGTTTGTCAGGTCTAGCGTCTGCAGCAGTTGCAGCTTCCCAATTTGCCTTGGGACCTTTGTGAATGAATGGATACATAAATACCTTAACTGATGTAAACTTCCAATATCTTCAATACGGACATTGTCCTCATTCAAATGATTACAGCCTTCTAAATCTAACACCCGCAGAATTTGAAGGCTTGAGAGCATGGGAATTTGCTTACAATCACCAAATGCACTAAGTGACCGGACATGAGAAAAATCACTAGTGTTCAGCCATACACTGTTCTCTTCGCAGTTTCCTTGGAGGGAGAGGCGACGAATCTTGTCAGTCGAAGATGTGATCGTTTGACTGTTTACTATAGTAACAAAGTTTTCTTCAGTTGACAAGCATATGAGTAGATCCAACATGATATCATGGATTCGGCAGTTGATTGCTTTACCGCTGTAGTCCATTTGAACCAATTGTACCATGTTCCTATTTATGAGCTCATTAAAGTACCTTTCTCCTACTTCCTCTAGATTTTGTCCTTGCTTTCCAGAAATAAATCCTTCAGCGATCCATCTCCATATCATATGCTCACACTTAATCAAAAAATCCTCTGGGTATCTGCTCAGATCCAATAAACAGACCTTCAAATAGTCAGGTAGATCATAGTAACTTAGAAACAAAATCCTTTTTACCACTTCCATCTCGTGATCTCGTTCAAGCACACAGAAAATAGAATTCTTTACCCTCTCCCACTCTTGCTTCGTGGCTGGTTTTGTTGCTAGCAGGCTAGCTATATTAACTATAGCTAGTGGCAAGCCACCACACTTCTTTAGTATGTCACTGGTAACCTCTTTCAATTCAAGAGGGCAAGCATTTTCATGGCCAAATATCCTTTTCAAGAACAATCTTTTCGAGTCATCAACGCCAAGGTGCTTCATGGAATAAACGTGGCTTTCGTGTGGAAAGCTACAAGATTTAGCAACATCTTGAATACGTGTGGTCATCATTATTCTGCTTGCATTGTTGTTACTAGGAAAAGCGCATTGGATGTCTTTCCATGCTTGTTTACTCCAGACATCATCAATCAAGACGAAATAGCTGTAATTCAATTAGCAGAATGATTAAGAATGCAGTAGATATTTTTAAGAAGATTATGAATAATATGAAGACCTTCAACTCAAATTCTCTAGCTTCCACCTTTTTTTTTCTAGCTTTTAACACTAAAATTTACATGTTCCACCTGAAAACATTTTCAACTTATGACTCAATTTTTGAAAACTGTTGGTTGTGAACTATTTATTTGAAATTGGTGAATATTCAACTCAAAATTTCCCATGTAGGTTAACCTACAAAATTTCAACTTTCACCTCATAATATCCTGCTACCTCCTAAAAAATGGCAAAGTTTAAAAAAAGAGCTATTTCCAGCTATTTTACAGCACTCTTTGCTGCTAATTTGTGGTATCTCTTGATCTCTTCTTAGTGTACCTAGATGTACTACAAATCAACAATAGAAGGTGTGTAAGCCTAGTGTAACCTCTTCTTGTGGTACCTCTTCTTAGTGTACTAGTGTCACAGGAACTACTGAAAAAGCATTTGGGGAGACAATTTGGAATTTCTGTAAGCCTAATAGCAAATGCCAAAAGTGTGATACGTGTAGTTCATCCTGCAATTTCATACCTTTTATTCTCGAGAAATTCTCTAGTCATGTTGACAAGTTCGTGATATTCCAATGATTTACGATTGAGATATTCCTTGATCCTCTGCATAAGTTGCTTTTGGTCATCCGATGTTGTGTTGTTTGTTTTAATAATATTGGACAATATGTCAGAGAGAATCCTGATGATATTAGGACTCCTGGATACAGACACAAAAACTGTCCAACTAAATCTGCTTCTGACTTTCTGGTATACTTGATTGGCGAGAGTTGTCTTGCCAATACCTCCAGATCCAACAATAGAAATTACTCTCCGTTTATTGGTGTCACTGGTGACCCACTCTATGAGCTCATCTCTTGGGACATCAATACCTATGATTCTGCCTGCCTCCTCAAAGAATGCCGACAACCTAGGATCAATGGGCACATAGGCAGAACTGGAGGGGACAATGTCCAATTTGAGCCTCTTACGCCGGTCACTAATTTCCACAGCATGCTCCTTCAGCTTACCAATCTGCCCTGCAGTATGATGGCAAACTTTCATCGTCCTGATCCAACCAATAATCTTGCTAATAAGCCCATCATGAGCATCATCCTGACCAAGGTGTTGCACGAAGACATCGATGCAGTCCTCAATGTCGTAAGAAAGCTCCCGCAATTGATGCATCCACTCCTTCACTTGCTGGCTGGGTTCCTCCAACTGTGATAAGTCCTCCAGAGCAGCCTCCATGCTACGTAGCTCATCTCTCAGAGAGGCGATCCCACTATGCAGACCTTTAAGCTTGCCATACTCCTCTTCGAGTAGGGTAGAGAGCTTTCCTAGGAGTGGATTCATCACCCCCATCAAAGTGCTTGCCGTTGCTCCAACCATCTTGCTATCTTTGTGGGCTACGGCTATGTGATCATTTAAGAAGGAAGTTTGGTATTTCAAGGGGATGTTTCATACCGCTCATCAAGTTGTCATGTATGTGGGAAGAAGGCATACCTGTCAAAGGAAAGTTACACATGCATTTATTTAAGTAATGAAAGAAAGGGTGAAAGCTTTAGAACGAGGAAGAATGCAAATGACATCCTTGATATTACCAGGGGCATGAAAACTGTCTAATTATTGGACAGCTCAGATAAGTTGACTATAGAGAAATAGTCCTTCGCTGCTGACTAAGTTGGCCAGTGATGAGACATATTTCACAAAAGAGAGAGAGAGAGAGAGAGAGAGAGAGAGAGAGGGAGAGTTGGGAGACATATGCCAAACAACCATCTAGTTGATTTAGACTTGTCTAGACTAAATGGCTCTTTTATTTGTCATGCATCACTGGAATATCTCTTTTATTTGTCATGCATCACTAGAATATATTGACAACTGGGCTACTAAGTGGAACCAATCAGCGCAGGAAAGGTGATAGCAAGTTACATGTGGGACAGAAAACTCTTCAAATAATGGAAGAGTGGAACAGAAAAACTGAGTCTTAAGACATGCCAAACAACCATCTAATTGATTTAGACTTGTCTAGACTAAATGGCTCTTTTATTTGTCATGCATCACTGGAATATCTCTTTTATTTGTCATGCATCACTAGAATATATTGACAACTGGGCTACTAAGTGGAACCAATCAGCGCAGGAAAGGTGATAGCAAGTTACATGTGAGACAGAAAACTCTTCAAATAATGGAAGAGTGAAACAGAAAAACTGAGTCTTAACTCCTTTTTCCTTTCATGTCTACCTCAGAATTCAGATGTTCAGGATGAACAACTATCTCGGATAGTCGGGTGCTCAAAACACCAGGGCTCCGTGCTGACATTAGGATTTTGCCATCAGGGAGACTGGGTTCCCAACTGTTTCGGTAAACGCAAGGATATTTTTAAAAGACTAGCTAAATACCTGTGCTTTGCTACGGACTAAAACAAATTAAGGTTTTTAGGACAATTTCATCCCTGTAGATGTTATATTGTATAAATAAAATAAGATATAATCGTGTCTGCAGATGGTCTATTTTATTTACAATAAAGTATATGAAGTATTCCCTCCGTCCTATTTTAAGTGCAACTATGAGTTTTTGCGCCCAATTTTAATCGTCCGTCTTGTTTGAATTTTTTTTATAATTAGTATTTTTGTTGTTATAAGATGATAAAACATGAATAGTACTTTACTCGTGACTTATGTTTTTAATTTTTTTTCAAAAAATTTTCGAATAAAACAGACGATCAAAGTTGGACGCGAAAAACCATGATTGCACTTAAAATAGGACGGAGGGAGTAGTTGATAGAAAATATGATAGAGTATTTGGTAAATAAAAAAACTATATTTGGTGAGGTGGTGGCCATTAGTCCATTACCCTCTTTTAAAAGGAGTACTATTGCAACCATGAGCAAGTGAACTCACCATCAGGCTCCGTCGTTCCCTCTCCCCTTGCTTCCACTCCCACTATGCCACTACAAGTAAATATAGAAAATGAATATATGAAAAACAGACTAAGAAAAAAAATGTGAATTAGAACATTGAAGGATTCAAAGAGAGTGTTGGAATGATATCTGGAAAACAATTGAAATTTAGGGGAAAATGGGGAAAACAATCGGAACAAGTTGAAAATAAGAAAGTAAAATATATTGGATCAGATTGCCTTCTATGCAACATGAGAGTTATGGAGACATGATGCATCTGTTTTTCTGAATGCCCTTAACCTCAAGCCTGCTGGTCTGCTGTTGGGATATCCTGGGATATCTCTCTTAATTTTAATATAATGATGGTTGTAACTCGATTGCAGTATCAAAGTGATTGCTTCATGGAAAAAGCTTTTAATGATTACTTGGAACATCTAGAAAGTGAGAACGGCTTTATCTTTGAGAACAAGCCGATCTCTTTTGTTCTTGGAGAAACCTTGAAAGGACGATCCTTTTTCTTTCTTCTGTTTAGGCTTACATTAATAAAATTTAACAGCGGGCCCTCCCCTGTTGTGTTCAGTTAAAAGAAAAAAAAGAAGTAAAATATGCCCTTCCAAAAACAATTGAAAAATAGAAATATCATAAAGAAAAATGATAGAACTGAAAAAATATATGAGAAAACTTATCAGTAAAAAATTGAAATTCTATGGCAAAATTGAAAGATTAAGGAGGAAAAAACAAACAATATAATAGAAATACAAATACTACTTCATAAACAAAATGAAAAATGAAGAAACTTTCAGGAGAAAAGGTAATGAAAATAAACTCACAGCTCCTTCCTGAAAACCGGCGAGGCCGCAGCGCCAAATCGCGCGGCGACGTGGGGCGGTGGGGGCTGCGGCCCGAGCTCAAGGCGTTCACCCAGCTGCACCGCGTTCCGTTCTCCAAGCCCAACGCTTCCAGAGCTCCTCCTGCAGCCGCGGCTCGTGGCCGTTATCGCACTATCGCGTTGCCTCTCAAGTCTCACAGCTGTGGAAGGTCGCCGCCGCCGCACCGCCGCGAGTCTCCTCGCTGATTATCGGGGGATTAGGTCATCACTATTAGGGAGAAGGGGAGGAGGGGTTGGGGTCGGGGTTGAGACTTGAGCGTGGACTGCTTGGGAAATGAGGAATGGGAGAGAGAACAGCTCGTGGTCACAACTCACAAGTTCGTCAAGTCCCGTCTCTATACTCCTATCTCCAACGATTTGACAGCCAGATTAGATAATGCTCTTCGAATAAAATAGTTGTCTCAATATAAATATTATCTCTAAAATACTAGTACTACTTACAGTATGCCATAATCACATGTTATTTAATTTCTTTCTTATTTTATTCGCAGCTATATTATTTAACAAGATGCACTATATTATTTTTACTTTGACAAAGTTGGTTACATATAGCATTGAAAGTTTCAATTTTTGGTTTTATAACATCGACAATTCATAGTTCACTTTAATAACATCAAAAGTTATAGTCGTTTAGGGGTGACAATTTTCCTCGTGGGGTCTGCGACCGTCGAGTATCTGTCCCAACATGGATGGGGCGGGTGCTAATTTTGACCCGTGAGGAGTCGGGGGCGAGGCCCCAGACCATGGGCGGGGGAGGACAACCACCCACGGGCCCCGAGGTGTATATATTAGACTATTAACACTAGCATATTACAAGCCCAAAAAACCCATCTAACCTGCCTTATATAAAGCAAAACCCTACATTTCACACCCATCCTACTCTATCCTCATTTTCTCACCCACCTAGCCACCCAGCCGCCACTCTCCACCGGCGGTCGGCCCGTCTACCGCTGGCGAACCAGCAGCGGCTAGGCGTGGGCATTGGTGTCGATGGCAACACACGGCCATCCATGTCGGTGTCGACAGTCAGGGGCACGACCATCTACGACGGCATCGACGTCTAGGGGAGACGCGTCCATGATGACATCGACGGCCAAGCGCGTCCAGGGCACGCATTTGCATCGGTGGTGAGGCATAGCGCACCGGTGACGGCGGTAGCGGTGCTCAGTCACCAACCACCCCACAACTACCGCCCCTAGCCCCTATCCCCAACTGCTGACCGTGCCTCCTCATCTCGCCACCCACCTCGTCGTCATCCGGCGTCGTGGTCGCGTCACCGTCCTGAGCCACACTCACCTCTTCGACGCATCGTCGAAGCTCACCCATCCCCGCTCGTCACCAAGCGGTCTAGTTGGATGGTGCGGGGCCCTGCTCACCCACCGGGTCCCTTACAGGGGTGGGAACGAGTGAAGTTTTTCACCCGATGACCTCTATGGTGCTGGGCTGAGGGAGAAGTCGAGGAGCGGGGGTGGGTGTTCCAGACCAACCCGCCTCTGACCCGTCCCGTTTCCAACCCTACGTTTGTTAATTCTTTTAGCACTCTATCCAAGGTTTTGTTAGTTTTCTGTAATTTTTAATTTTTCTAAAAATATATGATTTGAAATACCAAATGAGCTCGAGTCCAGCGTGGTCTCCATGGCCAGCGGTCGTCCTGTCTTTGTTTTTCTCTGCCATTTAGATTGATCATTTCTGCTACTGTGCCCCTCAATCTCACGCACTGTCCGCACTCCGCTCAGCACCCGAGCCACCGCAACACTGCGAGCAAGTACAATAATGATATAAGCAGGTTATACATGTTGCTACATCACATTTGTGGTTATGTGAAGGAGAGAGAGGAGAAGAGAGAGGCAAAGCGGGCTATATTGTAGCCAGCTGCAGCCAGGGACATACCTACACTATCCTACCGGTGTCACCGGACACCGGGTAGAATTTTAATCTTCAGTTGTTTTAGCATATATTAACTATATCATTAGTTAAAATTTAGAGTATTATATGTGTTATGACATGTAAAGAACCTCCGGTAATTTTCGTTCTAGGTTCGCCACTAGCTGCAGCACGAACTCCAATAACCTACGTGAGAGAGAAATATGAGGAAAGCATTAACAGTGTAGTATGTATCTATAGTTAACTATTGTATTAGTAGATAATTAAGTTAGCTATAGATGATGTGTTAAGTTTTGCACCTAACAGTTGACTATATTATTAAACCTGCTCTTAGAGCATCTTCAGTGTGATAAAACAAGCACGTGTGCATCGGCTGCTACTTGTCAGAGAAAAAAATCGACCTCTCTTTAAAGAATTATTTATCGGCTAGGAGCATACTAACTAGAGTACTACATATGTACTGTGTAACCAAAGATCACACTACCAAAATATGTTAGCACATCTTAAATAATGAAAAGTGTAACCTAAGATGTAACTAGAATGTGCCACATCATCCGATGAATATTGGCCATCGGATTCACAAAATGACAAAAGAGTTAGAATCGATTTTGACCATAGGATCAAACTTAAGTAGCAATAAAAACATAGAGTGTTCTAGATCCTTCTAGCAGGCCACACAAGAACCTCTTACTTAAGATGGTAGAAAGATATCGCATAACTATAGTACCTAGACTTCATTCAAGTATGCAAAAGAAAATAAAAAGTAAATTTGCTAAAGCAACAATGAAAAATGGTGTTTATGATAAAATTCATTAAACGAAAAATGGTCCGTACATTTCAAATTAAGCTTATTTAATAGAGAGGAAAGTATTGTTATGTAAACACCATAGTAAAATTATTTCATAAAATAATTATATGTTTTATATGTTTTGGACAACAAATTATGTAATTTCATATTATCATTAATATATTTTTCTTACACACCATTCATAATATGATGGTTAGAGTCGCTCAAGTTTAGCATAATTATTGTAAATTATTTATTGTCATGGTAATATTTATTTATTACAGATCAAGATAAAACAATTCGTGTTATACCTAGACTTACTGCCAAATTCGTTATCTTAACATATATTCATGTAAGCAAAAGAAAATTAAATTTGCTAAAAGCATCAACGAAAATGGTGTTTATGGTTGCACTCACTATTTTGTTCAGACTAAAGATGGGAGGCACAATTCAAATTACAAGTCTATTTACACCATTACTAGAAATGGAACATTTAAAAGTTCAGCAAAGAGGGAGGCAATGGACACAATAATGTATGTTAAATTATTTGTTGTTATGATAATTCTTAGAAAGTATGTTTGAAAAATGTCTTTACATTGTTAATTATAAAAATTTAAGCTAATCACTGTAAATAATGTGTAAAATATATCTAATAAAGAGGGAGCTTATATCACGTAAATACCGTAGTAAAATTTCATAAAATAACTATATGTTTTATACGTTTTGAACAACAAATTTATAATTTTTTATTAACGTTAATATGTTTTCTTACACACCATTCATAACGTGATGGCTATAGTCTTGCGAATGCACGACTTAATAAACTAGTGTTAATTAAAAGGGATCCCTAATTAAAATTAAGAGATTTTCTTTTGCTCCTTGTACTCATGGCTGGACTATCCGGAGACACAGGAATGGAGTTGCCTTTTTGTTTGACTTGTGCCAAAGGCGCAGTAGCAGCGCTATCGTTTGTGTTCTTCCTAGGAGCTATCTTGGCTTTAGCTTTGGTCTTTGTCTTAGCCTTGGCCTTAGACTTCTCTCTAGGCACTGGTAGTGGCATCAACACACTCAAAGGTTCACATCGTGTCATTGACCTTGATCTGACATTGACATAAATGGTAAAGGAAACTGTGAGCATATGAGGAAGTCAGGCTGTGTTTAGATCCAAAGTTTGGATCCAAACTTCAGTCATTTTCCATCACATCAACATGTCATACACACACAACTTTTCAGTCACATCATCTCCAATTTCAACCTAAATTCAAATTTTGCGCTGAACTAAACACAACCTCACTATTGCAACGGTAGATGGAACTAATATACCTAACTGACCTGATGAAGTATTACTGAGGTTCTATCCTTTTTTCCCAGTTTGGCAGCTTTTGCTTGGTGGATATGTCATTGTTGCAGACAATATTGCATTTTGAGTAGAAGAGGCACTAGGAACATGTTCAATGCTAGTTTCAGCATGTGCATTAGTAGACTTTTGCCTTTTTTTTAAGGTCCCCTGCAACGAGCAGTAGGTTGTATAACAGAATTTACAATGAGGGTAAACAAAAAATATACCACATTATTATGAGAATTTTCAGTATATGCCATCCAATTCAAACTGTTTTCAGGATATATCACTCAATTCACGTCACTTTCAGAATATGACATCCGAAGCGCGAATTCCTTCGTTACAAGCCACTTTTCTCTATTTTCTTGAACTAGAAAACATGCCCGTGCGTTGCAATAGATAAAAACGTTTTTTCAATGGTACAACCGCTATTAAGAACTAAGCAACGAATTGAAACATTAGGATCGCTATCTACCCTATAGTTCAACAAATGGTTTCACTCATTTACTCATTCTTTCATTTCTCACTCAACGGTCCAGATCAGATCATCCTGGTGAAATGCCAACAGTCCAGATCGCTCCCACCTCCCACCTCCCTCGTGGTCCAGATCGATCGATCCCTCGATTGCGCGCTCCTCTCCGCTCCGTCTCAAACGCTCTCACGCGCCGCCGCCCCTCCTCTCCCCAACCCTAATCGTTCCCTTTCACGCTGTCGTCGCCGCCGCCCTCGACTGCCGCCGATCCCCATCGTCGCATCAGTCCTCTCGCCGCCACCGATCCCCGCCCCGACGCTCCGCGGACGTCGCATCAGTCGTCTCACCGCCACCGATCCCCGCCGCCGGCTCGCCCTCAACCCGATCCCCATCGCCGTCGTCCCATCCGTCGTCGTCCAGGATTCCCGTCGACGCGATCTGCTCCTCGCCGCCACTGATCCCCGACGTGCCTCTCCCTTATCATACCCCTGGCCACAGACCAGAGTCAAGAACAGGCGACATGCGCGGCGAGACCACGGTGGACGAAGCCGGGTGGTGCTCACCGCGAGGGGCTCGGCAGAGGCGGCGCGTCCACGCCGGGCTGCGACGGAGCGGAGTTGATGACGGCGTGGTGGCCGGCGTAATGATTGGATTGGAGCACCACATCTGCTCGGCCGTCTCGCCCCTGACCTCTATTGCAACGCCGTGCCCTGTGCCCCTGTCTACCCACGCCATTTCCAACCTCGACAGCGGCCATCGCGCCCGCACTGGCCTGGGTGAGACACCCATACCAGCAGGCCACAAGCAATGAGGTACCTCTTGATCTTGATATGCACATGCGCAATGTGATGGAAGTATCTGGTGGATGAATATATCTTGTTTACTTGAATCATTCACACTTGTTTATGGTTCATGCTCACTTTCTTCTCTCTCCCTAATTCGGTTTGATGGTAGCGTCTTCTCCCTTGATGCTTCTAGATTAGGACTGTTCAAGAGATTGTATACAACCAGATTAGGAGTGTTGAAGAGATTGGATACATGTCCAGAGGACAAATATAGGAGTGAGGAGTCATCATTTTTATATGGATCATATTTCTGAATTGATGAATTGATATGAGTACTTGCATAATCTGATTTTAGAATGTTAAAACAGTTTTTATTCAACAAAAACAGATTTATTTGAGCTCATTCTCTTCAAGTTTGTTTGCACATGTAAATGAAATTAATTATGGTGGGATTGTTAAATCTCTTTGGCATACACACTTTATTTATTGATTTAACTGTAACCACATGCAACGACAGAAAAAGTTAATAATGAAGGATACAGATTTTTTAGGCAATCGATGCTTTGGTCCATAATCTGGGCAAACATGCTCATGGTCATAAGATCATATTAACCAATCGACACGGTTTTACATTCTGTCTATTTGAGTTTGATTCCAGGCTAGCTACTGTGATTTTGGGGCGTATGGAATGAGATGTATTGTGTCATCCCTTTTCTTTCAATATCAACATAATTCAAATTTACATGATCAATGAATTATTCATTAACTGTATTTTTCCTCTACAGGAAATCCAACGATATTGAAGCTTTTCTAAGAGGAATTTTATAGTACTTGAGAAGGTACCAAGTACCAAATCTCTGCTGTTGATTTCTTAAGATCCTATGGAATGTGTCATATTGAAATTATGTATTATGAATTATTTTTGAAATGTTGCAGCAAGATCAGCCTCTAAAATATGATCATATGATTGCAATCAGATAGTGATGAGCACATCAGTCAAGACATGAAGAAGATCATGAGATAAATTTGCCTGTTAAGAGAGCCTAAGTGGTGAAGCTCATTCAACCACAGATGCGGCAAACATGGATGATGTTTTTTTAGGTTGATTTCAATAACTACATGCTGAAGTGCAAATCCGTATATCTGTCCTATAATCATATTCTTAAATGAGGAGATGGTCAGGGTACATTTTAAAGCAAAGGTAAGTAGAAGCTGAAAGTTAATTTCCCCTCCTTTGATGTTTGAGGGAGAAGATCCCTGTTGATGCATAAAATGGATGCATCAGAAGAAAAACGATGGTTGTTGTTTGGTGAAAAAGACTTCACATGCCTTAATTTTGGTTTGTTTCTTGTACAGACATGCTCAAGCAAAGAAAATATCAGGATAAGGGAGGCTTAAGCTGATTCTGAATATATGGTGTGTTGGAGGAAGAGCAAGATACGCGCTGAACGACATGATCGAACTGTAGCTCTTGCTCAGGTGTTCATCCTAATCCTTTTATATTTTTTATTTCTCCTGTGCAAAATATTTTCTTAGATGAAATTGCTACTCCTTATGGCATTTAAATCTGATCATGGTTGCTAAATGTTTCAGCGAGTACAAAAGCCAAAGAAGGATTCGAGCAGGCAGCGCCAAACTTCTGAGATCAAACATGCTGAGAAATGCGAAAAAACAACACCCACAAACTTCTGACAAGAACGAAAATTTGAAAGTGAAGTGGCTGTTGTGGAAATGTTAGTACTTACAAGTTCCCCCTAATGCTCGATTGCCATATGCGAACTTTTATAGGTGAAATCATATGGTGTATCAAGCCATTGATGTTTTCCCTTTTTGCCGATGTGTTGTAAAGTGGCAGGGTTATGTAATTCTATAGGTTAGGTTAAAATTGACATCTCATTACTGTAATGCTGCAATTTCAGTCAGTGGAATATCAATTATTTGGGTTATTTAGAAAGATAAATACAGCTGATGGGTACACTATGTGATTTTGTATAAAGACAGTTTGTTTCTTTCTCCTTTTGTCATAAGGGTTAAAATTCATATTTGCGTATGTGCACATGCATCTTCTTGGTTACTGTAGCAGTAGGACGGGCATGCTACTAGTACATTATAATTGAAAAAATAATAAAAATTGTTTCTTGGTTTTGGGCTTAAAGCCCATTCTTTCCTTTCTTTTCAGGCCCAACCCAGTCCGCGTGGCCTGCCTCTCTTCGATCTAGTCCACACATAGATCTACAGGCCCAGCTCGTATAGCCGACTGCCGTCTTCAACCTCCAGGTAATCCCGTGCCCATATGCCGGAGCCGATCCTCCCCATCAAATCCAACCGATTTTTTTATCTCTCAAAATTGGTTGAGAGCTTTTGATCCACTCGATCTGCTCTTTCCGTTTTTTCCGAAATCGGAACGACAACAAAATTCGTGAAATTTTTTAATGCGTTATCACCAGAAAGAGAAAAACACCACAGATAACTCATAATTCAAATCAAACGTATATACCTGTCTATTTAATAGAAGAATATGAGTTTTTTCTTTAAAAAAAAAAGTCTGCACATCCACATGTATTGCCTAACTGCCATTAAACCGCCATTTTGACAAGCACATCCACTAAAATTGTCAGCCTGAAATCATTTGGGTATCCAAAACACTTTAGTATTTTACTTCAACTGAAAACAGAAACAAGAAAAAGAAAGAGCTAAGGAACAATGTAACAATAGACGGTTTAAGAGGAAGATTAATATATTACCAAACCATATTGGCATCTCGATTTTGGCTGGAAACTTTATGTTTAGTTCCATGTTGTATGATGTCCCAAGTCAGCTCTGCTCATCATTTTCCACATTCTTTAAAATTCTACGAATTTCAACGTGGTAGCTTCCTCGGAGAGAAACCGAGTTAGCGGTTGCAGCCAGTGCAGCCTCCATCTCACAATCACTTGCATCCCTACAGTCGATGAAGACACGAACATGCCTGAGGGAGGCAAAGTGCTGGATGCCAAAATCGAGTCCAGCTCCATACGCAGATACCATATCATGTGCGTTGAAACCAAACTCAAGCTGCTGGAGCTTCGGCATAGCCCCTGCTTCAAACATCACACCCATACCAAGTCCATTTTTGATAGTTGACTGATGACGCAAGATCAAAGCCAGATCAACATAGGATGGACCATAAGTAAATTCCTTCAGGCATGAGAATCCACTGCAGCTAACTTTGAGAGTATGCTTGGGGTACCCTGGGTATAGATCGAGACGAAGCAGGGCAGGCAAGCACTTGAGAACCTGGAGATCCTCCTCTCCCACCTTCTTCATGTGTATTCTTAAGCAGGTGAGCTCAGAGAGGGAGGACATCCATGTTGGAAGACTAGAAAAATAACAGCCCATATCAGTCTGAAATGTCTGAAGATGACGTGGAGGAGGGGACCACGATTCAGCCAAGATATCTAAGGAACAGGGGTATATATTCCGAATACAAAGAGACTGAAGGTTAAATCCACCTAGCTTGCAGAGAGATCTGACTAAATGGTTGATGTACACTTCATGACCACTTTCTGTGTCGTTGCAATTCCAGTACACATCAAGATCCTTCAGTTTGGTTAGGTTACCGAGCTCTTGAATGATAGCTGATGTGTTTTCAGTGCCATCGAACACTGATAGCACCTGAAGAGCTTCCATGTTACCAATTCCATTTGGCAATTCTACACGCCAAGGCAGAAAAAGGCGGACCAATTGGAGCAGTTGAACAATAGATTGAGGTAACTTCTTTACCGCTGTTCCACTTAGGTCCAGTGTTTGCAAGAGCTTTAGCTTCCCAATTTGCCTTGGTATCCTGCTAATATTTCCAAGTCTGACATACCTCAGTTGAAATAAACTTCCAATATTCTCGATATGATCATCCTTCAAACTAGAGCAATTCAAGAGGTCTAGTACTCGTAAAACTTCAAGGTCCACAAGAGGGGGTATCTTGTTAAAATCACCAAAGACAGAGAGCGACCGAGCATGAGAAAAACTAGTGGTTCTCAGCCACGTGATCCTTTCCACACTTTTACATTGGAGGGAGAAACGGTGAATCTTGTTGGATGATGGTGCACAGTGCTGACCATCCAGTATAGTTGCAAAATTTTCTTCAGTAGACAGAGATATCATAAGATCAAGCATGATATCATGCATCCGATAGGCCTCTCTTCTACTAAAAGGGTCAATCTCAAATGATTGAACCATATTCCTATTTATGAGCTCATTAAAATATTTTTCTCCCACTTCCTCTAAACTCTCTCCTCGTTGTTCAGTAATGAATCCTTCAGCGATCCATCTCGATATCAAAAAATCTCTAGTAATTGTATGATCCTCAGGGAAAATGCTTAAATACAAAAGACAAGACTTTAAGTGGTGAGGTAGATCACTGTAACTAAGAAATAGTATCCTCTTCACTACTGCCAACTCGTGTGACCCCTGATCTTTCATAACTGTAGAACCAAAGGAGTTCAGCACCCATACCCACTCCTGCTTCGTAACTGGTTTACATGATAAAAGGCTAGCTATACTAACTATGGCCAATGGCAAACCATCACACTTTTTAAGTATATCATCAGCAACTTCTTCCAATTCAGGGGGGCATTTCTCCTTGGAGCTAAAGATTCTTCTAAAAAATAATGCCTCAGAGTTCTCACTGCTAAGGGGCTTCATGGCATAAACAAAATCTTCATGTGAGAAGTGACAAGCTATAGCTACATCATTGATGCGTGTAGTTGTAATTATTCTGCTTGCAGAGTTATTCTCAGGAAAAGCAAATCGGAGGTGGTCTCGCCATGCAGCTTTATCCCATATATCATCAATTACAATGAAGTACCTATTATTCAATATGTAAAAAAAAAACATATCACTTGTACGCATTTCCATATAAAAATGGTAAGGGAACATCCATCAAATAACTCAAGATATTGCATTTTGATATGTACATGCCTAAAAATTTGGGGTAGGTTATCTACTACTCCCTCCGTTTCACAATGTAAGTCATTCTAGCATTTCTCACATTCATATTGATGTTAATGAATCTAGACATATATATCTATCTAGATTTATTAACATCAATATATATGTGAAAAATGCTAGAATGACTTACATTGTGAAACGGAGGGAGTAATTGGCAATGCCATGTGAAGTGTTTCATTTTTCCCTATTAAGGGGCAATTTTAATAAAAATTAACAGAAGAAACCACCCAAATTAATTGGTTTGTACTTTGACCAGTTCAATTTATAAAACTAAAGGTGCGGTAACATTGTAGAAAAATATGATTAAAAACAACACAAACTAAAGAAAGTAGACCATCCGACCATCAAATCCTTACATCTAGAATAACAAACATGTTCATACCTGCTATTCTGTAGGTTTTCTCTTATCAGGCTGATAAGCTTACAATCTTCAAAAGTTTTGTGCTTTAGATCTTCTATTGTGTCACTATGCTGCTTCTGATGAACTGATGATAGCTTTCTTGTCTCGAGAATTCCAATAAGTATGTTGGCTAGGATCTTATTGACGTTGGGATTCCGTGACACAGACACAAAAGCTGTGCGATCAAATTGGCTTTTGATATGTTGATAGACCTGATTGGCAAGAGTTGTCTTGCCTAATCCCCCAAATCCGACAATAGAGACAACTCTGCGTTGTGGAGCCAAATTGATTCCTCCCGTAAGAAATTCAACAAGTTCATCCCTTGGACCTTCGATGCCCACAAGCCTGTCCATCTCCTCGAACAGCGCAGGCAGCCTGGAATCGATGGCGATCGCAGCAGAGCTAGATGCAGCTGCATCCAACTCATACCTCTTGCGCCGGTCATTGACCAGCACGGCACGATCCTTCAGCTCGGCGATCTGGCCTGCGATGCAGTGGCGGCTCCGGAGAGCCTTGAGCCGGCGTTTGGTCCTGCGGAAGAGCCCGTCGCCGGGGTCATGGTGGCCAAGGCGGTGCACGAAGACGTCGATGCAATCCTCTACATCATAGGACAGCTCCCGCAGCTGGCGCATCCACTCCTTGACCTGCGAGCTGGGCTCCTCCTCCGAATCGGAGACCGCCTCCAGCGCGGTGTTCATGCTGCTCAGCTCGTCTCGCAGGAGCGCGACCTCGCGGCCCACCCCCTTGAGCTTGCCGTACTCCCTCTCGAGCAGGCCGGAGAGCTTCGTGAGGAGGGGATTCATCACCCCGATCAAAGCACTCGCCGTGGCTCCGACCATCTTTCCCAATCCTCCTCTCTCTGAATCTCAGGTGCAACCGTGCAACGCTTGATCTTTGGTGGTTTTGGGAGACCAAGAACACCCAGACGAGCTATGGCTGCAGCGAGAGTGAGATGCCCGGATCCATGGAAGATGAAGGGGTCAAGAACACGCGGGGGAACCAATGGAAGCTTCGTGGGGGAGGGGGGATTGATGCCGATCCGTCGCGCCAAACGCCAATGGAGGGCGTGGAAAGGGGAAATCGACGGGGAATAGCTCCATCGCCGCCGCACTTTGCGAATAATTTTGCTTTTCTTTCGGCGAAAACCAATCGACGGAATCTTGGAACAACGAGCAGGATTTGTACAAATCTTTACCACCGTGGACCGCGACGACGTTGACGGAGGCGCGGGTGCGGGTGGAGCCGGTGGCGTTTCCGCGGCCGGCCATTCCAGCGTTGCTCGGCGGGAGAGGAGGTGATGGACCGGGTGGGTGGCGGCGCCGTCGTGACCGGCGGTGAGAGCAAGGAGGCGGCGAGCGGCGAAGAGTAGTGGAGAGTCCGAGAGTGGGAGGATGGTGTCTACTCACTTCCCTGCAGTGTATTCCATCGATCGTGTAGCTGGGCCGTATTTTATTGACGGCCCATTTAACAAAATTTGTAAATTTGTGGACCTAGTTAGACTAATCCAAGGGAACACATCCCAGCCGCTAATTAAATCATGCAGAGACTAATCCAAGGAAAGCAAATCCGAGTGATTTTGGGCCAAAAATTTGTCGCCAGATGTTTAGCGTAATTGAGCAGGTCCAATTGCAGACTATAAATTAGCTATAAACACATATTGAGAAGATAAATGAGCAGAGATAAGAGCAGCGGCTACAAATTTGTAACCAGCTACAACACAGACTACAAGACGCAATATGTGTATGACAGGTAGGATCAGTTATTACTTGTGTAGTATATGTTATAGGTAACTAATTGTATAAGTTAGCTATTAAATTAACTATAGATGATTCCAAGCTAATGGTTAGCTATACTATTAAACTTAGGCCTGGTTTAGATTCCAAAAAATTTTGGTCAAAAACGTCACATCAAATGTTTGGACAGATGCATGAAGTATTAAAAAAACCAATTATACAGTTTGCATGTAAATTGCGAGACGAATCTTTTGAGCCTAATTACGCCACAGTAAACATTTGCTAATGACGGATTAATTAGGCTTAATAAATTCGTCTCGCAGTTTACAGGCGGAATCTGTAATTTATTTTGTTATTAGTCTACATTTAATACTTTAAATGTATGTCTGTATACTTCAAAAACTTTACACCCAAAAAACTAAACACACCCTTACTCGTAGCAATTGTTGGTACCTACCTAACTATAGACGCACTTAACTTTACACCCAAAAAAACTAAACACACCCTTACTCTCAGCACACCCAAAAAACAATTGTTGGTACCTGCCTAACTATAGACCCACTTAACTTTACACCCAAAGAACTAACACAGACCCTTACTCTTAGCACACCCAAAGAAGAATTGTTGGGACCTGCCTAACTATAGACCCACTTGACTTTACGCTCAAAGAACTAAACACACCCTTACTCTTAGCACACCCAAAAAACTAAACACACCTAGCAACCAAAGAACTAAACACACCCAGCAATTACCCAGCAATTGTAAGAACAATTGTTGGTACCTGCCTAACTATAGACCTACTTAACTTTATACCTAAAGAACTAAACACACCTTTACTCTTAGCACACCCAAAGAACTACTCGACTGACGTGACATCTACTTACTCTTACTCTTAGCAGAACCAAAGAACCACTTGACTGACGTAACATCTAGATGTTATATGTTGGCTCGATCTTATGTTGGCTCGATTTTATGGTATGTTGGCTCGATATAAGAGCCGAGCGCTTACGTGACAGACATTACAATTATTAGAAGAAAAATTCCGTGGAGGCCCACAAATCCGACGGAAGGTCGGGGAGGAGTGAAAAAGAGAAGGAAAAGTATTCATATTGTTTATTCTTATTAATCCGTATGTACGTAATACGTATTTGTTACAGATTAATTGATGCATGCGTACCGGTTAAGGGAAAATTGTGCTGCATCAACCAAAGGATTTGTTACAATACGTGTTCGAAAATTTTGGCAAACTATTTCCTTCAAAAAAAAAATTGGCAAACTAGAGACAAAATCCAACAAACTGGATGCAGATTCAACTTTGTATAATTCCCACATACGCTTGGGAGAGGATACCTGGGCTTGAGCGGCGGGAAAACACAGTATGATTTCTATTTTCTCAAAGATATACCAGTCGTAATCTCAGAAATTTCCTGCTTCGTTGTGCAATTTTGGTCACACTGATACAACACCGATTAAACACGCAACAAAATGATGTTGACACGTCTTCGTCACTAAAAACAAACCAGTCATTTTACTCGACTGTCCTGTCACTACTGGTCAAAAGGCACTAATCCTCAAACTTGATCTTCTTAGCTGAAGGCTGAACGCTGCCGATCTGTAGAACCAAGAAAATATTAGAACCTGACAAAGCTTTTGTCATCTCATAGTACATAGTAGCTAAAAGTGGCTTGGTTTAGCTCAAATGAGATAGCTGCGGGCAGGTTGTGTGTTGCACTTTAAATGTTCACAAGGATTGCTTCCACATAATCTAGGACTAGGAATTAATATATCCAATATATATAGCTTTGTGCATCTTACATGCAGCAGTCAGTTTATCCATTACCTAAATTAGAAACAGTACAAAGTGATCAACATGTAAATAATCAAACATAAAATAGTTCCCAGTCCATCAATGGATATGTCAAACTAATGAGACCAGGCGAAAGATCTCATCAAAATTATAGTATGATTCATCTGAGCAAATCTTCTTGTTAAATTCATATTAACCCTTCACCAAAAAACAAAGTGACAACAGCTTCACAATAAATTAAGTTATTTGGCTGCAAAAAATATAAAAAATTTTACTTTCTTTCTAATTAAATGTTGGATGAATGAATACAACCATACTGTCACACACATGAAATTTTGTGCTTTCCAGATCGTCTGAGCCAATTATGAACTTTCTCTTCACCCTTGCAAGGTATGTCCAGGCCAAGAACTCAAGTGTCCACAAGTTACGTTTATTTAGCATAAAATTCAAAAAGGCAGCTATAGTAGCATCAAAGTGTTCTAAAAGAGAATTAAAAAAAGCATGTGACCAGACATGGCATGAATTCTATGAAAGGTGTTGCAAAATGGTCCTAGTAAGCAACAAAAGTATAATATAAAACAGGCAGTGCAATAATCATCAAATAAACCTACATAAATGATCAGGAGCACTGCGATGTTAGATTCATACACCAAGCTAACTTTAGATTCAGAACAAGCAAGAGCAAGCAATTTGATCAACCAAAAAGCAAGAAGTGCAGTGTTACTTACAAGGGGTGGACACTCGTAATCAATCCCAGCAGCTTTGATTCTTTTGCGACGCTTCTCATCCCGTTTTACGATTTTGTCAACCAACTTTTTGTGCTCTTCTATTGTTTTATCCTGTTACAGGACAAATACTAATTAGATCAAATGCCCACATGTCACATCATACTTTCAATTCACAATGCATTACCTTGTTCAGCCTCCTCCGTTCAATTGCTACCCGATCAATTGGTATAAACCCCCGTCGCACACCTTTCCACCTATATACAAAAGAGGTAAAAGATGTGCAAATTGTAAAATTACAGGAATGTTGCTCCCATTTTAATCAAACAAGAAAACAGGCTTTAAGCACAGCTAAATAAAAACTCTCAACTAGAGGGCTTTATGGATTATTGTAAGGTGCATGTTGAGTAAGAACATACAAGAAGGATACAAGAATACAGTACTTATATTGCAAGATAACTACCCATATTTGATTGGCAAACTTATCCATGACATGACAATGATTATATAACGATAGACATTATCTTTTGAGTTCTGTTAAAAGCCCGAATTTTAGCAATTGTTGACACTGTACCAAGCAGCACAATGTTGTGGAAACAGGCAACCTGATTAATTTCTAGAGTGTCCATAGGCTCTAAGGAAACCATTTCACAATAAATAAACAGAATACTCATAACAGAGGACGATGACTATTTTTTCTTTCTTCACAAAAAGGTAATAAAAGGTACTTCGATTTAATAGAAACCACGTTTTGCGGAGGCATACAATTTTGGATGAATTTTCTCAGGTGGAACAATCGCAATTTGCAAAGTGTGCTCAAACAGCAGGTAGTTGTTCATCTCATCTGCCACAATCTTTGCTACCTGACAGGACAAACACATAAATAAAAATATAAGTTTGTATTCCATCAGCATAAAGAGTTTTGACACCAAATGCAGCCCCAAGCACAGACTTACCTCAGGGTTCTCAAACTCAATGAACCCATAATGCTTGGACTTTCCTGTCTAAACATTGACGAAAATGCAAGTTAGATCACAAAGATAACACAAAAACCATGTAATTCAGTGTACAATACCTTGCGGTTTCGGGCAATCCTCAACCTTTTAACAGTTCCAAATTGCTGAAAGAAACCTGCAAAGACAAAAAGACAGAGCATTAGCATCACATCCCTTTGCATCCCTTACACCATCAGGTTATCATACCTATCTCTCCTACATTATTGACTAAACCAAGGCTTCCCACTGAGCATCGTCCACAAAATACAAGCCATTAGATTGGCAGTGCAATAAATTTCTGTCCTTGGATAAGATTTTATCATTTTTGTTGTGAATAGTTAGAAAAGATGCATTTGCCGCATATGTCCAGTCATTTTATGATTTATTTGGCAGTTGTCACCCCCAACACGTCTCTAGCCCTTCCCAATTGGTCGTTAACAGAACTACTTTGTAAGACATGGTTGTAAAAGCAGTACAGAGGAGCACATCCTTTCTAATCATCATGTCATCAAACTTCTGCGACTCTGTGGATTCCTTATGTGCATTCCCCTTCGTTGTTCATGCTCAAGTTAATACCTCCTATATATATGATTAATTCGATTTCTGTGCATGCATGGATGATAAGCAGCTACAAGGTGTCATTAATAGAATTTCTTTTTCTGACGGAGGGTAATCCATTCATTTTGATTAGAAAATGCAAATAAATGCCCTGGTATTGCTACTACAATTTCATGCCCCATACTCACTTAAGTGAGATAAGCCAAGGCATTTTGGAATTGTGTTGTTTGCTTTGCCTGATCAATGAAAGAATTTGATTAAGGCTGAAAATGGGATTGAGAATATATGTTTATACTGAAATTTGCAATTTTGCAATTCTACACTTCTTTTGGTTCGCTCTTCTCCCAATATTCTGGTTTATGCTCCACTGATCAATGGAATCATGTCTAATGCTTGGGAAAAGCTAACGACAAACTCATTTTACACTCGTTGTGCCTTGGATCAAAATTAATGCATGCATATTCGTCTTACTGACTATTTCATCACGCTATTCAACTATGGACACTATTACTTAGTTCTATTCTATGAAATCATAGTCTTCAATGCTTAGAATCATCAATGATCACATGTTTCCATTCCTTTCAACTGAGTTTTCATGAAATCATACATTTGTAGTTCCTGATTGGTAATTACTAACCTGCTTGATTGCCTCATTTTCCTTGTCTTAATATTGTTTCATCAAGCAAAAAGATTCAATTCAATTGCAATTTTAAGCTCCAAGATTCAATTCACTTGCAATTTTAAGCTCCACTAAATAGCGGAAGAGCTTGTTGAATTCATTAAACAAGAGGACAAATTTCAGAAGGTAAAGAAAGAGGACACAGTGGAAGAAAATGCTACTGAATGTCACACATAATTAAAGCATTTCTGTCAAACCAATACCTACTTAATGAAATGGTGCATCTCTCAATGCATTGATTTCAAAATTTGTTTTTAACACTTTATGGTACATAAGGAGCTGAGCATGCCATTTACGAGCCACATATTGTTCGAATCTATTTGACTATCTTCATATTACTATCTGATGACTAGCCACAAACATTCTATCTATGCACAATCTGGAAAAGGGAAATTTAAGCTGTCGAGTTTGTTCTTAGTTCTTACTATATTGATTAATTTCTTATGCCAATCTGTCCTTTTCTTAGAGTGAAGTGGCAAGAACATATGCTTGAGCCATTAGAACAATGAAAATTATATATTTGTGGGATTAATTTTTTAATAGCAAACAATTTTCCTATTAGATTCGCAGCAACGCGTGGACGGTACAGCTAGTTTTTTTGTTTATCATTGATGTGGCTATGTGCCATAAACAACGAACACACCTTGCATCTGTTCCTCATAGAACCCATGGGGGATGTGCCCGATGTAGAGGACGGTGGACGTGTTCTCCGGCTCCTCGGGCTGCTCCTCCCGGGCCCTCTTCTTCCCAGGCCTTTCTTCCAGCGGCTGCGCCGAGCACGCACAAAACACATCACACAGACATCAGAAATCAGAACCAAAAGCTACCGTGGCAGAAGAACACCACGAGCTGGGGATGGAGGCGCGCACCAGGAAGTCCTTGCCCTCCCCGGAGCGGGGAGCGGCCGAGCGCCGGGCGAGCACGCGCCTCTGGTTCCGCTTCTTCTCCCTCAGCCCCATCTCCCTCCTTACTCCTGACGAGCCCCCCTGCGAGAGAAGCCGCCGGGATTCTCACAACCACGGCGCGCGAGCGGAGGTCCCCCCGAGAAGGGAGGAGACGGTGGAGAATCGGAGGGGGAGGAGGACACGGTGAGCCGTGCTTACCTGACTACGTCGTCGGGCGGCGGCAGCGGCGGCGGCGGCGGCCGGAGGAGGCGGTGGGGGAGAGGGGAGCAAAAGCCGTCGAGGCGCGACGACGGCGAGAGAGGGGGTTAGGGTTTTCGTGTTGGTGTCGTTTTGATGGGAGTGGAGATGGGGGATAATTTGGGCCTTTGACTGTGACTCTACTCGTTGGCCCATTTGTTTCGTCGATAATGGCCCAAGTAGACACACACAGTCACACAGATACCTTCTTTTTTACAGGGAGGAATAAGTACACCAGAGATCCCTCATCTTGTCAGCGAATAAACCAGATATATTACATCCCATAACATACAAAACCGGTCATTATAGACTGGTCATTATAGGTCCTCAGGCGGTTTTATCCCCGGTTTTATCCGACATAGCAGCTGAGTCAGCATGGGACCCACGTGGGTCCCACGTGTCAGTGACTACTCCCTTTCCTCTCTCTCTCTTTACCTCTCTTCCTCTCTCTTCTCGGCAACCAGCCGTTGAGGGAGAAGGGGGAGCAGGACTAGGGCGCTGGGCTGATGATGGGCGGGGAGAGAAGCGGAGGTGGAGACGGACGCGGTGACGGCGCCACCGGTGACGGCCTCTTTCTCGCCCTTGCCTCGCCTCGTCTCACTCTCCGCTCTGCTCGACAGGAGGCCACTCCAGCGGTCGCCTGCGCGTCCTCCTAAACACGGCGGAAGTGGCCCTCGTTGGCGGCGGCGACGCTTGCTAGCAAAGACGAGCGGGGAGAGGAGCGGCAGCCGGCGAAGAGGAGCTTGGCATTGGCGGTGGCGGCAATCGGCTAGACCTAGCGGGCATCGTCCTAGACAACGACACGTAGGCGCGACGCCGCCAGCTTGCAGCGCCACGCAAGAAGGGCCTCGCCAGTCTCACCGCATCTGTGCGCAGGGCCACCGAGTGGCTGAAGTAGATGCCTTCCTCGGCCACCGTCGCTAAGGTCGTGGTGTATGGGGTACTACTCGCCGACGCGATGGACATCATCGCCGAGCACTGGGCAAGGAGAAACGGAGCTCCACGGGACGACTACTGCGACCACCGGCGAGAAGCGGGCCGCAGGCCAAGGTTGGGAGCAGTAGAGGGCGGAGCACCCCTCGACCAATCACTGCAGTGGAAGAGGGGGACGCACGGGCGAGCACTGGAGTCGACAGAGAGCAAGACAAGGGCGATGGAGAGGTCGTCACCGGTGGCGCCGCCTTGCGTCCGTCTTGACCTCCGCTCCTCTCCCCGCGCATCGTCGACCTAGCGCCCCAGCGCTGCTCCTCCCCCACCGCCGGTTGCTGAGAAGACAGAGGAAGAGAGGTAGAGAGAGGAAATGGAGGAGTTGCTGGCATGTGGAACCCACGTGGCTCCCTACGCTGACTCAGCTGCCATGTCGAACAAAACCGGAGATAAAACCGCCTAAGGACCTGATCTGATTTTGTAAGTTAAGAGATGTAATATATGTGGTTTTTCGGTTGAGCGAATGATTCTGTGATTCGATGACAAGATAAGGGACCTCCGGTGTACTTTTTCCTTACAAGGACACACTCAGATTCCTAAGGCTAAGTTTGATACTCACCTTTTCCAACTTATAACAATGTGTTTTCTTTAAAAAAAATCAATAGGAAAGTTGTTTTAGAAAAATCATATTAGTTGATTTTTAAGTTTATTTTAGCTATTGTTTAATTAATCATACGTTAATATATCGCTCTGTTTGCGTGTAAGGACCTCCGCCTCCGAACACAGTCTACAGGTCCTAAGAAGCCAACTTCGTCGGTTTCTGTTCTACGTAAAAAATGATTATGTTACTGGCCTTCTAGTTCTTTTTCTTTTCTTTTGCAGGGATATGTTATTACTCTTCTGGTTGGAGTACCTTTAGCATTTACTACATGTAATACAGTAAATGCTCCTTACGTTCCATATTGTATATCCCACCCCAAAATTTTCCACCCTATCAGATCGAACGTTTAAACACATGTATGAAGTATTAAATATAGGCTAAAAAATAATTAATTGTACAGATTACGACTAATTTGCGAGATGAATCTTTTAAGCCTAATTGCTCTATAATTTAACAATGGTGTGCTAAGTAAACATTTGCTAATGATATATTAATTAGGCTTAATAATTTTGTCTCGCAGGTTCCAAGCGGAATCTATAATTTATTTTGTTATTAGACTACGTTTAATACTTTAAATGTGTGTCTGTATATCTGATGTGACATGCCAAAATTTTTCACCCCTGAATCTAAATAACCCCTTAGTTTCTTATGTTTATCGTTAGTTAAACTTTTTTAATTTGGCAGGAAAATACACTAAGGCCTTGTTTAGATGAGGAAAAATTTTAGGTTTGGTCATCACATCGGATATACGGACACATATTTAAAGTATTAAACGTAGTCTAATAACAAAACAAATTACAGATTCTGGCAAGAAACTACAAGACGAATTTATTGAGCATAATTAACTGTCATTAGCAAATGTTTACCGTACCACCACATTGTCAAATCATGACGTAATTATGCTTAAAAGATTTGTCTCACGATTTACACGCAAACTGTGTAATTGTTTTTTTTTCACATTTAATACTTCATGCATGTGTCCAAACATTTGATGTGATGGGTGAAAAGTTTTTGTTTTGGAAACCAAACAAGACCTAATATCTACAATAAAAGACAAACAAGACCTAATATCTACAATAAAAGATAAATACAGTGTCAAAACATATAGATTCGATGAGACTATATATATTGTAACATATAGATTCGATGAGACTATATATATTGTATATAATTTTCATGAAAAAACTTTTAACATGATCGACTTAGAAGAGGGAATATTTTAATAAAAACCAAGTGTACTGACTGCCAAAGCTCAGTACTCTTAGCCTTTGTTTTTTTTAAACTTGTCAACTTATTATCTCTTTCGTTTTCGCTTTTGCATGTACGCTTTCCAAACTATTAAACGGTGTATTTTCTAAAAAAAATTTATACAAAAGCTGTTTTAAATCATATTAATCCTTTTAAAGAAAACATATTACTTAGTTAATTATGCGCTAATAATTTGCAACGTTTTGCGTGCACAAAGATTTGTTCCCAACAGCATTAATGCGTTCGTTTGCTTCTTTATTAAGAGAGAAACATACGGCTAGCTAACTATACAAATGATGTGGGCACAAATAATGTGATAAGTTACCTAAAGTTTTTCTCGTATTCAAAATACGGGCATGTTTATCCTTTATTGATGGTTTAATGCCGTTCTTCATGCAACAGTAGGATTATAACCGTCTAAACATAGAAAGGAGTAGACATTACAACTTAACATCGCTGGTGAGATTTTTTTTAAAAAAAAAAAGAAAAAAGAAACATCGCTGGCGAGCCTTTAGCTTTAAAAAAGAAGAAAATTTTTTAAACGCCATCATACAAAACAGAGAAGAGGGACGTCAGTCCCATTATATTATGCTTAGCTAAAATTTGAATTTTATAATTTTATAGTTAATTTTGTGGTTTTCTCATCGTGATTTATTTTACATCATTTGTTTTCGAATCGTCAAGGATACATATATGTAAGTTTTCCTTTAAATTATTTTTAAATTGTTAAAAAGCAATCATAAGTATAAATGTAAGTGAAACAAGTATTTCCTTAGTCTAAAAAAAATACAACCAAGATAGGTCAACAATGAACATTAACATATCTTTGTCCAGATTTATTGTTCTAAGATAGGTCTTCTGTCCAAGTTCATTGTCTTAAGATAGGTCAATAGAATATAAGAGGAAAAAAAAGAAAATTTCTATGCATATTACTCAATTGTCCGACTCATATACAACTAAATTTGATTAACGATTGTAAACGACTGCAGTGCAGTGCATATGAATTTTCTAGTTACACATGAGTTGTGCAGATGAGTTTATATGGTTATATGTTTCTAGTTACACATACGTTGTACATCTACTAGTTGTACGTATAAAGCCATTCCCAAATAAACTCCACATCATCAAGAAATTAGTACTAGACACTACTATTCTAATGCAAACACTAATATTCTAATGCAAACATAATGTCTTCGATATTATGTAAAAACCGTGTCTCATGCAAGATATGGTTTCCTTCTCTTTCTTCATTTATTTACTTGACACATTATTTTTTATTCTAGGTGACAGCTTATTTAATGTTATGGATACCATCTTAGTAATTGGGTTGAGTATGATCTAATGATTGATACTCGAAATTTTTTTTTTGAGAAATAAAAAACTCCAAAAGAGCTGACGATACCCGCGAGAAACGGGGGCGATCCAACCGGAGCCACCACCGAGCCAGCGTCCGTCCACCTCTGACCTTTCTTTCCCTCCCCTCCCCTCTCCTTTCCCCCTCCCCTCCTCGGTGGCGCCACCCAACCCAAGGCTCCCGCCCCTCCTCCTCCTCCTCCTCCCCCTCCGCTCCCTCGCAGAGGCGGCGACCGCGCCGCGCCGAGGCCGCCTCTCGGCTGGGCTAGGGGGTTCCCCCCCAACCTCCCGCCCTAACTACCCCGCGCCACCATGGCGGCGGCGACGGCCTCCGCGTCCGCGTCCGCGTCTGCGGCGGCGTTCCTCCTCCTCCCCCTCCTCGCCGCCGCCGCCACCGCAGGCCACGGGGTCTGCCCGAGGCAGCCCGCCGCCGCCGCCGTCCTGCCGCGCCAGGCGCCCGCCGCTTCCTCCTCCTCCTCCTCCTCCTCCTCCTCCTCCTCCTCCTCCTCCTGCCCCGCGGCGGGGTCGCCGGGCCACCGGGCGCACCACGTGGGCGTCGTGGAGGTGAGCAGCCGGTAGCCGGTTTCTTCTGTTGATCTCTCGATCGATCGCCCTCCTGATTTCGCGCGCCTTCTGCATGATCAGGAGCGATTAGCGTTAGGTGTAGCAGTTTCGCGCTTCGGGGCGGCATACCGTTAGGTTTGCTTCGCTCTGCTCTGTGAGTACCAAATCACAAGTTGAAACTAGCTCGCGATCTGTGTTGCGTGAGCGTGACCAAGGGTATTTTTGAAATGTAAAACAGTTATACGGAAATATCTAGTTAACTTTGTATATAGATAGGCTCTGGAAGGTATTCTGTTCAGAAAATTTTGTTGGGAATATCTATGTTTCAGCAACGTTGACTTAATTGTTTTTTTTTGTTTTATCTGTTTTGAAGATAGTAGAAATGGGCTCTCACTGATTGAGCATCAGAGATTCGTTTGTTACCCAGTAGTACAGATATGACTCTTATTAATTTATACAAAATTTTCTAGATGCTGGTGTCATAATATGTGCTAGGCCCGTCACCCTGATTTCAAGAACAGTAATTATCATTTATTTTAATTCTAGCATGGTTTGTCTAATCTAAGTATGAATCGCATGTTGCACTTGATGTTTCCTTTGTTATGTTATACGAAGAGCTAGTTGACCATCGAAGAAGCCCTTTATTTCTCTTTTCGATACTCACACAATCGAAGTAAAGAAAACATATAATTAGTGTTTGCTTGCTATCCACAGAACTGCCATGCTGTTTGTGGATAGTATAAGTTCATCTATCAATTGTTGGGTAGAAATATAATGATTCGGTAATTGATTCAGTTATTTTTTGGGTAGAAATATAATGATTCGGTAATTGATTTTGTTATTTTTACGCACAGACTCAAATACATTGAGATTTATGTGCGCATCATGATTGGCCCACTCAACGTGGAATTCATTCTCCATTTTATGTGCCAGGGGGATGATTTTGTTCTGCAAAAGGCAGTTACTCTTGTGCTGCAGAACAGGGAGGATTTTGTTGCAATTCTTTTCTATGCTTCATGGTGTCCTTTCTCCAAGATCTTCAGAACAGATTTTCAAAAGTTATCATCCTTCTTTCCAACAATCGCTCATTTTTCCTTTGAAGAATCTCGTATCAAACCTAGGTGTGTACATCCTGAAAAAGGAAATTTGACAGTTAGCTTTGATTAATTTTGGTATAGTGGTTCACTTGAATATGAAATTGCAGAATGTTGTCAAGATATGGAGTTCGTGCCTTTCCGACACTTTTCCTTGTGAACTCTACAATGCGTGTGCGCTATCATGGATCTCGCACGATGAACTCTCTTGCTATGTTTTATAAAGATGTTACAGGTATGGCTGCATATTTTATTCTGATTGGTAAAAATAATGGTGTATCTTGTTTTGCGAAGTGAAGTTCACCAAATTAAACCAACATTGTGTGTCCTGCTATATTTTGACATTATACTTGTATGCCGTGCTTCAAATTTAGCATATTAGATTGTTTGATTATGGTGGCATTAATTTCCTATATGAGCTGATTACTGTATCTTATGATAAACATTAAATGCTGTTTTTTCCCCAATTTGAGATGCTGCTAGCGTTCATTATTCGTTGTATAAGTTCTCCAGGATTTTACTGATTCATTTCGAAATATTGAAGGTATGAATCCTGTGTCACTGGATGCAATATCCCTAGAGAGGATGGAAGAAGTGGTAAATATAATTGAGAATGACAAAAAGACTGAGCAAGGGGATTCTCTGTTCATGTTTGCACGATCACCAGACAGATTGCTTCACCAGGATACATGCCTTGCATTGGCTAGCTCTTTTGTCCTCATGAGGTTACTCTGTTTCCTTCTTCCCAAGCTCAATGCATGTGTGAAACAAGCATGGAGGATGCAATTTTATGAACTGAAGAGGTTATTTCCTAGCTTATCTTGAAGAAGCCAAAGTGAACCAGCAAACTTAAAACTGACTAGACATAGCAGCAAACAGAGGAAAGTAGAGCAAGCAGCAAACTGAGATCATTCACGGGTGGATTTCTATCAGTATCAGCTTGAAGGAAACTGATACCGTTAATCAACAAATGGCATGGATGTTCTTAGCAGCTCAATGTAGCACGAAGGTCTGAACTGATGTAATTCGACTTTCTTGTCTGTGTCATCTCCGCATTTACTGTACTGGCCTTCTGGGGAGAACTTGCAGCAATCTACTTTGCCACTACAATAGAATGATTTGTGGAGTAACTATATTTGGTCTTTCTTGTGAGATAGTGGCTCAAAGTAAAGAATTAAATGGTTCTCGTACCTCGTTAAAAGTATGCATACGTTGCTGTTACTCCTGACATACAAAAGATAATGTTACGAGTTTAACAGTTATTTTAACTTGGGTCTGTGATTCGATAAACTCAGTAACCATAAACGGTAACCCTATTGTATGTATTTATTTGGTTGCTTGTATGTTCTATGCAACCCTGGTTTATGTCTGGAATTGACGAGCTTTGTGTTGACCTGTGATGTTATCTGTAAACAGAACAAGCCTGGTTCCGCAACCATGTGTTTCTATAAACATATAAAGTGTACTTTACCCCCTAGATAATGTACTTAACAGTTAATCCTAAGTTTTTTTTTGGGGGGGTGAGTTTTAGGTCTATGTTGTTTACATGGTATTCGTTGACTGAATTGGGTCGTTGTTAATAATCTGATGGATGGTATTTTTCGTAGACCATATATGTCCAAAGGTTAATTTACCAACAAAAGCCCATGATTTTTTCTATTAAAAAAATGAGTCGACAAGTCCATTCATTGAACAATGCATCAGACAATTTCCTATTTTTCTTGTTCGCAGTCAATCATACACATTATGCAGTTATGCTTCTGCGCCGATCATTATGCAATTATGCTTTTGCTTTGGTGATTAATTCAAAGCTGGAAGAGTCGAAGAGAAACTAAGGTCTACGAGAGCAAGGACTATAAAGTTTGATGTGTTGCCCCCTTAAAATGTCACAAAGGATTGAATGATGAGGTGGAAGAAATAAGTGAGGAAAGAGAAGACAAGCCACCCCTCATGCAAGGGATAACCTCCACATAAACCCCAAGATAAAGGAGATAAAAGAAAGAGGGGATTAAACAAAAAATAAAATAAAATCATTTGGGTTAGTATGCTAGAGATAGAGTAGATATGGTGTATTATATATATCACCTCTTATCTTACATGAATAGATTAGATGTGACAACTACCCTTACTATAAAACCTGCCCTAAAAATGCGTCAGACAAGTTTGCGTCCAACATTATGCATTTCTGAAAAAGGCACCGGGCAGGAAGTGGAAGAGGCAGTCGCTGCCGTGGCTACCTAAGCCGCCAACACGTAGAGGAGAGGAAGAGGCCGCAACACGAGGATCTAGTCACCTCCAGCTCATGGCAGCTAGATCCGGTAGCCGCCGCACCGGGCCAGGGAGTGGAAGAGACAGTTACTACACGTAAAGGACAAGAAGAGACCGTTGTCGAGCCGGGGAGAGGAAGAGGCTGCTGTGGCGATCAGATCTAGTAGCTGTCGCACCGGGCCAGGGAGTAGAAGAAGCGACCACTGTCGTGGCCACCTAAGCCGCTGCGTAGAGGAGACGAAGAGACTGCCGTCAAGCTGGGAAGAGGAAGCGGCCACCACACGTGGATCTAGGGAGAGAGGAGGCGGTGGCCATAAGTGGCGTCGACAGTGATAAGGCTTGCGATAGAAGCGAGAGATGCTCGGTGGGGAGAGAAGCGAAGCGAGACCGAGAGAGAGAGTGCACGCGATAGAAGGATAAGATCAAAAAGGGGCAATGCGTTAGAGTAGATAAGATCGAAATGATGCTAAGTTCGGCTTGATTTTCATGTGTGTTTTTTTAGAAAACTAACATCTATATGTCTATTTTTTAATTAATCGTTACTTATAATATACTTCCTCTATCCCAGATTAATGGACGTTCTGGAACAGTTGAGCCAAATTAGCATGGGTAAAAATTACCATATTGCCCTAATTTATTGCTAGTTACTTTGAATGACTAGGATGAGTAATCATTTCAAAACTGCCGTTCCTGCCACAGAAAGAATCATGGATGAACTGTTGTCCTGACAAAATTTGATCCATACGCTACTGCCTGCCCTCACGTTTCTGCTCCTTGCCAAAACGTCAGGCTTTGTGGGACAACAGGTAGGAAGTAAAACGTCAAATATACTGGGACGGAGGAAGTATTAAAGGTGTTGGTTTTTTTTTTTTCATTTCACGAAGGTGAGAAAATATTATAGACTTATAATATTAGTTCTACAGTTTTCGAAACCTATAGTGGTGGCCGTTTTATGTGTTTTGTAGTGGTGGTTGGCCGCACGATCGTGCAACGCACGGGGGCGTCATGCGGGTCGGGATGTCGTTCTAGCCCATTGGTGTGCGGCCGCCGGTAGAAGGTGGGCTTGGGCTTGGCGATCGAGTAGGCGGTGGTGTCGGCGCTGGTTTCCGAGGCGGCGGGGACAGATTCCGACGAAGCCATGGCCCGCAGCCGTGTGCGCTATGGCTTTTGCATGCAACCTGCTCGAACTCTGGCACGCGAGGTGGAAACCACGGGGACCTAGGCCCTGTTTGGTTCCATGGGCTAATGTTTAGCCCTCACTTTTTAGCCTCAAATTAGCCCTCAAGGATCCAAACAGGTGGGCTAATTTTGAACTAATGTGAATTAGCCCCCCTCAAAATATTAGCCCCTTCAAGGGGTGCTAATGGGGCTAATTTTGTGTGGGGACCATCAAAAAGCAGCTCTGTCTCTCTCCTTCTCTCTCCTTTCTTTCTACTCTCTCTTTACCTTTTAGCCTTGAATTAGCCCATGGATCCAAACATACCACCCTAGGCTAATGTTTAGCCTACCAATTCATGACTAAATATTAGCTCTCAAAATTAGCCCTGGACTAATATTCCAAACAGGGCCCTAATCGCATTGCACTTCTAATCGGTTTGTACCTATACTATTCCTTTTTCAGATAATCTGTACTCTTTTTTTTTTTTGAGCTGGACTAACTGTGGAGAAAGGGCTTCAGTCATAAATACTTATTTTTCTCCAAATATTTATATAAAGGATATTTATACAATGCACAATGCAGACAACTATAGGGCACGGAATAAAGCGTTACAGAAATCCAGGAAACGAAGCTTTACTTATTGAGCAAGAGACTTCATCTTCACTGCTGGCCCTCTGGCTCTTTATTCTCCAGGTACCTACAATATTCCCATGCAAAACGTAGGAACTTATACATACCTGATACAACAGGGAAGAAATGCAAGCACAAACCATGTCCGTGACAATTTCCATTTTGGTACTGTATACTCGATACTCACTACTCACTCCGGTGATAAATATAAGTCGTGCATGTATTTCAATTTTCAAGAGGTAGCATTTATAACTTTTGACTGAGAATTAGCCTAACACTTTACATGTTTTGTGGCATGCAGGTGATAACATTAGATATGTATTTGAAAATACATGTTAATTTCAATTTCATAGTTGCTATTATGTTGAGGCAGCCAAAGCACTGTGAAAATCTTACCCCTGAGCTCTCGCCCAGCGTGAGAACTGATATAACTGAACGCTTTCGTTGGAGGCGTGACAAGCCAGAAGCAAGTAGTTCCGCGGTTGTACCATCCACGCAAACCTCATAAAGAGTCCAGAATACACACACATGGCTGCACAAAACATAGTGGTTATTTTTTTTTCCTTGAACAAATCGGCACAGATTGTGCCCATTTTATTGATATTGAGGGAAAAAATTACAGCCCCTAAGGGAAAAACTATAGGGGCTAATGATATTGAAGATTATGCATTAAAATGCTGTGCCTTAGAAAAGAGGGATGTACACTGCTAGATTCGTTTGTAAGGTAAGATTTAGGGGTTGCCGTGAGCGCCAGGATGCAGAGCCTGTCTAAGTGCAAGATTCCACTAAAAGTAAAGTTAATTTTATTGTAAGCTTGTTAACACAAATTACAATCAGCTACTCAACTGAAGAGGCAATGGAAAGGGAACATGAATTTGTGCCTTGCCTGGTCAACCGGAAACTGAAGGCCATGCCCTGTTCTGATGGTATGCGACTCAATTTTTGCAGTGCTGTTTGACAGAAATGTTTCACAAGGAAAAGGCCCATAGATGATTTGAAGGGTTCATTGAGCAACTGGCTCCTTCAGAGTATGATCCTAACTTCTAGCTATTACATGACCATTAGGAGTTTTGCAGCTCTATCTTGGATCTTCTGGCAGATTAGGAGTACGATGGTGATTGAATAGAGTTTCCTCCATAGCCTATTGATGTGAAGTTCAAAACTCTTCTTACTTGCACTATGAACAAACATCTAGGTTGGGCATACATATCACGAGCCTGATGAAGACTGAACTTGGAGTTCAAGAATCGGAAAGAAGGTGAGAAAAATCACTTCTGATGATGGTGGAAGCTGATGGGATATTAGAGTTAGATGCTCACGTGGCAACTACTTTACTTTTTGCTTAGTGAGTTCAGTGATTCAGCAAGTATTTATGTGCCAAAAAGCAGCTGGTAACCCCAATTTTCCTTTTGACTTTTATTCTATTGTAGAACTTGTTAATCACTTTTGGGAAAACAAAAAGGGTTGATACTGTTGTCTAAAAAATACTTCCTCCGTTTTAGATTATAAGTTGTTTTGACTTTTTTTTTCTAGTCAAACTTACTTTAATTTGATCAAGTTTATAGAAAAAAATAGTAACATCTACAACACCAAATTAGTTTCATTAAAACTAACATTTAATATATTTTGATAATATTTTTCTTTTGTGTCGGAAATATTGCTATATTTATCTATAAACTTGGTCAAACATAAAAAAGTTTTACTAGAAAAAAGTCAAAATGACTTATAATATGAAACGGAGGGAGTATGGATTTATCAAAAAGGAATTGTAGCTAAACCCACAAGCTCATCACCTACCTGCTGTCATATTGCCGGATATCATTTCAGGAGGCTTGTTCATGTCAACTAAGCCCTGGAAGAAAACAAAACATAAAGAAGGGAGTAAGGTGCTACTCAATTATAGTGCAAGGACAAGTAAGTATATAATACAGCATGAATTTCCACAGGAAATTCAACTAGAAGTCTAGAAATGTTGTATTAGAAGAATTAAATTATTCAGAATTTCAGATGCGGTTTATTTAATGGACAGCAAATTTATAGGGTCATCAACATCCACGGTGATAGATCATAATTAAATAATTAAGTATGATGAATGGTGCAAGAGTTATCTGCAATTGACATTTTCACAACAGCCTGTTAACTGTGAGCTACACACACATTAAAAAGGCATGACATGTGAGCTACACACACATTAAGGCATGACATGTTGCGCAGCTAGACTGCACGCACTGATACACAATCAGTCATCAGAAAATATTCCATGACGCAACAAAATACTGAATACCTATGGATATAATTGTCAACCAATTTTGCACAGCACGTCACATGATTATCAAGATTAACGATGTAACAGTTTCTAGGATTGTAGACTTGTGTGCCTACATGACTGGATGAAACACCCGCATGATTGCTATGCAACAAAATCAACCCCTCATCTCGTTAGTCAACTCTCAACAATCATCAGTAGTACTCTCTTTACAACTTCCAAATCACCTACAAAATGTCAGTTAGACAGTTACGCCCCAAAGGTTGTCAACCAGGATTAACTCTCTACTTCCTAAAGATCACTACCGCCCAAGATGGCTATGAAACGGACCTTTTGCACCAAACAATCTGATATCCTCATGCCTAATCGTGTTCAAGCTACAGGTATACTACACACAACCTCAGTGATCGAAGGGGAAAACTTCAATCCTCTCAACAAAATGCGCCACGTTCTACTTGACCAAAATATGATATCAAAATCACAGCACCCAAATCGCAAAATGACATTGACCGATTATTATTAGACGGTAGTATGTTCGTACCGCGAGGACGAAGCCCCAGTTAGCGACGGGACCCCAGAAGTGGGTGGTCCTGGGGCCGACGGGGCTGTTCCAGAACGCCTTCGCCGCCGTCGCCATGCCCGGGAATCTGCCCCTCCGCCGAGCTGCTCCAAATCACCTGATCATGCCACACTTTTATCTCATCATCGCTAGCTGCCGAATCGCGCTTCCAACACCAACAGGCAACACAGCACGAGATCGACGGTGGTAATTTGAACAGGAGGAGGGAGAGACCACTTAGCTACGGGACGACGGCGACGGCGACGGCGGCGGAGGCGGCGGCGGTTGGAGAGGCCGACGCGGTTGACGAGCGTGATTTAGGGAGCGAGGGGATTGGAGATTTGGAGGTGGGGTGGGTTGGGATTTGGGAACAAATTCACTCAAAAGAAGAAAATGAATCGGTAGAATGGGTCATGGTCTCATGGACTCCACGCCAAATTCACATGAACTGTTTTTTTTTTTTTGTTGAAAATTTAGACTCTAAAGTACAAAACTGAGCGGCGTGTTTCTTGTTGTCAAGGCTGCTAGGAACAAAAAAGAACAGTATTTGTAGTGGCGTTTTGACAAGGCACTAGATGAAAAACAGTATGATATCACCTATCCCACCGGCAGAACTAAAATATTGCAACGCAAGCTGCCCTTCTCTTTTCTGCTCCATGTTCTTAACGGATGAATGCACAGGCTCAGTGCAAATTTTGCAAAAACTTTCTGTATATGAAATTCTTGTAATATTGTTTTATATCTACTTTTCAACTTTATAGTAGTTAATTCATTCATTTGTACCCTCAAATAATTATCACAAACCATTCATCTATTCAGCAAAAAAAAACACACAAGGTAAAATCATCCACTGCTACCCCACTAATATTGCTGGGAAGAAGGAATTCAATTCGTAGGGAACAAATCCTCACATATATTGCCAACATGTAAGAATATCACACCGTTGTATTTCAGAGCCTTGTCCATATAATGATAGAAACGAATACAAACAGAATAAAATCTTATTCACCAACAGGTATTCCATCTCATTCACCAAGATAGTATTTACAATTTGGCATTCCTTACAATTTTTCAGCGTGAGAAAAACAACATCAAGAACTACAAAGTTGACGATGCATCTGCACCTTTTGTGCTTGTGGAAACTGGTTTAACTTTCTTTTTTTAAAAAAAAATAATATAACAGAGAGATGAACGAATAATTGTCATTCTTTACAGTGTAATAAAACAAGGTGTGACTCGTTATACAACACAAGATTTGTCTCATTTTTCACTATTAGTAAAGTTGCTTAAGGCACGGCTACCAATCCTGCTCATCGTTTTCAATTTGAGAGGATGAGACCGCTTAGTACTTGCGCTTGCATTGGATCCTTCTAATTTTTTCTGATACTCTTTCTCCAGCTCTTCAAGACGACCAGACACCTGTAAATAATGTAAGGAATTGCCTCAGTTATCTATCTGGTACTGCAAGTTCCTATCAGTTCTACAGAAGATTACCAATAATTAACAGATTAGATTCACATATATATATATATATACATATATATATATATATATATATAAGTTGAGATCTAAAGTTACATCGACTGCTCCTTATAAGTCATACCATAAGTCACGCAAAAACGACAAATAGATTGCTGTACCACAGAAGAGAAAAGCAGGCTAACAAAAAAACGAACACCTTAAGTTTTGCCATAATATGGAGGGAAGGGAAAAAATGATGAGCATGGCCACATGCACAAACAAATTCATCACACAAGAAGAATTCACAAAAGGTTTGACATAATGTAGCATTTGGTACAAAAAACAGCTCATCACCTTGAATGTGAAGGCAATTGGCAATAGTACATCAGGATCAGTTGCCTCTTCTGGGAAGTTTCTGAAAGCATGTAGAAGTTTCTCGAAAGGCAATTTGACCTGGCAGCACGTTACAAACTTCAGCACATCTCCAAAAATAAGACTTAAAACAAAAGCAGCCAAAAAAAGGGCAAAGAGAATATTCACCAATTCATCATGGCAAAATCTCAATAGAGCCAATCCAACTTGGAATACAACCTTAATGCCCTGTAGATAACAATGACACAGTAATCAGTATTTTTTTTTTTAATCTTGCATCAAGAAGACCAGTAGATGGAAATTAAATGAGTTCAATTGCACTTTACAAGTATATGCTTATAGGAAAGAACAATGACCATTCATATAAAAAAATTATCTTAGCCTGAAGATATAATAATTGACTTGAAGATATAATAAAAATGAAAACACAAGCACCAGTATGAGATTTTCTCCAGAGTGCATAGTACAATGGCAGTGCTATGTGGGCCAGCCAGACCAGCAATCAGATAGTTATGAGATTGGCTTCAATAAACCAGTGAAACCCAAGTTAAATTTCAACCCAAACTCCTTCCTCCACCTTTGCATCTCGCCAGAAATTGAACAAAAGGAGAAAAAGAAAGACAGCCTGATAGCAAGCTGCTCCTGGCGTTTGGTTATGCACATTGGAGAAATCAAAGACACCTCAAGAGCCAGCTATTGACTCACTATGCTCTATGCATACACGAGTTTATTTCATATATAGTAAAAATATTTAATAAAATGTTCAGTCCAACTAGTGATCAGTAATTTGAGAATCCAGATTGGACAACAGTGCTACAAGGAACTGGGCAATTAAAGGTGTTAACTAGCTACTAAAAACTGTTTTTTCTGTGGTTCGTATATTGCAATTGCACAGCGTACAACCCATCAGAGAATTTACTTTTAAGGTGCATTCAAGTCGGTCAATCAGATGTAAGCTCAAACAAACCCCGCTATTGATAATAATCAACTGGATATAGCACCCTCCATTAGGCTACATAATTTCATTAGGTACAACTTTAAAACAGTAAATCAGTAATAGATGCTTATTATTCGTTAGTTAAGAATGTTATTGCATGGGATCTAAAACTATAATCATAATGTATTAGAATAAATTGTGCCTTGAAAATCAGTCAATCTTAGCTCATAACCTCAGATAAAAAGTAAACAGAACAATTATATGGCGGGCAAGATTCTGACCTCATACAGGAAGACATCCCAAACTCTAAGAGTTAGATGAAAAGGGAAGGAATACGAGAAAACAGTGATAAACCATTGACTTGCATACATGCTTGGATTTATCATTTCTTCAATAAAATGCTGTCCCAACTGTGGCATTTGCTCCAGAACTAATTTCTCAAACTGATACAGATATTGCTGCACAAGCGGCAAACCAGCCTGTTGCAAGAATATAAACAGTAGTTTGTTCAGTATTAGCTTTAGAATATGCAGGCTTTTCATGTAGTGTAAAAATTGTATATGCACCATCACCAATTGCTCAAATTGATGACAGTAATGCTAAAGCAGTGACAAAACATGTACTCGGGAGTATAAAGTGTAAATTTTGTCCATTAGTTCAACAGATAAGTTTTGAGGAGAAAACAACAGAGTGGAGTGGTAGAAAATGGAGATAAGCATGAAGTAAGTATGACTAAGCATTCATATCGAAAGTACTGGACAATATATACTGAATCAAAATCTTCAAGCTATTTTTCACTCTTTCATCGGAAGTTGGAAGTTTGAGTTCTAAAGAATCATTATAATTTATTGAAACCACAGGGAAATTATGTGGCCAAAGGAATTCAATTGCATTACCTGATACAAACCTTCCATTGGCGCATGAACAGCTCCCTTCAGCAAAGCAACTAATAACCAAAATGCATCTTCTTCACTCATATAAAGAAGTAGCAAGCCAGCTAAAAATCCCATTCCCTGCATCATGATTATGCAAAAGAGAACACATATTACTCAACAGAATAAGTTTATATCCTAAAACTAGTCAGCAGTTTTAACACAAACCTGCACGTATCCAACATCCCTATCATAAACAGAGTATGCTTTTAGAACATTATACAAGGATCTTTGGCCTGGACCATGTCTCTGTTGGAAGAAAATATGTGATGGAAAAGTACGTGATATGTCACGAATTATTTCCAATTCTGATGCAGATGTCTCGTATATGACCAGTGTCTGTCCAAAAAATAGTATAGAAATGTAATAATGTTGACAAGATATGTATGACTCTTAAGACAATATCCTGATAATTTAGAAATAACTACTAAGACAACAGAAAGTTAAAAAATAATAGGGAACATTCAACAAAAATCAGGGCAAGCAGTTCTTTCACAATTGTTATAGGTACCTCATAAACCCCAGGGTTCATTAGCAAAAGGTCCCTGCTGCCTGAAATTAACTGCCAAACAAGTCCTCTAAGGCAATCAGGAATTCCTTTCCTTATTCTTCTTTTAACCACATGAGGGTTTCTTCTAACATAATGTTTCCAGTCACTACCACCAACACCTATCATCTTCCTCCATTTTTTTATCCTCCTTCCGTCCCTATGGTTACCCAAAAATATGTCAGCTGTGAGGTTAGTGAAGTAATGCACAGTAAGCCAGTACCCACTTTACAAAAGTAAACTAGATGCATTACAAAAGTGATAGCATGATATCAAAGCGACAAAAATAATATAACGAAGAGCAAGTATGCATTATAAGCCAAGATTTCAGATATATGATAACACATCAGGTACTAAACATAAAGCTGTCAGCTACTAGACACTGAGGTTGCCATACCACAACACACTGCAACAAACTAATTTACTTGCAGAGAACTGAAAACAGCTTCTCTAGAAGATTTACTGTTTCCAGCTAATCATCTAAACAAACAATTATCAGGGTATATACAAAGAGACCACCAATAAGGCATTACATACCTTTCACGCTCACGTTCATGTATGAATTTACTCTTCGAAATCCCATCAGGAGAGGTACCCTGTTCTGGCTTAATGAAACCAAATCTGTCCACAGGCCGAGAAGGCGCTGGCCCAGGCTCAGTGTCATCAACAGCTTTCTTCTTATCCATACCAATTAGCTCTCAAGGATGTCCTTGCAATACAACACAGAAACCTCCTTGTCTACCTGCCATTGATTTACAAACATAAGCACCATTGCCATGAAGCTCCCAACACATAAATTACACATTAAGCTGAGTTGAATCTGAACATAGCATTGCATACAAGAACAGAATCCAGATAAAGGTGAACCGAATCGGAAGTGGCAGCATAGTAGAACTCGCCTAACGCATGACAAGCTAGTCAGGCAGCAGCGGATCGCGGATGGCTAGAAAAGAAGGCAGCGGGGAAGGTTTATCAACGGGTCCGGTTGGAATTCGAGCTTGCAAAATCAGTGCCAATGGTGGGGATTGGTGGCGCTGCTGCGCTGCGACGGTGAGGGAATTTGGGAAGACTCAACAGTGGCACAGAGATCTCGAGGCCTACTGTTGTTTTACCACCTTCCAATTAAGACTTAATTTGGCTAATATGAAAAAAAAAATCTACTGAATGTGCGATTGGGTTGAGGCCCTCTCTCTCCACCCAATCTCCCACCCAAATTGCTGCCACCATGGGCAGGCAGGGTTTGATCGCTATTGCCTATTTGAATCGTGACAAGCTACTTGGTTAGTCGAAATACCTTACGATCCGGTGAGGAATTGTATTCGGGGCCTCCAGCTGCCGCCGGAGTCGGGGACGAAGCGACGCCTCGGGTCGTCGGAGACCGCCGCGGCGGCGACCACGCGTCGTTTTGCGGACCTCAGGAAGGGGAGAGAGAGAGAGAGAGAGAGAGAGAGAGAGAGAGGCTCTAACCCGAAGAGTGGGAAATCCGGGGGGTCGGGCGTTGCGGAGGGAAGGAGGCGGCGCGTCAGGGCGGCGGCGGGCGGCGAGATGCGGTCGCGGTTGAGAGAAGAGACGCGAGACGACGAGAGAGAGAGAAGGGGGGCGTGACCGCGTGACGTTCACGACCTGTTTGGGCCTTGTTTTGGTGGTAAATCCTTTGTTTAGATGGGCCTTGAAACCGGCCCATCCAACGAGCGTGGGGCGGAGATTTTCGACTCGTCTTCCGTTACGGCCCATCAACGAGCCCTCGATGACACGTACTCCCTCCATTAAAAAAAAAAAAGGCAAACATTAAATTTGCGTGTCAAATATTTGATCGTTCGTTTTATTTAAAAAAAATATGAAAATAAATAAAAAGGTAAGTCACGCATAAAATATTAATCATGTTTTATCATCTAACAACAATGAAAATACTAATTATAAAAGAATTTTATATAAGACGGAACGGTCAACGTTCAACAAAGAAAAGGTCAACGCGTTACTGGTCACGTACACAGGTCGACTCGTGCTGTACTACCATGAAACACCTGGCCACATGCCGTCGTGATCTCGACTTCTCAAGTCGTACGGTTCTTGGTCAGCAAGCCAAGATGATAATTTCGACGAAATCCCCCTTTTTTTTTTTTTTGCTTCTGGTCAAACAAAAACGCTATTGCACCAATAAATACACCCTTGGTCAACACGGATGCTTTATGTCGGTTTGAGGCGTACATAAGCAGAAAATACTCGACAACTTGGAAAATGGAGACACGTCTCCATGCTTTTGTCTCAAAAAATATATATATGAACATGCATGGAGTATTCTGATAAGATCAGAAAACATTTTCGTCAACATTCATCGTGCGTAGCAAATACTCCGTCCGTACATCTAAAGAAAATTGTTTAGAACAATGTTTAAATTAAAACTTGAAAATATAAATCATGAATAAGTTGTTGAGTTTGAAAATGTAAAAATTATATGTATAGATTTGTCTTAAAAAATACTTTCATGAATATTTTTATAGAAACAAGAAGTTAAAGTTGTGTTTTGAAGACTGTGTCGCTGTTCTAAACGACTTTCTTAACGAGTATGGAGGGAGTATATAGTGCAATATAAGTACGTGCTCACTGTCATTGTGGTAAGCAAACTAAACATGTGCACTGGCTGCGAAATATAGAGAAACCAAACAATGTACGCGACCAAGCCGCTCTCCCTCTTCAAGAGCCACCCGGAGGCGGCGACCCAGCCGCCGCCGGATGGCCGGAACTCCGGCTACTTCGTCGTGAAGGGCCCCGACGACGACGGCGGCGGCGGCGACGACGAGACGTGCTGCTGGGGCACGTGCGGCGGGTCGCGCGTGCGCGACCTGCCGTTCCCGCAGAACCGCGTGCTGACCGTGCGGTACACGGAGCAGCACGGCGAGAGCAGCACCACCTACGCCGACGCCGTCGTGTTCGTCCCCGTCCCCGACCTGCCGCTGGCGTCGAACCGGTACTACGCCGTCGTCGCCGCCGGCAAGCACAAGGGCCTCGTCAGGGCGTGCTCCCGCGAGGAGGACATGACCACGCTCTGCTTCTGCCGCTGCATCAACGACGCCAAGCCGAGGGTGTTCGACCCGGCCGACGTCTACCAGCAGGTCGAGATCGTGCAGCGGCGGCGCGGCCGGTTCACGGCGAGGTCCGTCGCCGCCGACGGCTTCCCCTACTTCCTCTACCGCAAGAAGTACTGGCGCGTGTACGCCTCCAAGCCGAAGCACTTCGACCTCGGCGAGGCGCCGGGGCTGAACGCCGCGCTCCGGTCGCGCCAGCTCGCCCTCGACGCGTTCCCGGTGACGACGACCGCCGCCGTCGGGAAGTGGTACGCCCCGTTCTTCCTCGTCAAGGAGAGCGGCGTCTCCCCGCCGGAGCAGATGGACCGCGCCACGTTCTACGAGGTGTCGCTCGAGCAGCGGTGGGAGGCGGCGGCGCACGGGCACGGCGACGGCTACGCGGGGAAGCTGGACAGCAAGAGGGTGCTCATCGGCGGGAGCGTCGAGGGGAGGCAGGAGGGCGGCGGGCGCCACGGCGACGACGGGTACGTGTGGTTCAGGGCGGCGGCGGCGGCGGGCGGCGGCGGGCAGAGGGTGGGTTTGTGCGCGAGCCTGTGGGAGAGGATGAGGTGGGAGGAGTACAGGGGAGGGTGGGTCGACGAGCACGAGGGCGCCGGCGAGGTGGCCGGCGGCGGGTCGGTGCTGGTGGAGAGGTTCGTCGTGAAGCGGATGGACGGCAGCGTCGCGGTCGCCGTCGACTTTGTGCACTTCAACAAGGCCAGGGAGAAGCTGGTGTAAATTGTAATCGTGTCACTCTGTCACTGTCAGGTTATACCTATCAAATGCACAGTTGCGAATCTTCAGGTTAAATCCTTCAAAAACCATAAAAAGGAAGAAGAAGAAGAAGAAGAAGAAGAAGAAGAAGAAGAAGAAGAAGAAGAAGAAGAAGAAGAAGAAGAAGAAGAAGAAGAAGTTGCGATTTGTAATGATTTTTTTTTATCAACTCTGTGAGACAGTGGAGAAGATGTATTTGTTATGGTTTGTCAATCACCTTGCTTTGAGCTTTCGCCTTGGTATGTACTCCGTACTATGTATGTGCAAATTACGTAGTAAGCACTTGAATGGGAAACTGTTTTATTCACCTGGATGGATATCCACCCGTTTAATACATACCATTTAAATGGTTATAAAAAAATTAAAAATTTTGAAAAGATAAATCAATATGTAATATATCACTCTACAAATATGCAAGTTAAAATTTAACGCTCTCTTATCATTTTATAGTAACTATATAGCTTAATTGTTGAGTGACCTGAGTAGTACCCCAAGGTTCTGAATTCAAATCTCCATAGGAACGAATTTCAGATTGGGTTATTAAGTTCCCTATTTCAATAGTCGTATATATCCAGTTGAATGTATAGGCCGGGTGAAAAATACCCTTCTCTAAACAAAAAAAAATTGGTAAAAATCCCGTAAATGTAAATCTTAAAATGTGTGTCGCCTTACATTTTAAAATGGACGATGTATTACTCATCATTATCAGTAATTAATTAATTAACTAACTAACCGTAGTAAAGAACAATATCTAAGGTTATACACGCATGCATACAACATAATCATATACAGTACAATCCTTGCAAAAAGAAAAAAAAAACTCAAATACAACACGAGTATACAACTACGCAAATACAAGCGATCGAAAGGTCTCGTACTGATCTAGTTGCAATTGAAAGGTCTTCGCTAGTACTGGTCCTAGTAGTTGTCTAGTTGATCTTGTTGACGTGGGAAAAGTCAAACGCCACCACCACGCTGCCGTCCAGCCTCCTCACCGCGAACCTCTCCACCAGCACCGACCTGCCGCCGGCGCCGCCGGACATCGTCTTCCTGACGCCGCCGCCGCCAACTTCCTCGTCGGCGACCCACCCGCCTCTCTGCTCCTCCCACACCATCTTCTCCCACAGGCTCGCGTGCACGCCCACCCTCTGCCCCGCGGGCCACGTCGTCGTCGCCGCGCTGAACCACACGTACCCGTCGCCGCTGCCTCCGCCGGTCCGCGCGCTCGCCGCCGCCCCCACGGCCTCTTGTTTCCCCTCGACGCTCCCGCCGACGAGCACCCTCTTGCTCGCCTCGCCGCCCATGGCCTCATCCCAGCGTTGCTCCAGGACGATCTCGTAGAACGTGGACCGGTCCATCTGCGCCTTGAGTGGAACGCCGTCCTCTTTGATGTAGAAGAACGGGGTGTACCACCGCCCGACGGCCACCGCCGTCGCCGCCGTCGCCGTCGCCGTCGCCGGCGGCGGGGTGGTCAGCGAGCGCGAGCGGAGCGGGTCGTTGAGGCCAAGCGCCTCGGCGAGGTCGAAGTGCTTGGGCCTGGACGCGTACGCCAGCCAGCGCTTGCTCCGGTAGAGGAAGTAGGGGAGGCCGTCGGCGGCGACGGACCTCGCCGTGAACCCGCCCCTGTTCGGCACGATCTCCATCTGCTGGTACACGTCGGCGGGGTCGAACGGCCGGGGCTTCGCGTCGCGGACGCACCGGCAGAAGCAGTGCGTCGCCGCGTCGTCCTCCCTGGAGCACGCGCGCACGAGGCCGCGGTGCTTGCCCGCGGCGAGGACGGCGTAGTACCGGTTCGAGGAGGGCGGCGCGCCGGGGACGGGCACGAACACGACGGCGTCCGCGTAGGCGTCGGCGTACTTGCCGAGCGCCGGGTCGCTGACCGTGACGACGCGGTTCTGCGGGAACGGGAGCCCGCGCACGCGCGGCTGGCTGCGCAAGCCCCAGCACCGCGTCTCGTCGGTGCCCTCCTCGTCGCTCTTCACGGCGAGGTAGCCGGAGCAGCCGCCCTCCGCCGCCGCCGGCGGCAGCGGCCGCGACGTGGCATCCGGGTGGCCCGCGAACGCCGAGAGCGGCTTGGTTGCGTACATTGCTGAGTAACTTCTGATGAAGAATATTTAACGGTCTGGATTTATTAGTAGAAGACAACTGGAGAGTATATATATATTCACAGCTGAGATTCATGGCACGTGTCGCACTGTGGCCATTTCCGTGAAATTTAATTTGTTGGTGTTATCAAAGAGAAACGTATACTGCCGCGGTCAAGCCATGAACTTGACTGAATTAAATTGAGGAGAAAAATGATGGGGAGTATTCGTGAGAATTAACGTGTTCTTTTACTTTGACTACAGCTGTACAATAAGTTCAAAACAAATCAGATCGTCGGTTTCGTAGGTTTCTTCCTGAAATAAACTTCCAGCACAAAACTACAAATCGAACTTTGGATATTTTTCATAAAAATCAGATGCACTCTCTCTACCTGTTAGGTTTGCCAAAAAGCCACGTGGAAAGGCGAGAAAGCTAATCCGCGACCAGTCGCGCGCGCCCTCCCTCGCGCGATTGGACGCATGTCGCGCGTGGAGAGGAGGCGGCGACGGCGCATGATTTTTTTTTTCGGGAGCGGTTTCCCTTTTTTTTCCTGTTTTTTCTTTCCGTATATGTAGTTTGAGATTTTCTTTTCTTTTTCTATTTTTTCTTTCCGTAGTTTACGGTTCTTTTTTTTGGTTGCTTTTTTGTTTTTTCTTTCCGTATCATTATTAGTTTTTTTCGTTCTTATTACGTTATATATGTATAAATACAAACTTTGTATACGCGTATGTAAAGTTTGTATACGCGTATACAAAGTTTGTATAAGTGTATTTCTTAAGTTTTATACGTATGTACACAAACTTGGTATACGTGTATACAAAGTTTATGTACATTTTTTTGTGTTTTTTTTATACATACACACACAAACTTTATACACGTGCATATATTTTTTTATACAATAAAGTGTATAATATATATATATATATATATATATATATATTATACACTTCTTGTTTCCATTAGATACACTTTATTTAAAGTGTATATAGTATATATATACACTTCTCTCCCGCTTCTTGTTTCCATTCTTTAACCAAACTTTAAATATTTTTCCTCTTAAAATATCCATCCGATTTATTATTTATTTACACATATGTATCTGTTATAATTTAAAATATTTATAATAAGATCTTGCATTACTATATTTTGATGAAAATACATATACTAGTAAAATACTCGTATGTTGCACTGGGTGAAGCCAAAAGCAATAGTGAGTGTGTGGGGAGCATAAGGCCACCAAGTTAGTCGAGGTCCTTGTAATGAATCTTTCCAGTGCAACACAAGGATGGCACTTGATCACATGACATAATTATTTGCTGCTCTAAATCCACTAATATGGATAGATGATTATAAAAAAACTATCAATACCACCTTAAAATAAAATTATGTATTACATACTAAAATTTGGAACGATAATAAGTATTTATTTTTGTCATGAATTATTATTAGAGTCGGTTGCAACACATGGGTATTTTTTCAGTAATTGATATTGACAAACAAATATTGTAAAGAGTAGCCATAGTAGAAGAATTTTTTTTTTGGCCAGCTATTTGATCAAGCTCACTGCACTCCAATAGCAGAATCGCTTTAACTCGAAAAAAAACTAAAAATTAGAAGAAAATCGTACAACGAATAAAAAAAAGTGGGGAGTGATATGGTTAGGTGTCCTGTGGCGTATGAGAAATTGAGAACCTTCACGCGTTGCGTAGGAAGCACGATTTAATTTGTTGGTGATAACATGTTTCTTCTTGCAACAATACAATGATTTGTGGGGGTAGTGTTTGATGGGCCAATAATGTCAGCGAGCAAAAGGAGGCATGTGATTGCATTTTTACTTCATTTAACTATAAAAAAGCGTGACCAGTTCAATTTCCATCGCTTGAAAGAGATCCATCCAAGTACATGGGACCCGATACAGTGTTCCGTCATCTTTTTTCCGATCCCTGGTTTGTGAGTCCCTCTACCCACGTTGCCCGTAAGTTCAGATTTTGCATAGTGCGGCTGCATCGCGCGTCTGGACATTGTATCACGCGGATCAACGATGAATAGGAATTGAAGCCAGGCACCGACGAATGAAAAAAAAAACTATGGAAACCTTACGTATTTTTTAAGTAGGATTAGATAAGTAATAGAGATAGAGATAAAGATATATATAGCAGAAAAAACCATTTGTTAACCACCTAACCATGAGCCCTCTTCTGCATAGAATTCTCTTATTATGACATGGCACGCTGCATGTGTTCATTGTTCTTGTCTAATCAGCATTCTACAGCTTCTTAGCTTCTGATATTATTAGACATGGCACCCTGCATGTGCTCAGTGTTCTTGTCTTAATTAGCTGCCGCTAATTCTCCAGCTGCTTAGCTCCTGATATTAGCTAGACATGGCACTCTGCATGTGCTCAGTGTTCTTGTCTTAATCAGCTGCCGCTAATTCTATAGCTGCTTAACTCCTGATATCTATCTATCTATCTTCTATCTATCTATCTATCTATTATCTATCTATCTTCTATCTATCTATCTATCTATCTTCTATCTATCTATCTATCTATCTATCTATCTATCTATCTATCTTCTATCTATCTATCTATTCTATTATATACTAAAAGTCCGTTAAACTTCCTACAAACGCTCCTAAATCGCCACGTGGAACTCTACAAATGCTCCTAAGCTGCCACGTGGCAAAGAAACATCTAACCCTTGATTTTTATGTAAGTTGGTGGACCCATTATTTTCGACCATTAGATTAGATGTAAAAAAAAAAAGTAATCCACCCATCCTAATCCACCTGGGCCCACTCTATTCATGCGGATGTACGTACACGTACGGACGTATCTACTCGGTACGCTCCTATTCCCATTATTCTCTTTTCGTTCTATTATATTTTTATCTCTCCTATTTCCTTCTTTTAATAGAAAGCATAATTTATGTAAAAACATTTAAAATCATAAAAGTAACTAAATAATACATATATGTTTTGATCACAGTAGCTAAAAAAGGCACATAGAGATTGGTGTTATGGGTGCCGAAAGTGATAAAATTAACCAGCACCTATAGATCAATTTCCACCTCTACAGGTTGAAAACACAATAAAACCGGTACCTTTAATAAACTACAAGTATTGATTAATTAAAAAGCCGATACCTTCAATCTATACTAAATATCTATTAAACTTCCTACAAACGTTCCTAATCCGCTACGTGGCACTCCTACAAAAGATGTAGAGCCGCTATGTGACGCTCTAATAAATTATAGAAATTATGAGAAAAACAAAAATACCTAACAGTCGATTTTCATTTAAAATAGTGGACCCAATAATTTAAAACGTCATACCAAAATAAAATCCCTCTTACGTATGTACATACGCCTATCCTCCCCTTATTTTCTCTTTCATTTTTCTTTCTTTTGCTAATTAAGGTAGTTATTACGAGATATGCACCATAACTTAATATTGTAAATGGTTACTCCCTCCATTTCACAATGTAAGTCATTCTAGCATTTTCTATATTCATTTTGATGTTAATGAATCTAGACATATATATCTATCTAGGTTCATTAACATCAATATGAATGTGGGAAATATTAGAATGACTTACATTGTGAAACGGAGGAAGTATAACTTACTTACAAAGAGACGTCCCCTCTTCCAGTGCAAGCAGCATGCGTGCAAACCATACGCATGTACATACCTCCTCTCCATTTCTCTTTTAAGGATTTTTTTTCTATCGGATCAAATTATACGTTCTATTTGTGTCATTATACTATTATGATTAAAATGACAAATTAGAATTTAATACACCTGCTGACTATAATTTAAGTTGTAAAAATTATGAAAAGAAAGTGATATTATATATTGTTTCATGCTTATAATAAGTTCACTAGCATGTAACTAAAATAGATCTACAATGTCAGAAAAATGTTAATAATTAGAAATCAAAGAAATTTTGAGAAAAAACAAAACAACTAACACTCGATTTTCACTTAATAAGATCTATCTTTAGAAAAAAAAATCCACTGCTGCCTTCCTCCCGGGCCTTCTCTCCTCACGGTTCAAACATCCCTCCTTCTTGGCTTCCTTTTTAATTTTCTAGCTAACAGATTAATAAAAATCATCAAAATTCTAATAAATGTTTAGCCACTGTTTTTTAAAAATTGATGGACCGATTAATTTTAAATGTTAGATCTTCATCTAAAAAGAAAATATGATACCTGCACCCTCACCGCCACCTCCATACGTGCGTACTTATGTAGTTACGTTCTCCCTCCACCCTCCTAACTCTCCCCTTCTTTCCTATTTCTTAAGCTAACTGCTATTTTTTAAGCTTATACTCAATCTATGAAAAATTAATAATCAGATTTCTAAATGATCATAAAACTCAAGTTACATATTATCTGAATTTTTTTCAATTATTGTGTTTTTTATAATTTAATACACAATTCGAGATCCATATACATAACTCAAACTTCTAATATAAATGTTTAAGATCAAATTTTTAAGCATCACATTAAATAAATAATAAATTTTGATCCTATAACGCCCCTAAATCACCATGTAGCAATAATACCACTGCCCCTAAACCGATATGTGACCCTCTAATAAATTATAAAAATTCATAGAAATTATATTAAAAAAAATCTAAACATTGATTTTTCAATATTTTCAATCATTAGATCTAATCTTAATCTTAACCTACTTAAAAACTTCAAGATGACTACGTCCTTCATCGCTTGATGATGCCATCCATGAGTCAGCCACACATACTCCACGTATATGTTCCGTTCACAAGAGAGAGCATGCAATTCTAAATCAAATTGAAAAAAAAAAACCACATCATTTGAATCGGCTCACTGAAAGAAAAAGTAGAATGAAAAACCATCTTAATTTTTATTTGAAATTAATTTGTCAGACCGATTATTAACAAACTAATACATATGCCCGCGCATCGCGCGGGCTACCTTCCTAGTTAAACATAACACTAACACATTTGCACACTGCGCCTAGTCAAAATTCAAAAACCGAGGAAGGCAACAAAATCCAGGGTTTCTGAATTCCGATTTCGTCGTGTGAAGTTCAGATCATTGAGTAGTCCATTTCTGAATTCTGATTTTTTTTTTGGTCGGAGATAAATGCTGCCAGATCGATCTACGTGGTGCTTAATCTTGCTGATTTTGAGGCGTACGTTTGGGATTTGTTCGTTGGATGAGGTGAGCCAATTGTTGTGTCCAAGATCCTGCTGAGCAAATCATGGTGCTTTTCAGGAGATGAAACATGCTTCAATCAAGGGGAGCACACTGATCGAGGAGATCATCCAATCCCAACTGCAACGAGAGCTATTAGTTCTTCGTCCTCCTCCGGACATCCAACACAACTAGCTGCGAGTAAGGCGGAGGGGACGAAGGGGACATCCAACACAAGCTGCGAGTAGGGCGGAGGGGACGGAGGATGTGGCCGATCGATTAGAGCACTCCGAAGACGGCTGGGGCAGGGCAGTTGAAAGATCAAGATGACCAACGCGTCCGAGCTTCTCGCAGGGCTGGAAGAAGAGGAGGAAGAACAACTCAACGACGGCGGTAGTCTTCGGCTCAGCAATGCGCCAATGCGCATCCGATGGCATGGCCAGGAGAGCGACAAGCTTGATTCTAAACTCTATAAGAGATATCTACTTATTGTTTACATATTATTTAAATGGTTATATTTTTTAAAAAAAAAATCAACAAAATTGATTAATATATGCTAAATTATTTCATAAACATGTAAGTTAAAATTTAACTTCTACAAATTACAATGAAAAATAAATAAATTTAAATATGGCTACTTAATGTATACAGTCAAATTTGTTTTTTCTACAACTTGTAGAAGTTATATTTGATCTTGTATGTTTGTGGAGTGATTTCTCATATACTAATCTATCTCGTTGAATTTATTTTTAAATATTTTTATAACTATTTGGATGACATACAAACAATAAGGATGTCCCCTCAAGAGTTTAAATAGTTTTCCTATGGGGAAAGCTATCTTTTAAGAGCATCTACAATGTAATATTAAAGCAGTCAATATACTCATCCTATACAATAGTAACCATTGTGGGAGCATCCTATCTGGTAGTAGCTGTTGTGGGAGTAGGTAGGGATGGCAATGGGTCAGGGCGGGCACGGGTAGAGCAAAACCATGTCCGACCCAATGCCCGACATTGCCCATCCGAACCCTATCCACTAGAGTTAGCGGGCAAAATTTCGTGCCCGTACGGTCGTACCCATGCCCGATGGGCGCGGTATGTCCAGCGAGTACCCAATGGATCTCGCATGAATAATAAACTTGAAAGATATGTAATTTAACAAAGAGAAATAAAATCAATAATTTACCAAATTATCGGTTATCGACAATAATTTGAATTACATCACAACTTAGTATCAGTTAGCATCACAAATGAACCAAGAGAAATGGTATAAGAATTAATAAATGAGTCGAAATTAGCTAATACATATGTATCGGGTTAGGCATGGGTTACCCACGGGTAAACAATGAAACCTGCCTGTTGCCCATGACGTCTTCGGGTCTTGGGCGGGCGTATAGATGGCCAAAAGGCCCGAGGCCCGACGGCCCGGCCCATGGCACGATATTTTGGCCCGGCCCAAGCACGGCACGGCCCGACGGAGGTCGGGCCCGTGCCGGCCCGGCCAGACCACTGGGCCGTGCCTGGGCCCCTCCACCGGCACGTTGGCCCGGCACGGCAGCTAGGCCCGATACACAAAAAAAATAAGGGAGTAAAAATAGACATATTATATGCCATGAACGAAAGAATAGGGATCTAAACTAGACTTTTTTTTATCTATACATATGTTAGCCGAAGAGGAGGGACAGAAAATAGACTTATTTTAGCTATACATATGTCAGCCCAAAGAGGAGGGACGGAAAATAGACTTATTTTAACTATACATATGAAATAGCCCAAAGAGGAGGGACGAAAAATAGACTTATTTTAAAAAGGCCCGATGGGCCACCTATGCTTTCGGGCTGGCACGGCACGGCCCGACAGCTGGTGGGCCGTGCCTGGGCGGGAGGTGCAGCCCATGGGCCGGCACGGCCCGGCACGAAGTGCCTATCGGGCCATGCCGGCCCGATGGCTGCTGGGCCGTGCCCAGCCGTGCCTGGGCTGGGCCGTGCCGGGCGGGCCCTTTGGCCATCTATAGGCGGGCGTGCACATGGGTAAAAAGTCACACCCACGCCCATGTCCATTGGGTCGGGTACCCACAGATACCCGGACCCATCGGTAAAATTGCCATCCCTAGGAGTAGGTAACAACAATAACCGAGCATTTATATAGAGATAGTTAGCAATTGCATTATAGTCATTACATTTGTAGCCGTTGCAAACTTGTTGCATTGTAGTCATCCTCTACAAATACAAAAACTACTCAGTAAATTACTCTACATTTCATCAAACTAGATTGATCACCCCAACAGAGGTTTTATGCACATGTTAAACCAGGGCTCCCGAGCCAAACTTCTTAAAATATTAGCCAAAACTCCACTCATACACAATTCCCCTCAATTTTCTCCAATCACAGTTTGCTCAATCCTCAACACCTTCCATCCTTTGGGGGCTCCAACCAACTATCAACTATATGGCAACTTTCCTCCAAGGTTTCATAGTTTTCAGCAATAAGCACATTGGTTACAAGTGTACAAATCAAGTTGTTGGGTCTGCTTAATGGACATCACAATATCGTGCAAAGACATGCCGAGAACAATGTGGTTAATATTAAAGAGTCAATGACAACATCGAAGAGGTAGGGAGGAGAGGGACACGAGTTGGACTGAAGAGGAAAACAACATAAGGCTCCCATCGGATGGCCTAATCAGCCAAAGAAAAAAAACCAAATTTTAAATTTTCAAACTTAATTTATTTTTAAGACATTTTTAACGTAGTTTCTTTTTCAGCATTGGCTTTTAAGTCACAAAGAACACATATATAAAAAATTTACCTATAAATTTATTTTTATTTTCTAATAAACCGTTTTTATTAGGGAAAAAGCTAAACGATAGGGACCTAAGACTTCTTAGACCTTGGCTATACAATTCAGTGGATCCTATAAATGGTAACGATGAGACAAGTCGAGCATAAAACTCAACTAGACCAAAGAGAGGAAAATATAAGACTCCTTAGCTCTTGGCTGAACAATTCAGTGGATCTAGCAGGGCATAAACCTAAAGCTGAGTGAACCTAGCTAATAGTATAGTTAACTAATACAGCAAGTCCTCGTCCATCGAATCCATGGAGTACGTAGAGTCGTCGTCGTCGTCATCCACGGCCACCGCCTTCCCCTTCAGCTTTGCTTTCGCCTTCGCCTCTGCCTCCGCCTTCGCTTTTGCCGCAGCCTCCGCCTCTGCTTCTAGCTCCGCCTTCGTCTTCGTCTTCGGCTTCGCCACCAACCTCAGCTGTCCCACCGGCAGCTCCGGCTCCGTCGCCGGCGCCTCCTCCTCGTCGGGGATGCCGCCGCTGAACTTGTGCTTGAAGTACTCGTACTTGATGACGTCGAGCTCGCTGACGCTCTTCCTTGCGTGCTTCATGGCGCTCTTGAAGTGGTCCACGGTGAGCTCCGCGCCCGCCATTGCCAGGGCCTTCCCGACCAGGGTGCTCTTCTGGACCACCTCGCGCACCGCGAGCTTGCACGCGCGCTGGCAGATCTCCTTGATGTCGGCGCCGCTGAACCCGTCGGTGGAGGCGGCCATGGCCGGCAGGTCGACGTGGCGGGACATGGGCGCCTTGCGGAGGTTCGCCCTGAAGATCTCCAGCCGCGACGAGGCGTCCGGGAGCGGGATGTAGATGAGCTGGTCGAGGCGGCCCGGCCGGAGCATCGCCGGGTCGATGATGTCCGGCCGGTTGGTGGCGCCGATGACGAACACCGTCTTCTTGGCGTTGATGCCGTCCATCTCGGTGAGCAGCTGGTTGAGCACGCGGTCCGGCGTGCCGCCGGCGTCGCCGACGCTGTTGCCGCGCTTGACGGCGATGGAGTCGAGCTCGTCGAAGAAGAGGATGCACGGCGCCGACTGCCGCGCCTTGTCGAACAGGTTGCGGACGTTGCCCTCGCTCTCGCCGAACCACATGGTGAGCAGCTCGGGCCCCTTGATGCTGATGAAGTTGGCCTTGCACTCCTTGGCGATGGCCTTGGCCATCATCGTCTTGCCGCACCCCGGCGGGCCGTAGAAGAGCACGCCGCGCGACGGCGACATGCCAAACAGGTCGAACATCTCCGGGTGCTCCACCGGGTACTGCACCGTCTCCTGGAGCTCGCGCTTGACCTCGCCCAGGCCGCCGATGTCGTCCCACGACACCTTGGGCACCTCGACGATCCCGGTCTCGCGCAGGGCGGAGGGCTTGGTGACCTCCATGGCGAACTTGAGGTGGTCCATGGTGACGGTCAGCGAGTTGAGGATCTCCACGTCGATGGTGTCGTTCTCGATGTCGATGATGTCCAGCTTCTCCCGGATGCACTGCATGGCGGCCTCGGAGCAGAGCGAGGCGAGGTCGGAGCCGACGAACCCGTGGGTGTCCTTGCCGACGCGCTCGAGGTCGACGTCGTCGGAGAGCGGCATGTTCTTGGTGTGGATGCGGAGGATCTCGAGGCGGCCGAGCTCGTCGGGGACGCCGATGTCGAGCTCGCGGTCGAAGCGGCCGAAGCGGCGGAGCGCCGGGTCGAGGCTGTTGGGGCGGTTGGTGGCGCCGATGACGATCACCTGGGCCCGCGGGCGGAGGCCGTCCATGAGCGTGAGCAGCTGCGACACGACGCGGCGCTCCACCTCGCCGTGCGCCTTCTCGCGGCTGGGCGCGATGGAGTCGATCTCGTCCATGAACACGATGGACGGCGCCGCGGCGTCCGCCTCGGCGAACACGGCGCGCAGGTTGGCCTCGCTCTCGCCGGGCATCCCGGACATGATCTCCGGCCCGTTGACGACGACGAAGTGGGCGCCGGACTCGGCGGCGATGGCGCGCGCAAGCAGCGTCTTGCCGGTGCCGGGGGGCCCGTAGAGGAGGATGCCCTTGGGCGGGCGCACGCCGAGCGTCTGGAACAGCTTGGGGTGGCGCAGGGGCAGCTCGACGAGCTCCCTGATCTGCGCCAGCTGCTTGCGGACGCCGCCGACGTCGTCGTAGCCCGGCCCGTCGAGCCGCTCCTCGTCCTCGCGCTTCACCGGGTCGCCCTCGTCGCAGAAGATCTCCGTGTCGCCCGCCACGATCACGGGCTCGTTGTTCGGCTCCGTGTCCATCACCTTGAACTCCACGGCGTGCATGTGGCCGCGCACCAGGAACCGGTCGCCCTTCTTCACCGGCCGCAACGCATCCATGAAGTACGCTACATGAAATAATTAATTAGTTTATGTCTTTATGAACGACGGCAAAAAAAATACATTAGTAATAATTACTAATTAATTAGTTCATGAACTACTTCAAACAAAAAATAGAAAAATAGATAGTACACTGTACGTGAGATTAGATAAAAAAATTAGATGAGTAACTACTAATTTAAGTTCATGAGAATATAGTAGTAATGATTAATTAGTTTATGAACGGCTGCAAAAAAAAGGCATTGGTAATAATTAATTAGTTCATGAACTACTTCAAACAAAAAATAGGTAGTACTAATTAATTAGTTCATGAACACTGTACGTGAGATTATAAAAAAAATAGATGAGTAACTATATAGTACTAATTAGTTCATGAAAAATAGGTAGTACTAATTAATTAGTTCATGAACACTGTACGTGAGATTATATAAAAGATTAATGAGTAACTATGTAGTACTACCTCCGTTTCAGATTATAAAACTTTCTACCATTGCTCACATTCATATATTCATATGGATGCTAATGAATTTAGGCACACATATATGTCTAGATTTATTAACATATGTATAAATGTGGGCAATATTAGAAAATCTTATAATATGAAACGGAGGAAATACTAATTAGTTCATGAAAAATGAAAAATATGAGGGGCTCATAGGTAATTATTATTAGATAGTAACTAAATAAACTAAATATGGGTAATTATTATTAGACATGAAAAATATGAGGGGTTCATAGGTAATTCTTATTAGATAGTAACTAAATAAACTAAATATGAGGGGTAATTATTATTAGATTGTAACTAAATAAACTAACTTTGCATGCCAAGACATTAGACTAGAAATAAAATCTACTCCTACAAGTAGAATTATCGGGTAAGACGTACGATGGTTTATCAGATAGATTAGATTAGTAGAATTATCGGGTAAGACGTACTATGGTTTATCAGAATTATCGGGTAAGACGTACGATGGTTTATCAGATAGATTAGATTAGTAGAATTATCAGATAAGACGTACGATGGTTTATCAGAATTATCGGGTAAGACGTACGATGATTTATCAGATAGATTAGATTAGTAGAATTATCGGGTAAGATGTACGATGGTTTATCGGATAGATTAGATTAGTAGAATTATCGGGTAAGACGTACGATGGTTTATGGGATAGATTAGATTAGAACGCTTACGTTTGAGGTAGGGCTCGAACAGATCACCGGAGATGCCCTCGACAGAGTCGTCGAAGGGGCGGAGCTGCACCCTCTTGGCGTTCCTAATGGTGGGGCACGGCTTGACGGTGACGAGGTCGCCGAGGCGGACGTGGAGGTTGCTGCGGACGCCGCGGCTGAGGCGGAGGCGGCCGTCGGGGCACGACTCGTCCTTCTGCGCGTAGCAGACGGCCTCGCGGCGCCGCCTCCCGCGGAGGGTCACCAGGTCGCCGCGGAAGATGCCGAGCTCCTCCATGGTCGCCTCGCTGAGCGTCACCGTGGAGTTGTCGACGGCCACCCCGCCCTCGGCGTCGTCCGCCATCAGCCGGTTCGGGGACTTCTTCTTGGCGCACTCCAGGATCGCCGTGCTGTAATCCCTCGCCGTCGTCGTCTTGGAGGAAGAGACGTCGGCGTCGGCCATGTCGGCGATGCTGATGATGATGAGATTGGCCGCCGCCGGCCGACGAAACAATATTCCAGGAGCGATGCGAGGGTCCAATGATATCAGATCGATAGTTCTTTTATAGCGATATATAAGGACCGGCCGGATAGCATGCATGTGTTTAATTAGAGTCCGGTACGTTGACATTATCCGTGTTTGGCTCGTTATAGGGTACCGTACGTGTAGGGTACCGTATCAGGTGCAAACTCCTTCCTGTGCAGGCCCGATTGATGATCTGGATATGACTCGTGTATCATAGCGTTTTTTTTTAAAAAAAATAATGGATTGAAAACCCGGTTTCTACATCGGAAAGATGTACGTACACAGCCTATAAAATTCATACATAAGCATATAGGCTCCCCATTATTACATAGGTGGTACAACAAACACAAAAGACCGAACAAACACATAAGTTCAATCCAACAAGACTGCAAAAGCTAACACACAAAGTAACTATAACAGCCAAGCACAAGGAATTATTCTAAGCTTCAATTCTCCTTCCCAAGTTCTAGCCAAATTTGGAGAAAAACCCCAAAACTCTCATCTCAAGCGCCTTGCAGTACACTTTCACAATGTTGTTGCCATATTCTTTCTTAAGCAACAAAGATAATATAGTCTCTCCCTATGCGTCCCCTTGAAAATTAATTACTTTCATAAAAGAATGCGCACAAGTTCCATTAAAAACCATATCATTCTTACTTAATCACACCGTCCAACACAGCGGCGCTATGCCACACAAAACTTGATTTTTTAAGCTTAGGATTAACACCACTTAGCCAACTACCAAATAATGAGACAAATTGTCAGGTGGATAGATGCCGAAAGTGAAATGTACCATGTTCCACACAAATCTTACCATTGGATATATAGTCAAAGAAAAAGCGTTGTATCATCTCATTGGATATACAAAGCAAAATCTAATGCTACCTTCCACCTCTTAGTAAGATTACCCATGGTTAAGATGACTCCTTTTTTTAAAGTGCCATAAGAAGATTTTAATATTTAGCAGGAATCTTAGCTTTCAAATTAAAGACTTCCTTGGTACCACATTTCGCAATATGAGTTTATTATACATTGAGTTAAGTGTAAAAGTTTCATTTTTACTAGCATTTCAAATGAACATATCCTTTTGTCTCACTAGGTTAATATCAATCACTTTATTAACAATATCTTCCACTATAGCTCTTTTAAAAGAAACATTTAAAGGCACCCTACCCAACACCTTAGCCATCGCCATATTCTTATTTCTGACTAGATTATAAAGTGAGGGATATATTTTTTCTAAGGATTGGTCTCCTAGCCAACAATCTTTCCAAACAATTAAAGTTCGATAGTTACGGGAAAATGATTTCATCCCTTGAGGGGATATCCCCTCGTTTCATACATGGCTGCTAAATAGTCATCTAAAATTTTGAAATTTTTTTGGCATAATAGATTAATATGAAATATATCACCCACAAACATGTAAGTTAAAATTTAACTTCTACAAGTTATAACAAAAATAACAAATATAGTTGCAAATGTACGATAACTATTTTCAGTTTAATTTGTTCTTTTTGTTATAACTTGTAGAAGTTAAATTTAGTCTTACATGTTTGTAAAGTGGTATATTTATATTTATCCATATTGTTATTTTTTTTTCAAATTCTTTAATAACTATTTAAATGACATGTAAACAACGATAGAATATCTCACGATGAAAATCATTTCATCACGATTTTGCTATATATTTGTCGACAAATTTTCTCCCAAAAATTTGACAGATGTAATTACAGTACAATCGTAGTGTAATTACACGGTAACTTGTATGTAATTACACTGTAACTATAGTGTAATTTGTATGTAACTTTCAAAAATCTCTCTGTAATATGTTATTTTGGTAAAATGGAGGTTGTGGGAACAAATCTTTACACATATGTGTGTGCCGTGATTTTTTCTTCCTCACTAAAACAAATCTTGTAATAGATTTAACGATTCAAAATTACGTGAAACTTATATATAAGTTACACTGTAGTTACATGCAAGTTACAGTGTAATTACATATAAGTTACAGTGTAATTACACTACGATTGTACTATAATTACATCTGTCAAATTTTTAGGAGAAAATTTATCGACAAATGTATAGGTGGTCCCTTTCATCATATCCGATAGTTACAGTAGTACACAGTTTGCTCATACCCATTTGGTTCTAATCTTGCCGGTGTGCCTGAAACCACAGGTGAGCGCAACGCTGCCGTCCATCCTCCTCAGCACGAAGCTCTCAAGCAGCAGGTAGCACCCAAACTTGTCCCACTGACCCGGCCTCGCCTCACGCCTCTCCCCCCTCTCGATACTCTCCACGTCGCCATTACCGGCAACCCACCCTCCTCTCTCCAGCTCCCACTTCATCTTCTCCCACACCACCATGTCCAGCCCAACTCCACCTGCCGTGCCAGAGTTCGTCGGCGGCGCCGCCGGTCGGAACCACATCACCCCGTCGACCATCTGAGGCCCGCCTCCTCGCACCGCGTCGGTGCCGCCCAGCAGCGCCGTCGACCGGCGCACCGTCGCGCTCACCTCAACCTCATTGTCCTTGCTGCTGGTACTCCTCCTGCCTCGATGGGCGTTGTCTCGGGTGTATATCTCCTCCCACCTCTGCTCCAGCGTCATCTCGTAGAACATGCACCGCTTGACCTGATCCTTGAGCCGCTGCTCGCCGCCGTCGTTGATGAACATGAACGGGCAGTACCACCTGCCGACGACGACGGGCGGCGAGCCACCTACGCCGACGTCGAAGCTGTCGAGGTCAGGCATCCGGCGGCGGAGCGGCCAGTCCGTCCCGTGCGCCGCGTCGGCGAGGTCGTAGCTCGTGGACGCCGAGGTGTGGACCTTCCACGCCTCCCTCCTCAGGTAGCCCGGCGGGATGCCGTCCGGCGCGACCGCCACCGCCGTGAAACCCCTCCCGCGCGGCGGCAGCCGCAGCACCTCCACCTGCTGGTAGACGTCGCCGCGGTCGAACGGCCGCGGCGGCACGTCGTTCACCAAGGACCAGAGGCCGCAGCACGTCACCATGTCCTCCTCCCTCGAGCACGCCGACACCTTCCCGGCGTGCCTCCCCGTGGCCCGGGCGGCGTAGTAGCGGCCGGACGACAGCGGCTGGCCGACGACGGGCACGAACACGACGTCGTCGCGGTGCGTGTAGGTGAGACGGTTCCTGCCGGCGCCGATGCTGGCGGTGTACTCCACCTCGAGCTGCCGGCTCTGCGGGAACGGGAGGCCGTACACCTGCCTGTCCGCCCATAAGCCCCACCACCGCGTCGCCCGCGCGACGGCCACCTCGTCCTCCACCACGAGGAAACCGGAGCCCGGGTCCTCCGGCGGCGGCTCCGCCGCGGCGTCCGGGTCGTCCTGGTACCGCGACATCGGCCTCGTCACGTACATCTTTCTCTCTCTCTCTGGCACTGCGATGGTGTAGTCTTCTTGTAGATGTGCATCTCAATTTATAAACCTTCATATGTACCACAATGGAGGCGCCGTGTGTGTGGTGGTGTTGACTGACGGAAAGGGTCATTGCGCCTGAGCAGTGAAGTGGATGAGTCAACGGTCGATGTGAGGAAATTCCTGATATGCTGATTTGCAGTGTAATTTCCGTTTGATTGTGCTGGTACTAACTAACCAGACCTTCCTACTGCCCTCCGATTTTGAATGAACAATATAATACTTGACTTTTAAGAATATATTTAACCAATCGTCTTATTAAAAAAATATAATTGTTGTTTATTTTGTTGTGTGTAGAATTATCTTTCTTTAAGATAAGCATAGCTTATATTTAATTTAAGCATATCCTATAATTCGTGCGTATTAAAAAATATAATTATTATTTATTTTATTATGAGTTGGTTTATCATACTTTAGTTTAAGCATAACTTTTAATGCCTATCATCCGTAGTTACTCGATGGTTTGGTTGTTTTCTTAAATAAGGTAAATACTTAAAGGTATGTAAAAATCAACGACATTATAGGAAGTACAAGTTACGATATGTTGCAAAACAAATGTACAAGTCCTTGAAATAAGAAAGAAAATTGCTAAAATAAAATCTGGCGACAGTTCTTTCAGAGAAAAACTGTTAATTTTCTTACCTTTGGATAACAATCGCACTGGCACAAGCATAAATTATAACGCCTAAAGTCCGTAGTTTTACTTATAGTTTCATAAAAAAATATTTTATAAAATTTACTTATTCTTAAATAAGATAAATAGCCAAACATATGTAAAACATCAAATTAAAAACCATGGTAAGTACTGGCGACAGTTATTTAGGAAAAAAATAATTTACTTATTTTTAAATAAGATAGATGGTAGAAAAAGACAACGATATAATGTAATAAAAAGGAAAAGGCCTCCCGAACTATTGAGTGAGTACGAATTATCTCCTAAACACGAAAACCAAATAGACCCATATGTCAGAATATCTCCCTTGCACCTCTCTCTTTCTCTCTTCTCCCTCCTGTAACGACTGATTCCCTCTCGCACAAAGTGCATCGCTCACCCAGTGGCCAGCGGCGAAGCTCGTATAGATGTAGCTGCAGCGGCGATGGAGCCAAACATCCTGCGTAGGCGGCGATGAGACTATTGGGAATAGTTCCACATTGCTTATCTAGGGGGAGTTGAATCAACTTAAAAGTGGAAAGAGACTATTGGGGTGTAGCAAGGTTTTCTCCCAGTTGGACCAACGTCTCCCGGTTTTGGGCCAACAAGTGGTATCAGAGCCAAACCCACAATCTTCTAGTGCTTGTGCACACTCAGGGTGGTGTAAGCCCAAAACCCAGTGGACCGCGGGTGTGAGGCCCGTATGTGCCTGTGTGTGGGGGCCGGTCAGGGCTAAGGGGCACCAATGTTGTGACGGGGGAGATTTAAGGTGGTAAGCTAGCTATTGGGGTGTAGCAAGTTTTTCTCTCGGTTGGGCCAACGTCTCCCGGTTTTGGGCCAACGAGACGGCGCTCTGCACAGCGGCGGAGGCAGCTCCTCTCCGGCCTCCACCAGTGCGCGCCTCCTCCTTGACCTCTACCGGCGCACGACCGTCCTTGCCGAACTTGATGCCCCGCCGGCCGAGGTGAAGTCCGCGGCGCGGAGGCGTAAGGGCGGCGGCCGATGGTGGTGACAGCTAGTCTTGAATGAGCTTTGTGTAATAGAGATCCTACCTAGTATTCAACTGTGATAGCATAATTTTGGGAAACTCATATATGTACCGCATCATTTGAGGGATGATTTACAAACTAGAATTCAGCATTCACAATGTACAGATCCAAAGAACATTCATTATTCCAAAGTCTACTGCTGATGTGTACGCAACATTTTGCTCACTCCCACTTGGTTGTAATCTTGTCAGTGTGCCTGAATTCGTACGTCAACGCAACGCTGCCATCCATCCTCGTGAGCACGAACCTCTCAACCAGTAGGTAACACCCAAACTTGTCCCAGTGGCCGCCCAGCCCGTCATGCCTCTCCACCCTCTTGATCCTCTCCACGTCGTCGCCATTGCCGGCAACCCACCCTCCCTTCTCCAGCTCCCACTCCATCTTCTCCCACACCACCATGTCCAGCCCCAGCCCTCCTCCTCCTCCTGCCGCCGCAGCCGGGCTCGCCGCCGGCAGGAACCACATCACCCCGTCGAACACCTGCGGTGCGCCTCCTTGCACCGCGCCGGCGCCGCCCAGCAGCGCCGTCGACCGGCGCACCGTCACGCTAACCTCGACCTCGTCCAGCCTGCTGCTGATGCTGCCCCGGTGGGTGTTGTCGCAGCTGTAGATCTCCTCCCAGCTCTGCTCCAGCGTCATCTTGTAGAACATGCACCGCTTGACCTGGTCCTTGAGCCACTGCTCGCCGCCGTCCTTGATGAACATGAACGGGCAGTACCACCTGCCGACGACGACGGGCGTCGAGCCTCCTACGCCGACGTCGAAGCTTTCGAGGTCAGGCATCCGGCGGCGGAGCGGCCAGTCCGTCCCGTGCGCCGTGTCAGTGAGGTTGCAGCTCGTGGACGCCGAGGTGTGGACCTTCCACCCCTTCCTCCTCAGGTAGCCCGGCGGGACGCCGTCCGGCGCGACGGCCACCGCCCTGAATCCGCCCCGGCGCGACAGCTGCACCACCTCCACCTGCTGGTAGACGTCGCCGCGGACGAACGGCCTCGGCGACGCGTCGTTCGCGAAGGACCAGAGGCCGCAGCACGTCACCACGTCCTCCTCCCTCGAGCACGCCGACACCTTCCCGGCGTGCCTCCCCGTGGCCCGGACGGCGTAGTAGCGGCCGGACGACAGCGGCTGGCCGACGACGGGCACGAACACGACGTCGTCGCGATCCGTGTGGGTGTGGGTCCTATGGGTCGTGCCGGCGCGGCCGCCGCCGTCCATCCTCGCGGTGGCGTACTCCACCTTGAGCTTCCGGCTCTGCGGGAAGGGGAGGCCGTACACCTGCCTGTCCAGCCACAACCCCCACCACCGCGTCGCCCGCTCGACGGCCGCCTCGTCCTCCACCACGAGGATCCCGGAGCCCGGGCCGTCCGGCGGCGGCTCCGCCGCGGCTTGCGGGTTGTCCTGGTACCGCGACATCGGCCTCGTCACGTACATATCGCTTGTCTCGGGCGTATATTCTTTGTGTGTTGCACAAGCTGCGGTGCGATGTTGATGTGCATCTCAAATTTGTAGTCCTTCTGTACGGCAATGGAGGTGCCGTGTAGGGTAGTGTTGATTACAGTGTTGACATTCCTCTCGCAGTGGCTGAGCTGGCCAAGTGGACGAGTCAATGGCTGATATCTGGAAATTCCTGATTTGCTGATTTGCAGTGTAATTTCCTATTGAGTGCGCCGGTACCGTACAGAAGAATTATTGTCCAACTAACGGTATTACTAGGGGTGGATGCCGGCTCGGCTCGTTATCCTAACGAGCTAGAAACTCAGCTCGGGTCGGCTTGTCACCTAGCTCGAGCTGGCTCGTTTGGCTCGTGAGCCAACGAAATCGGGGCAAGCACAACTGCACAAGGACAAGAACGCGTGCGGCGTGGGGCGATGGCTACCGGTGACTTGACGATTTGCGAGGCATAGGTGAGTTGGGGGGCTTGGTATGGACGGAGATGGGCAAGGAAGGCATTGCAGCGCTGTTGCGACCCTGTCGGCTGCTAGCAGAGGGGGGGATGGTAGCTGCTGATGACGAGGATGCGAGGTGGAGCAGGGCGACCAACGGCGAGTCGGCAAGAAAGGGAGAAAGGCAAGGCCACAGGGTGGCGCTGCAAACCTCCAACTCCTGGGTGGCAAGATCGGCCACTCGGTTTGAGAGCAATAGCGGCGCTGCAGCGCGGCCTAGGAGTGGTCGTGAAAAGGAACGAACAAGACAGGCAGGGAGAGATTCGGAAAATGCTTCTCATCGAACGCCCGAACCAACGAGAAAAATCGGACGGGGAGTCTCTGACACACATGCACCTATTCAACTTGTATCTCTATCTCCAAACATGCACCTTTAACGATATTCAAAACGAATTTTATCTGAAATTACTTATCCAATCTACAATCCGATCACACCGTTGTATTCGTTGTAATTAAATATTTACAACAAGATATCGCATGATTATATTCCGATAAAAAATAATCATATGTTTCAATACGTTAACACTTTTTGTTTCATACGTGATAGGGACATGTTTCAATATGTGTCTTCAGCGTGTTTCACAAAATTCACAAAACTAACTGTTACTACTCTCTCTCCTCTCTCTCTCTCTCCACCTCATGCATGCATACATGCATTTTAGCTAGTTTTGAAAACGATTTTTCTCTTAAACTAATTATCCAATCTATGATCTGATCACACCGTTGTATTCTTTGTAATTAAATCTTTACAACAAGATATCACATGATTATATTTTGATGAAAGAAAAATATATGTTTCAATCTATTAACATTGGTTGTTTTATATGTGATAGCGATATGTTCCAACGTGTATTTTCATCATGTTTCATAAACTTTTTAAATGTTTCAGTTGCTGATTTTTTTGTTTCATCCTATATAACTCGATGTTTCACTCATTAGTTAACTGGAACATTTGATTGACTGATTCTTTTTTTGAGAATGCTGCGCGCCGGGCGCCTGATGGCAGAGGAAAAATCGGACGCCTCGGGCTTTCTTTCGCTATTTGCTGAAACATTATTTTTATAAAAGGTGAAACAACACCCGATTTAAATGAGTGAAACATTTTTGATCTATTTAGTGAAACAATTCCGATATACCTGGTGGAACATCGTGCAACATTTAAAAATAATTCAATAATAAGCTAAAAAAATTTCGTCGGAATATATCCATGTGTGGTCTTGTTTTGAAGATTTAATTGCAACGAATTTAATGGTGCAATCGAATCATGATTTAGATAAATAATTTAAGAGAAAAATCAGTTTAAAGTAGTTTTTGCACGTAAATCGGGCGCTGACGTCATGCTGACGTCAGCGTCCGATTTTTCCCCAAACATCGGACGTCCGAGCCGGAGTTGCCTCCGAGAGATTCTAGGGTTAGACTAGTGGGCCTTGTTGAGCTTGCTGTTTTGTTGCGTGGAGTAAGTTCACTTTGACTCCCTTAACTAGTGACCGAATTTGATTCGTATCCTTGAACCAGAATACAGGATATCTCAACCCCTCAACTATTAAAATCGGTACAATTTGAATCCCTCGGTGGTTTTGAAGAGCGATTTTGCTGACATGGCGCCTACGTGGCTGTGTTGACCTGGTCTTTGTTCCACATGGCGTTGACGTGGCGCTTAGGCCATCACCAATGCGATGCTTCAGCCTGTGCCCCTAGCGACGGCTGTCCACTTTTCCGTCGGCGTCGTCCCCCTGGGAGAGAGCGCGTTCCTCAGCTGGGAGATGCGTCCCTCGCTCGCTTTTGGCTGAGGGACGACGCGGAGCGATGCGTTGGGGGCGACGGGCTCCTGTGGACACCGGAGCTCTAGCACCAAATTCCCCTTTCACCCCTCTCCCCTCTCTCTCTCTCCGGTTCCCCTCGAGGTCGAGTCGGAGGAGGAGCAGCAGGCGGCGGCTCCCGCTGTGGAGGCGTAGCGGTGACGCTGGAGGCGGGGAGGACGGGGAGAGAGGTTGGAGGTGGGGCGAAGAGGGAGAGAGAGGCGGCGCACCAGATCCGGCGACGGAGATGACTCAGTGACGACCGGCGACAGCGACGGGCGGAGAGAGAGCGATGGCGGCGCGGCACGCCAGATCCGGCCTCCGTGCGCCGCTCGTTGTCGTCCACCCCTCAACGTTGGCCACCCCGCACGCCGCTCGCCGTCCGCCACCGCACCCGGCGTCGAGAGAGAGAGAGAGAGAGAGGGGGGCGTGGGAGGGTGGATCTGGCGTTGGTGAGGTGAACGGCGACGAGCGGTGGTGGGGCGGCGTCGTCGCCTCGTCGGGAGCGGCCGAGCGGGCGTGGTGGTCGACACGAGGGCGTGAAGGCAGAGAAGAAAAAGAAAAGGAGGAGAAGAGAGAAAGAGAGAGGGGGGGGAGAAGACAGGGGGTAGTATAGTAAAATAACTATGTGGCCTTTTTGGGTTAGGGATACTTCTTGGGCTATCAGGGGTATCCTTTATTGTAAGAATAGTTCCCTAGAGAGTGCCCTCAGTTAGTGAGGGTACCCATGGAGTATTCCTGATTGGTGATGCTCTTAGGTGGTATTAGAATTAAAAAATATGTGTGGGACTCATTTGTCATTCACACAGAATAAAAATTGCGGGACCAACTGTGAGGCCTTCTCTCCCACTCACTTTCTCTCCCCCTCCCTCCTGTTCCTTCTCCCTCCTCACCGCTCCCTCCTCCCTCTCTCTCCCGCGGCGGGCGGAGAGGGCCGGAGCGGCAGCGGGTGGCGGAAACGCGGGCGTGGCGCGGCGGCCAGCGAGAGGCGGAGACGATGAGCAGCGATCACACCAGCGCCATGAGGTACACGACGGTACAGCGAGCGGCACGGCCACCGTGCTAAGGACCAGCAGCGTCCTCACCGCCACGGAGACGTCGACGGCGCCGCGGATCCTCTCCTCAATGGCTGCCGCGATCGGCGTGACCACCAGTGCATACTTGGATAACGGGTTGAGCAGCGTCGTGTATATGGCGACCTTTGAGATGAGTCTCACCGCGATGAGGTTGAGCGTCAGCTGGGACAGCACGCTATCTCCGAACATGAGGTAGCTAGCCGAGCGCCGCCATTGATTGCTCCGTAGTTGAACGTGCAAAGCAGGAAGCATATTGCTAGCATCTGGTTGATGATTTTGTTAATCAATAGAAGAGTTCGTTAGTATATTGATCTTAAAAAACTGATTTTGTCACACTTCATGCGTATACCTTCGGAAACTGATACCTTTTGCTTCATAGAGGTGTACAGCCCAAGAGCCGTCGGGAGCCCGGTGATCCGCAGCCGGCGTCGTCGCCCCGCCCTCGTCCGGCCGGAGAACCCGACGCCGTCAACCACTCAACCACCGCGGCCCGCAACGGCGTCGTTGTCCCTCGTCCGGAGAACCCGACGCCGTCAACCACCGTGGCCCACAGCACGCTGAGCACGATGAGGACTCATGACAGACGCGAACACGCCCGTCACGTACGGAGATGTAGGCGAGCACGTCGGCGGCGGCGTCGTTGGCACTTCTGGTGGTGGAGGAGCCTATATATGGTCTTTGCCGCGCGGCAAGGGACCACCTCGTCAGGGCTGAGTACGTGTGAGTCGCGGTGGCGTAGAGGGGCGGGGACGCCGTCGTGCTCGTGTACGACGATGCGGACACCACAAAGCTGGTTGCCAGGAGGGCGCCGCGGTTGCTCGTCCGGACGGGCATCCGGATGCTAGACACCTCGCTGCTCCCGGACGAGGCTGACCGAGACGAGACGTCGTCCTTGCTGCGTCTCCTCCTTCGGCCGTACGTCATGACCACTACTTTAAAAATAATATTTTTTTTATGATGTCACACTATAATTTTTATTAGCGGTCATATGCTAAAACCGCCAGCAAAAACGTGAGAGGGAGGGGGTATAGGACCGCCAGCGAAAACCGATTTTTGCTGGCGGCCACGTTAAGTGGTCCGCCATAAAAAATACTATATTTTTCGAGACAGGCCTCTTAAATGTCCGCAGCGTTTTCGCTGGCGGCTACTAAAGAGATCCACCAGTGAAAAGCAGAGCCCCGCTAAAAACTTTTCACGTCATTTAAAACCGCGCGCGAGATATGATTTCACCCACCCACCCACCCACTGCCTCTCTCATCTCTCTCCTCCTCCTCCCCACCTCTCTCCCCTCCTCCTTCCCTACGCCCCCACTGGCGACGGCAACCACGACGACGGGCCAGGCCGCTGGCGGCGGATGTGCAGCGGTGGGAGGGGGCGGAGGGGCCATGACCGGAGGGCCTCCTCCTCCCCTCACCTCCCCTCCCTCTCCCTCTCCCAGATCTAGTTGGTGGGAGGGGGCGGCGGCCGCCACAGCGGCGACGGCAGGCAGGCGGCGGCAGAGTTGACGATGACGACGACACTACCGGATGGTGCGGCTCCTCGCCTCCCCTCCCCTCCCTCTCCCTCTCCCAGATCTAGCCAGAGGGAGGGGGTGGCGGCCGTAGCGACGACGATGGCAGGTGGGCGGCGGCGGAGCTGACGACGACGACGACGCTGCCGGATGGTGCGGCTCCTCGCCTCCCCTCCCCTCCCTCTCCCTCTCCTAGATCTAACCGGTGGGAGGGGGCGGCGGCCGCCACAGCGGCGACCACGATTGCGGCGACGCCAATGCTAGGAAGAGGAAGGTGCTGGCGACGACAATTTTGATGTATTGCTCCATTTTGATGTTTGTTTGTATGGATGTTTCATATACATGTATTGATGTTTGTTTGTTGAACATGAAGTGAGAAATTGATGTAGTGTTCTCTTGAGGTGGATCTGATGTGGATTTGAATTGTTATGGATTTGCAGATAGCAGCATGTGGGCATATTTATTTTTGCTGGCGGCTAGAGGGCAGCTACATAGGTTTTTTTTTGTCCCAAAATTTATTATCTCTGGCGGCCGGTATAACACAGCCACCAGCGAAAATCGATTATCGTTGGCGGCCGGTATAACACAACCGCCAGCAAAAATCGATTATCGCTGGCGGCCGATAACCGCCAGCGAAGATCGACATCTTCTCTGATCTTTGCTTTGTGGCGGCTGCAATTTCCGCCAGGGAAAACCTAAAATGGCCGCCACGAAAGATGATTACCGTAGTAGTACATGTAGGCGGTGGCGCAGCAAGAAGAGTACAGGAGCCGCGTGATGCTGCTGAGAGGTGGTGATGCCGCCACTCCCGTGTCTCGGCTGCTCGCGGGCGCCGCGCCACGCCCATGTCTCCGCCGCTCGCCGCTTGCCTGCTGCTGTTGTGGCCTTTGCTGCCCGCTGCGAGAGAGAGGGATGAGGGAGAAGGGAGCGGTGAGGAGGGAGAAGGAATAGGAGGGAGGGGGAGAGAAAGAGAGATAAGGGAGAGAGAAGGCCCCACGGTGGGTCCCACAATTTCCTTTTTTTATGACAAATGGGTCCCACACATATTTTTTAATTCTTATGCCGCCTAAGCGCCACGTCAACGTCACGTAGAACGAAAACCAGGTCAATACTGCCACGTAGGCGCCACGTCAGTGAAACCGCCCTCCAAAACCACCGAAGGAGTCAAATTGCACCGGTTTTAATAATTGCGGGGTCGAGATATCCGGTATTGTGGTTAAGGGATATGAATCAGATTCGTTCACTAGTTAAGGTTGTCAAAGTGAACTTATTCCTTTGTGCGTCTTGTCACTGATCTTTCTCTACTTGTGTGGGCTTGTGACCTTATTTTGTTGGCCTTGTGGTGCTTGGTTGGGCCTATTGTTTGCGTTGGTCCTTGGCTCGTTTGGCTCACGAGCTAGCTCGTGCTGACTCGTTGTAGCTAACAAGCTAAAATTCTGACTCGGCTCGTTAACAAATCCAAATGAGCCGAACCGAGCTAACAAGTCACGAGCTTTTCATCTAGGCTTAAGTACTACGGTAGATCTTCCTGCTACAGTGCTGCTCGGTCTTATGAAAAAAACAAATCTTACAGAAGATGTGATATTATCCTATTAGATTTGTTTTTACTTTTTATGGGACGGAGGATATGCTGCGGACAGATTTATAAAGTGGCAACCACATGAATGGTCCTGTTTGATCTGGTTGCAAATCTAGAAGTGTGAATAACCCCAAAAAATATTAATCTGCACCAAAGTATAACTAAAAAATTTAGGGTCTACATATAAATATGGCGACAGTTTTTCTAAGAAAAATATGCCAAATGTAAGTGTAGTGTAATTTACGTGTAATTACATTGTAAGTGGGGTGTAAGTAACTAAGTTTAATTTCAATTAAAAACGGTAGCTTGCTTTCGTGGAGAATAGGTGATCTGGGACCAGGAGGTGCTGAGCTCGATTCCCTATTTCTTTGTGTTTGCATGCTTTGAAAATGGACCGTACGTTGGATTATCCTAACCAAGCAACCTTTGCTACTACGCCAAAAGTGCATGTATTTTTTTCTTTTTATAGAATTTTCTCTTAAATTACTCATCCGATTTACGATCCAATTACACCATTGGGTTCGTAACAATTAAATCTTTATAACAAGATATCACATGATTATATTTTTTTATGAAAAAAATACAAATTACTTTAATAATATATCTAAATTACTTTCAGATTTCATTAAATTACTTCTTAATCATAAAAATAAATTTAATAAAACCTAAAAGTAATTTACATGTATTATAGAAGTAACTTAAAACAAAACAAAAACAAACTTGTTACGGCATTAAAAGTAAATATATTGTGAGGGTAAAAACATAAGTCTATCCAGAAATTAGATTTAATCAACATATCATTGTTACCCCCACAACGTATTTACTTCTAATGTCGTGACAAGTTACTTTCTTTTTGTTTCAAGTTACTTCTATAACATATGTAAATTACTTTTAGGCTTTATTAAATTTACTTTTATATGTCTAAGATGTAAATTAATAAAATATAAAGGTAATTTAAATATAACTTTAAAGTAATTTATATTTTTTTTCATCGAAATATAATCATAGAGAAGCCTCGGCAGGGATAGAGCGGTGGTAATTTAAATATGTCTAAGATGTAAATTAATAAAATATAAAGGTAATTTAAATATAACGAAGGAGGGCCGCCCATGGGAAAGGAGAGACCGATGAGGAGCACGTAGACAGGAGTGCCTCTGGCACGGAGAGCCCAAGAGGAGGCAGTAGCGGTGTAGAGTTCTTTTTTTCATTTTGTTGGACTCACTTGGTGAAAATATGAGTATAGATAAAGATCTGATGACTATGCTATCCGTAACAGCTCTAAATTACAAGCCATTACATACAGGCAGTTATCAGTGATGGCTCTTTAAAACTCCAATAGATATCTCTAACGATTGATTTAAACAACTGTTACAGATATTGTCATATGTAACGACTCTCTTTAACCTATTATGATGACACGATATCAATATCTCCAGATTTTAAAAATTAACAGAGATAATTAAAATTCGATAGTTACAGTATTACTTACATCGTTTGATCATACCCATTTGGTTGTAATCTTGCTGGTGTGCCTGAAACCACAGGTGAGTGCAACGCTGCCGTCCATCCTCCTGAGCACGAAGCTCTCAAGCAGCAGGTAGCACCCAAATTTGTCCCACTGACCCGCCGCCTCACCCCTCTCCACCCTCTCGATACTCTCCACGTCGCCATTACCGGCGACCCACCCTCCTCTCTCCAGCTCCCACTTCATCTTCTCCCACACCACCATGTCCAGCCCAACTCCACCTGCCACGCCAGAGTTTGTCGGCGGCGCCGCCGGTCGGAACCACATCACCCCATCGACCACCTGAGGCCCACCTTCTTGCACTACTGCACCGGTGCCGCCCAGCAGCGCCGTCGACCGGCGCACTGTCACGTTCACCTTGATCTCATCCGGCGGCTTGCCGCTGATGCTGCCCCGGTGAGTGTTGTCGCAGCGGTATATCTCCTCCCAGCTCTGCTCTAGCGTCATCTCATAGAACCTGCACCGCTTGACCTGGTCCTTGAGCCGCTGCTCGCCGTCTCTGATGAACATGAACGGGCAGTACCACTTGCCAACGACGGTGGCCGGCGAGCCTCCCGCGCCGATGCCGAAGCCGTCGAGGTCTGGCATCTGGCGACGGAGCGGCCAGTCTATCCCGTGCGCGTCGTCATTGAGGCCGTCGTAGCTCGTACGCATGGCCTTGCTCACCTCCCAGCCCTTCCTCCTCAGCAAGCTCGGCGGGATGCCATCCGGCGCAACCGCCACCGCCTTGAATCCCCTCAGCCAGTGTGACGCTTGCGCCACGGCCACCACCTCCACCTGCTGGTAGATGTCGCCGTGGTGGAATGGCCTCGGTGGCGCATCGTCCACAAAGGAGAAGAAGAGGATCCTTGTCTTGTCCTCCTCCCGTGAGCACGCCAACACCTTCCCAGCGTGGTGGCCGATGGCCTTGACGACGTAGTAGCGGCCGGCCGACAACGGCTCGCCGACGACGGGGACGAAGAGGACAATGTCGTCTTCACCCACATCAAGCCTCCGGCTCTGAGGGAAGGGGAGGGTGTGCACCTTCGGGTCACGGCACAATCCACAGCAAACGGTGGCCCGCTCGACGGCCGCCTCGTCCTCCACAATGAGGAACCCAGATCCTGGGCCCTCTGGCAGTGGCTCCGCCGCTGCCTCTGGGTTGTCCAGGTACCTTGACAACGGCCTTGTGACGTACATTTTCTTCGATCCTCTCATGTATCGCTGCGCTTGTCAATTGCCATGGATATGATGTGCATCTCTATTTGTATACCTAATTTGCTTCAGTTTATCATTCAGGTTGCCGGCCGTGCAGTGTTGTGGATGAAAGCTGTATAAAGCAACTTGACTGATGTCAACAATGTCATACATTAAAGAAAGTAATACAACTAAACAGATTATTCAGGCAGCGTCTTGAAATTATGAGAAAGCACATGCAATGCCTTTCAAGTAAATACTGGACTCCGTAACAAAAAAAAAATGTCCCTTGTTTCTATTACTATTGGATCTAATAAATTTCAAGATGGCTCCCTTTATAATTGTGTTGAATTACTGTTCTGCTCCACCAAATTTGTTTCTGTTTATCATTTAGATTGCCGGACGTAACTGTGGATGAAAGCTGTTATATAAAACACCTCCTTGACTGATGTATATATAATAGCAACGATCGTAGGATAATATACTATGAAGTGGTAGTAGGAACTCTCAAAAGTGCCTACCTGATACAATGTTAATTAGTACGAACGAAAATGATGGGTCGTTAATACTAATGATGCAGTACGTCCCTATTTCTTCGTAGTTAACAAAACACTCTATGCCTTCACGGCCTGTTTGGCAAGAGAATGGAAGAGGAATGGGAGTTTTAAGGAGGGAGTTGATGGTGGGATTGGTCATGGGAGTTACATTTTTAGTCCTCAAACTTAAACTTCCGGATATCATAAACTCTCATTCCCCATCACCAACTCCCTCCAACCAAACAGGCCGTCATAGTTAACAGCGATATTCTCTGCCGTTTACTTCATAGTTTTTTTTTAACAACGTTAATTTGTTAACACCCCCTTGGTTGTATCCAGGGCCAGCTCTATAGTTTTGAAGGCTCTAGCCGAACTCGATACTATAGACTCCATAGAATTTTTTTTTTTACTTGTGTTTCAAAGATGGATTGAACGTGTTTGTTTGCATCATTTGAATAGATAAACTTCTCGTGATCTTTTTCTTTTTGGTTTGCCGCCCCGCCTCTTTTTTTTATGGGGTCAAGCGCATACTAACCATTCATGATATTTGCCGGTGGCCCGGATGACGAAACCGACCACCTTGATTGATTAATTACCTCCATCCACCACGAATTTCCGGTTCTGCGGAAAGGGGAGGCCGAGCACGTGTGTCGGTGTGTGCCACTGCCATGGCACAACCCACAGCAGACGGTCGCCCGCTCGAGGGCCGCCTCGTCCTCCATGACGAGGAACCAGGAGCCCGAGCCCTCCGCGGCTGCTCTGCCGCCACTACTACAGAAATCAGTATAGGTACCGGTTACGAACCGGCTATAGATACCAGTTTCCCAGCCGGCACCAATTGGTGGACACCTATGCCCAATCATATAGGTGCTGATTTTAGAACCGGCACCTATAGAGATTATAGTGCCGGTTATTACCCCAACTGGCATGAAAAAAAAAAGCTTCTTGTGGCATCGATCGATCTAACACTCCAAGGGATATAGGAACTGAAGCATCCCGGTGATCTCACCACAATCAGAAGCAAAAACTTACTCCAAGGAAGCAGAAATGTCCTATCTTTTTGCTTATCCTTATGCTTATCAGCTAAAATTTAAAATTTCAACTTTAAATTTGGAGTTGATTTTGAGATTTTTTTCATCGTAGTTTATTTTTCAGCTTTTGCTTTTAGATTGTTAAGAACACGTATATAAAAGTTTTATTTACAAATTATTTTTCATTTGTAAATATGCCGTTTCGTTTGCTTAAAATAGCCAACCGATGGGGCCGTTGCACACAGCCAAAATCTCACAACAATCTCGAACCCAACCATACATACGAAGCAGAAACTTACTAATCATCAATATGATGAGCTGCTGCTCCTCATGAACATCCCGCGCTTACGAGACGAAGCCCTCCTCGCCTACCAGGGAACCCCCACCTCCAGATCGATCGGCAGGGCGTCCAGACCTCTGTCGCTAGCGGCGCGCATCCTGAATGAACGGAAACCAAATCAGAGAAAAATGAATCCGCAACTCCGCCGCTAGCGGCACAAACCATGAACGAACAAAAACCAAATCAGAAAAAGAAGAAGAAGAAGAAGAAGAAGAAGAAGAAATCCCTTGATCATAAGGGCGCACGCACCTTCGTCCCTGGAAGCACACCTCCACCGATCCGCCTCGCCCATGCATCCATCGATCAGCCTCGCCCTGAGCGAATCCCACGAGTCAAAGAGATGCGGCAGAGGAGGAGGGATGGCTACGAGGGAAGGAGGAGTACCTTCGATTCGACTCGAACTGAGACGGAGGGCAGAGGAGCGGGGAGGGGAGGAGGCCAGGCACAGCGTCGCGCCCTCCAAGCCTGATCGTCGCTGGCCGTGCGTGGGCGCGCGTGACGCGAGGAGGCCGCGCAGAAGGGAGTAGGAGGAGGAGTCCCGTTGAACACCTCGCCCGCGAAGGGAGAAGGGATTGGGGCCGTCTCGCCGGCGAGAGCGCGAGGGGAGGAGGCCGGAAGGGGAGGGGAGCCGGAGGGGGAGGAGGAGAGGAGGGCGGTGACGGAGGAGGCGAGGGGGAGGGAGCAGGAGGGGAGGGTCGGAGGGAGGGCGCGGCGGAGGAGACGAGGAGCGAAGCGAGGAAGAGCGCAGGCGCGCGAGGGGATAGGATATGGCCGGCTCGGCTCGTCCAGTTTGGCTTGGTTTGGTGGTTTTTAATTGGGCCAATTGCATATTTGCCATTGGTTTGAACGGGTATTAGAGCAGGTACAATAGCAGGCTATAAGCCAGCTGTAAATATATTTTAAGAAGATAAATGAGGAAAGAGAAGGGCAGCGGGCTATAGATTTGTAGCCAGCTGTAGCACGGACTCTAAGACACAGTGTGTGTATGACAGGTGGAACCAGTTATTAATAGTGTAGTATGTAACTATTGTATGAACGAGCTATTAGATTGGCTATAAATGAATTGGAGCTAGTAGTTGGCTATACTATTAAACTTGCTCTTATAGATTTGCCACTATAAAAAAACATAATTGCATATTTACCGCTAAAATGGGTTGGAACCTTAGAAGGTGTGTTCTCATAAAGATGCCCATGCTCCTGCTGCTGCTTCCTGCGCCTGCCATTGCCACTCTTGCCGCAGCACAACTAGCCTGCTGCTGCTATCGCAAGCTGCTACTCTGCCGCCGAGCGCTCGTGCTGCTGCCGCTCCCAGCCTCCCAATAGCCGTTGGCTACTGCGCTACCGCGAGTGCTCGTGCTTCTGCCGCGAGTTGCTGCCGTCGAAGTACCTGCCGCTATCACCCAAGTCGCTCCTAAGGATGAGGGGATTTGGGATATAGGGTTCTTAGAGTGAGAGGGAGGGGATCGGTTCTTATCCAGGAGAGAGGGAGCAGCAAGAGGATCTATTTTGGTCAAGGACAAAACTGTCTTATCACGTTTCTTGTTTTACGAATTTAGTTTTATGAATTACTTTTGGTCTTTTCATGGCACTATTTCAAATGACAGTGTCTAACGGAAGCAACACAAACCAAATTCGGTGGCAAATTTGCAATTAATGTATTTATAATGGCTATTCCGAATTAGAGGAAGAAAGTAGTGGTAAATTTGCAATTCTCCCTTTTTAATTAACTTTCATACGGGCATAGTCGGTTCTTTTTATAAAAAAAATGGTACCTACTCCAAGTACTTCCTCCAAAAATTAACACATCATCTATAACTAACTTAATATTTTTCCCACACTTCTCTCACATACTTCCTCTGTTTCACAATGTAAGTCATTCTAGCATTTCCCATAATCATATTGATGTTAATGAATATAGACATATATATATACATTTCTCATAGTCATATTGATTGTAACGTCCCGCCTTCCCCAGGCCGGGCCCGCTTACATCTTCTCTCACATACTTCCTCTGTTTCACAATGTAAGTCATTCTAACATTTCCCATAATCATATTGATGTTAGTGAATCTAGACATATATATACATTTCCCATAGTCATATTGATTGTAACGTCCCGCCTTCCCTAGGCCGGGCCCGCTTACATCTGATAGCTTTCATAGGTCATAGACTGCCCTCACAGACCAACACAATTCTGCACACTTTGTCCTCACTCATGTGCACCGGGGAATTTGTCCTCACTCATGTGCACCCGGGAAGAATTTACCAGTCGGTCACCTATCCCAAATTGTTAAATTGTTCCAGTCCAAGCACGCTTAACCCTGGAGTTCTTTGGAGAAGAATTTCCCAGTCGGTCACTCATGTGCACCCGGGAAGAATTCACCAGTCGGTCATCCATCCCAAATTGCTCCAGTCCAAGCACGCTTAACCCTGGAATTCTTTGGGAAGAATTTACCAGTCGGTCACCCATCCCAAATTGCTCCAGTCCAAGCACGTTTAACCCTGGAGTTCTTCGGAGATCAGCTTCTGGAAAAGAAGTTGCAACTTGTTCTTTGGAGATCGGCTTCCGGAAAAGAAGTTGCAACTTGTTGATATGAGTATTCTATTAATCCTATTAAGCCCTAGGCTGGGATGTTACACCCTCACGCGTCGATCAACCCCAGGCCAGGAACGTCCACTGCGTCGATCAACCCCAGGCCAGGAACGTCCACTCCGTCGATCAACCCCAGGCCAGGAACGTCCCCAGGCCAGGAACGTCCACTCTTGGCCACGTCGATCAACCCTAGGCGAATGTCCACTCCGTCGATCAACCCCAGGCCAGGAACGTCCCCAGGCCAGGAATGTCCACTCTTGGCCGCGTCGATCAACCCTAGGCCAGGAACGTCCATTCTTGGCCATGTCCAGGAACGTCCCCAGGCCAGGAACGTCCACTCTTGGCTTGGACACGTCCGTGTGTCCGGTGCATGTGCCATGCTGCACACTTTGTCCTCACTCATGTGCACCCGGGGTGCATGTGCCATGCTGCACACTTTGCCATGCTGCACACTTTTGTCCTCACTCATGTGCACCCGGGAAAAATTTCCCAGTCAGTCACCCATCCCAAATTGCTCCAGGCCAAGCACGCTTTACCCTGAAGTTCTTTGGAGATCGGCTTCCGAAAAAAAAGTTGCAACTTGTTGATATGAGTATTCTATTAATCCTATTAAGCCCTAGGCCGGAATGTTACATTGATGTTAATGAATCTAGACATAATATCAATATGACTATGAAAAATACTAGAATGACTTACATTGTGAAACGGAGAGAGTAGGTTATTAGAGTTTATATTGCAGCGGGCTATAAACCTATAGCCCACTTTTCCTCTCCCTCCTCTTCTCTCTCTTCGACATAAGCAGAAATATGATGTGGAAACATATATAACCCGCTTATATTATTTTAGATAATTGTACTCGCTCTAGTAGTAGTATCGGTTTTCCTAATGAACCGACACCTTTTATAAAGGTGCCAATTCTTTATATTTTTTTTCAACGTGTGAAGATGAGAAAAAAAAACCATAAATACTGGTTTTAAATGAACCGGCACGCGCGCGACACCCAGGTTGTTCAGGTAACGCAACAACGGCTTCGTCACGTACTCTCTTTTTTCCCTTCTCTCATGTATTGTGTTGCAGGACGTGTGAATTGTTATGGGTTTGATGTAACTACATGCCAATCTGTGAGGCTTTGAATCCATGGAGGTGCAACACTGTTGATTTTTCTCACTTAGGCTGTGTTTAGTTCGGCGTAAAGTTTGGATTTTGGTTGAAATTGGAAATGATGTGACTGAAAAGTTGTGTGTGTATGACAGGTTGATGTGATGGAAAATGACTAAAGTTTGGATCCAAACTTTAGATCTAAACACAGCCTTAGGTGCTATTCTTTTCTTCTGAAGATGAAGACAAAACGATGTGGTATTAATGTATGATTGATTGCGTTTTAATTATTACAAACTTGAAAAATAGATTAATATGATATTTTAGAGCAACTTTTATATAGAAAGTTCTCGTACGAAACGCACTGTTTAGCAGTTTGAAAAACGTGCTACGAAAAATCTTAATCTTTGTTGGGAAAAAAAGGGGACCTTAGTGGTGGTCAACGAACAAACAACATACAGTGGTACTATTCTTTTTTTTCTTAAAATATGAAGGACGCATTACTGTGCTGGTTCAAAATTACAGTATTAGCATGGAGAAAATTTCTTCTGTACCTCTGAAAGTTCACCCAATCCCTTTTATGCCTCTGAGATTTGCCCATTCCCTTTTATGCCCCTAAATTTCAGTTTTAGATCCCTTCTATACCGTTTCCATTAGTTAACCGTTAAATGCCTATCATAAAGTCCATTTAGCCCTTTGATATCAAGAAAATATAAATTTATGAAGTACATTGACGGAGTGTATAAATTTATTGTATTTGACTATTATATTTATGAGTTTATTTTGAAAGATATATTTTTTTAAAAAAATATTTTAGTTTCGTCTCCGCGAAGGCAACAAAAAAAAACCAATAAAACTGTATATATGGCATATTTTGTTATAGTAGTATGACATTTTTATAAGATAAATCTATTTATGAGCTAAATAAATATTTTTAATAACTAATAAAGAAATTTTATTTTTTATGTCATATCTAAAAATAAATTATCAGAAATATTATTTATGACTTTGTTATGCAATATATTATTTATGATAATTTATTTGATAAAAAATATTTTTGTTAAATAATATCTCACAAAATAAAATTATAAACATAATATTCGCATACAAGAAATTTATACACTCTATCAATATACTTAATAAGTTTATATTTCTTGATAGAGCAAAATAGACTTTATGATAGAAATTTAACGGTCAACTAACGTAAGAGGTACATAAGGGATCCAAACTGAAATTTAGGAATATGAAAAAGAATGAGCAAATCTCAAGAGTACAGAAGGGATTGTGCGAAATTTTAGGGATACACGGGAAATTTTCTCATCAGAATATGTCTAAGTTACTCAAAATTCTTTATTTTCTTCCAGACGGAGGGAGTGCATTAGGCCCTTTTTGTTTAGGCTTATAAGCCAACTTATAAGCCAAAAAATCTAAGCCTAAACAAACAAGCAGCTTTTTCGTTTGGCTTTTTCGAAGCCATAAGCCACTCTAACACTATTAAGCCAAAAGCTAGATTGGAGAAGCTTTTTTTGACTTATATGAGGTAGATGTATGACTCCACCACTAAACTTAGGACATTAAATCCACCGGCTTATAAATTCTATAAGCCAATAAACTGACTTAAAAGTCTAAGCCTAGCCTGATCGGGAAATGGATGGCGGTATTCCAGTTAACGGTTACTAGTCATGCTGGCCAGCAGGAATTACCTGGTGGGGCTGTAAACTGTGTAGCTTTGTTTTCTTAATATACAACGCAAGGCTAGAATGTTTAACTATTTATCTTATCTATACATTTATACAAACTAGCTGGGTGACCCGCGCAATTACGCAGCAAGCATCCAAACAAAATAATATATTTTTCAATATAATTTTACTTAAAATTTATTAAATAGGTCTTAAAACTTTGAAATACCGAAGCTTATCATCCTCGTATTTCTAATCAAATAGTTTTTAAAAGTCAAACCAGTTACTATCCCTTACTTCTGTCATATCATTCTTTATTTGCTTGCTTGATCTACCACTATTATTCATTTTCCTTGGAACCTTTTAAATTTGGATCCTACAGTTTGTAGAGTGTATTGTCTCGTTGGGTTTCATTTTTATAATTTTTAGAAGTCCCGTCAAACGCTGCTATTATACTCCTCTACGGCCCGCCCACTATCTTTTCTCTTTATTATCATTGGGATTTTAAAAATCAAACATAATTATCGTACGGGTTCTTTTTTTTTTTTACTTTCTAGAAGTCCCGCCAAACCGTCAAAAACTTTACCATTGTACTCCTTTATGGCTCGCCCGCTGCCTCCCTTCTTTATTATCATTAAGATTTTAAAATCGAACATGATTATTATTGGGTTTTTTTTACTTTTTATAAGTTTCGAACCTTTAAAAATTGGACCTCGTAGTTTTTAGAGTTTATTGTCTTGTTGAGTTTCATTTTTTATAACTTTTAGAAATCCCGTCAAACGATGCCACTATACTCCTCTACGGCCTATCCGCCACCTACTCTTTATTGTCATTGGGATTCTAAAAATCGAACATAACTATTGTTGGGATTCATTTTTTATTTTCTAGAAGTCCCGCCAACCGTCGGCGGCTCTACAACTATACTCCTATACACCCCGCCTGTTGCTTCTCCTTTTTATTGTTATTGATATTTTAAAAATCGAATATGATTATTAATGGATTTTTTTTTTACATTTTAGAAGTCCCGGCAACCGTCTTGCCCTTTTGCTCATGTTGTCTCTCCTTTTTTTTTAATCGTCATTGGGATTCTATTTGGTGTTTTAGTAACAATTTTTATATGTCGTATCAACCACCACCACTCTACTCCTTTAAAGACATGTTACTTAATTTATCTCATCAGTGTTTTAGATGGTATTTTCTTTCAATAGTTTTTTTATCACCAATTTTAGTTATATATAAATTGTATTCCTAACTGAAATCTTTTTTTTTCTTTTCCTAATTTCAGATTTTTTTAAAATTTTAATTAATACCGTATAATGTTCTTTAAATATTTTTATTTTTTATTTTTGAATTTCAATTGTTTCAAAATTGTATTCCTACTTAAACTCTCTTTTAGTTTTTCTAATTTTAGATATTATTTTTGTCGACGTTTGGCGTCTCGACTACGGTATTTGGACAGTATGGGGATCGTCGGTGCTAGGATATACGCGAGACTGAGGTAAAAGAGACAGAGACGAGGATTTTTATACAGGTTCGGGCCCCTGAATTGTCAGGTAATAACCCTACATCCTGTTGGCCGAAGCCGGTATTGCTCTTATTCATGATAATCACACCAGTACAATATTTGGGGTAGCCTTTCTAACTATTGTCGACATGGCGGTCTGACGATCTGACTCGTAGTCGACAACACGGTAGCCTTCCTCCTCGAATCCGTGCCCGGCGAGATCAGAGATAGCGCTTTCGTCTCTCCTAACAGTATCCGGAGACACCGTAGGGTACTAGCCGTGCTTATCCCTAAAGTCGATATCCGGCGGCGTGTCTTGGCGTATGTAGGCTTCTATGTCGATTGTGTTGGGTGTTGATCATGTCGGGTGTTGATCCTCCCCCTCTCCTCGTAGGGGGGCTTGTATTTATACCCATAGGTGTCCCCTTATCCAATTAGAACTAGGGAAACCAATATGGATACAATCCAAGTAGTCCTTGTTGTTTCCATGTAGAACTCTGGTTGTCTTTCCTTACCCGGAACTCCCTCGAGGTCAGTTTCCGTATAAGACATGGTATGTGGTGGATCCTATCGAGATTTAGTCAACTACTATTAGGTATGTGGTATCCATAACCCTGACAGTAGCCCCCGACTTCGATGCAAATGAACGAGTTCATATTCTCAACCGCAGACTTTGGAGAAACTGTTATCGAGCTCACGTGACCGTTCTCGGTGAGTTTAGAGATAACGTTAGACTTCCTTTATCAGCCTCGCACGGGCACCGAAAGGGTTTGTCTAAGTCAATCTCTGATGTCGACCGAGAAAGTACAGAGCGTACGACTAAGTCTCCCGTCTTGCTGTAATCGAGAATTTGGATTGAAGTCAAGAAATTTTATCTCGGCGGGTACACCATTTCTTCATTCCTTATTCCTTGTCGAGATCCACTAACCGTTCTTGAGCAATCGAGTAGGCGTAGAGTCTGCAACGGAGCCTTGTCAACATTTGTCGTACTCGCCTTAGTCGATCTTGGTGTAGAACCATAGAGACATGGAGTCTTCGATAATGTCGAATAGAATTTTTCAGTGTTTTGTATATGAGCGTCTTCTCTCTTACCGACTCCGATCAGTCAGTTTGTAGAGTCATACACTCTCCCTAACCCCCAGCCTTGTCTTCGGAGAATCGTTCTCGGATGATGAGGCTCTTGGACCTTTGACCCGCCTCGGTTGAACAAGCACTGATCCTAGCCTCCAGCCATGAAGTTGGAAAACTCAATTTCCGGTTACACGGCTTGGTTAATACGCACGACGAGAACTCTTACACGACCAGATCTTACATGGTCTTTCGTCTCTACAGGATCCGACAAAGCCTTATCCGCTTTGGGCGTCCCCAGCCGAAGTTCCCTTAGGTTCCTCAGAGGCTTTGTCAAGACGGCGTAAAGGGACATTAGGATATGTTTCAACGCTAGGTGTCATCTGGGTAAGGGATCTCTGGGTAAAACACTTGGCGATCTTGTCAGGAGGAGGCGCCGCGACGGCACAAATGAGGTCTGCCGGTGGTAGAGGAGGAGAGGGTGAAGGAGTGGTGGTGGTACGAAGGAGGGCCGCCCATGGGGAAAGAGGAGAGACCGATGAGCAGCACGTACGTAGACAGGAGTGGCTCTGGCACGGAGAGCCTATGAGGAGGCAGTAGCGGTGTAGAGTTCTTTTTTTTCATTTCGTTGAACTCACTTGGTGAAAATACGAGTATAGATAAGATCTGATGACTACGCTATCTGTAACGGCTCTAAATTACAAGCCATTACATACAGGCAGTTATCAATGATGGCTCTTTAACTCCAATAGATATCTCTAACGATTGATTTAAACAACTGTTACAGATATAGTAATATGTAACGACTCTCTTTAAGCTATCATACATTAACAGAAACAATTAAAATTCGATAGTTGCAGTAGTACATCGTTTGCTCATACCCATTTGGTTTGTCCCAGTACCGACCCAGCGCCTCACGCCTCTCCACCCTCTCGATACTCTCCACGTCGCCATTACCGTCGACCCACCCTCCTCTCTCCAGCTCCCACTTCATCTTCTCCCACACCACCATGTCCACCCCAACTCCACCTGCCGCGCCAGAGTTCGGCGGCGGCGCCGCCGGTCGAAACCACATCACCCCGTCGACCTCCTGAGGCCCACCTTCTTGCACTACTGCACCGGTGCCGCCTAGCAGCGCCGTCGACCGGCGCACCGTCACGTTCACCTTGACCTCATCATCCGGCTGCTTGCCGCTGATGCTGCCCCGGTGAGTGTTGTCGCAGCTGTATATCTCCTCCCACCTCTGCTCCAGCGTCATCTCGTAGAACATGCACCGGTTGACCTGGTCCTTGAGCCGCCGCTCGCCGTCTCTGATGAACATGAACGGGCAGTACCATTTGCCGACGACGGCGGCCGGCGAGCCGCCTCCCGCGCCGATGCCGAAGCCGTCGAGGTCTGGCATCCGGCGGCGGAGCGGCCAGTCTACCCAGTGCGCGTGGTCGGCGAGGCCGTCGTAGCTCGTACGCGAGGTCTTGCTCACCTGCCAGCCCTTCAACCTCAGCAAGCTCGGCGGGACGCCATCCGGCGCGACCGCCGCCGCCTTGAATCCCATCGGGTAGTGTGGCGCCACCTCCACCTGCTGGTAGACGTCGCCGTGGTGGAACGGCCTCGGTGGCGCGTCGTCCACGAAGGACAAGAAGAGGATCCTCGTCTTGTCCTCCTCCCGTGCGTGTTGGAAATGGCCAAGATCGGAGACACACAAACACGAGAGTGAGTAGCAGAGCTTGTGAAGCTTGACAATGGCAACGAACGCCCTGGCAACGAATGCCGGCTTTTCTCTATTTTCACTCGGGTGATCAAACAACAGGATGAACATATGCTTATATAGGCCCAGGGTGACGCACAAATGGAGCACGAACTCCTTCCCCGGCCTTTGCTCGCACGATCCGCACGTCCCGGCTCACGCCATGCATGAGCACAAACTCAGCGCACGACGCGGCCGCCAGCGTCCGCGCACGACGCCACGTCTCCAACTGAACCCGATACACACGCTCGCAGCTAGCTAGCCTGCACTAAACTCGGACGAACCTCCTTGCGACGGACGCGTTAACAACAAACACACACACGATGCACGCGAACTGACCTGAACACACACGGTCAGGTTTATTTCCTAACAATCACCCCCTAAACCTGACCTACAGGAGCGTCGGCTCGTCGTCGGCAGAGGTGAGGAGCGCCTCCTCCTTCCTTGGCTTGCGGCAATCTCGGGAGAGATGGCCACGAACACCACAGTTGTAGCACTTCCCTCCTGGACGGCGCGGACGCCAGTTTGCCTCCGAGCTCACGCTGCTGCCGCCGTCGTCATTGTCACTGTTTCGGCCGTCATCCTTGGCGCCGCCCTCACGCACGCGCTCCTTGTCGCGACGTTGGCGCCGACGTGCCTCCCACTGCTCCTCGGTGAGAAGTAGCTACTCGCCATGGGCCTCCACGTGATCTTCAGCGTCGGCGTCCTCCGCCACTTGCAGGCGCCCGACGAGCTCCTCGACGGACATGACATCCATGTCCGCGAGCATCTCAATCGCCACCGCGACTTGCTTCAACCTCTTCGGGACCACGCGCAGGACTTTCTTCACCATGCGACTGTCTTCCATCTCCTCCCCGAGGTCGCGCAGGCTCGCGGTGAGCCTATTGATGCGCATCGCAAAGTCACCAACGGTCTCCCCGTCGCGGAACGCCATGTTCTCAAACTCCTTCATGAGGCGTTGCATGCACGCCGATTTCACGCGGTCGTCGCCGGCTCGCATCTTCTTCACCGAGTCCCACGCCTCCTTCGCCGACGTCTTCACGGCGAGCCCGGCCTTCATCTCCGATGGCACCGCACGCAAGATGGCGGCCAACGCCCGCCGATCCTTAGCGCGGTCGTTGGTGACCGCCTCCACCACGTCCCACAACTCCAACGCCTCCAAGCTCACCCGCATAACCGAGGCCCACTGATGATAGTTAGCCCTGGTTAGCATCGGCAGCTCCACGACGCTGGAATTGGGCACGACGCGCTCCACCACGGCCTGACGCGGTGCGCTGCCATCACCGGTGCCGCTGGAGCTCGAGTCCTCGATGCGAAGCGTCTTCGGCGGCGTCATCATCTCCCCTCTCTAAACTCGCTCTGATACCAAATGTTGGAAATGGCCAAGATCGGAGACACACACAAACACGAGAGTGAGTAGCAGAGCTTGTGAAGCTTGACAATGGCAACGAACGCCCTGGCAACGAATGCCGGCTTTTCTCTATTTTCACTCGGGTGATCAAACAACAGGATGACCATGTGCTTATATAGGCCCAGGGTGACGCACAAATGGAGCACGAACTCCTTCCCCGGCCTTTGCTCGCACGATCCGCACGTCCCGGCTCACGCCATGCATGAGCACAAACTCAGCGCACGACGCGGCCGCCAGCGTCCGCGCACGACGCCACGCTCTTCAACTGAACCCGATACACACGAGCTCGCAGCTAGCTAGCCTGCGCTAAACTCGGACGAACCTCCTTGCGACGGACGCGTTAACAACAAACACACACACGACGCACGCGAACTGATCTGAACACACACGGTCAGGTTTATTTCCTAACAGTGCATACGCCAGCACCTTCCCGGCGTGGTGGCTGCCGGTGGACCGGTCGACGTAGTAGCAGCCGGCCGACAACGGCTCGCCGACGACGGGGACGAAGACGACCACGTTGTCTTCGCCCATGTAGAGCCTCCAGCTCTGAGTGAAGGGGAGGGTGCGCACCCGCGGGTCATGGCACAATCCGCAGCAAATGGTGGCCGCCTGCTCGACGGCCGCCTCGTCCTCCACGACGAGGAACCCGGATCCTGGGCCCTCCGGCGGTCGCTCCGCCGCGGCGTCTGGGTTGTCCAGGTACCGTGACAACGGCCTTGTCACGTTCATTTTCTTCGATCCTCTCCTGTATCGCTGTGCTTGCCCACTAGGAGTAATTTGATCACATGGATATGATGTGCATCTCTATTTGTATATACTTAATTTGCTTCAGTTTAATTATCATTCAGGTCGCCGGCCGTGCGGTGCTGAAAGCTGTATAAAGCACCTTGACTGATGTCAACAGCGCCATATATTAAAAAACGAGCTAATACAAAAATTAAATTTCAAAATATACTGTTCATTTAATTTTTTCTCAGGAATATTCAGGATGCAAAAAAAAACTCTTACAGAAATATACTGTCGGTCTCGCACAACCATTACGTGAAAATGACGTAGGAATGACGTCGTGGACAGTATCGCGCAGTGAAAGCGCGAGACCATGCGGTCTTGTGGAATGGAAGCCATGATGATTTAATTAGCGATTAATTAATTATTAATTATTATACTGTTCATTTAATTTTTTTCTCAGGAATATTCAGGATAAAAAAACTCTTACAGAAATATACCGTCGGTCTCGCACAACCATTGCGCGAAGTTGACATGGGAATGACGTCGTGGACGATATCGCGCAATGAAAACGCGAGACCGCGCGGTCTCGTGGAATGGAAGAGCGAGACCGTTCGGTCTCACGGAAGCTCATTACCGTGCCATGCTGATTTAATTAACAATTAATTATTCTGATTAGCGATTAATTAATTATTAATTATTATACTGTTTATTTAATTTTTTTCTCAGGAATATTTAGAATGCAAAAAAAGTCTTACAGAAATATACCGTCGGTCTCGCACAACCATTACGCGAAGATGACGTGCGAATGACGTCGTGGACGGTATTGCACAGTAAAAGCGCGAGACCGCGCGGTCTCGTGGAATGGAAGAGCGAGACCGTTCGGTCTCATGGAAGCTCATTACATGCCATGCTGATTTAATTAGCGATTAATTAATTATCAATTATTATTAGTTAATTGTTAATTAAGTAATTAATCACTAATCAAAAGGAGCCGTTAGACCGTGTCGCTCATTGCTTTAGCGAGACCGAACGATCTCGCTCCTCCATTCCGTGAGACCGCGCGGTCTCGCGCCGCTGCTGCGCGATACCATCCGTGACGTTATTCCCACGTCATCTTCGTGCAACGGTTGTGTGAGACCGACGGTATATTTCTGTAAAAAAGAATTACATCCTAAATATTCTTGAGAAAAAATTAAATGAACAGTATATTTTAAAATTTAATTCGGTAATACAACTCAGCAGATTGTTCAGGCAGCCTCTAAAAAGTTGAGAAAGCACATGCAATGCCTTTCTCTACTACTTAAAAAATAAAAGGTGCTTCCATCTTCCGTCAAAAAAACGGACAAAAAAGGAAAAAAAACCAAATATGTCCGATTCAAAAAAGGCGAAAAAACCGGAAAAAGAAAAACCAAACGTAAAAAAAAGGGCGATAAAAAGGAAAAAAAACCAGATCGGTACGATAAAAAAACCGGAAAAAGAAAAAGAAAAACCAAACGTAAAAAAAAGGGCGATAAATAAAAAGAAAAAAAAACAGATCGGTCCGATAAAAAAAACCCGGGCGAAAAAACCGGAAAAAGGAAAGAAAAAACAAATATGTCCAATCCAGAAGAAGGGCAAAAATAAGGGAAAAGAATCCGACTCCGTCTACACGGTAAAAAAAGGGGGAAAAATATAAAAAATCTGTCTGATTTCAAAGAAAAAAGAATTATATGTGACGCGGTTAAAAAATTTCTATCTCTATCTCTACTACTTAAAAAAAAGGTGCTTCCGTCGTCCGTAAAAAAAACCAGCGAAAAAAAATCGGGCGAGCGAAAAAACTGGGAGAAAAAAAAACGGGCGAAAAAAATAATCCAATTCCGTGAAAAGAAGGGCGAAAAAAATAATAAAAAAAAAAGAATCGGTCCGATTCTAAACAAACGAAATCGGGTGAAAAAACCGGGAAAAAAATCAAGCAAAAAAAAGGAATCCGATTTTGTGTAAAAAAGGGCGAAAAAAATAAAATGAATCGGTCCGATTAAAAAAAAGAAATTGGTCGAAAAAAAACTACGCGAAAAAAATCGGGTGAAAAAACCGGCCAAAAAAACGAATTATGTAGACACGGTAAACAAAGGGCGAAAAAAATAAAAATGAATCTGTCTAATTTGATCAAACAATGTGGCTCTGATTTTTTAAATTAAAATCCGTTGGATAAACTCCTAAGTAGGCTCAAAAAATAAATTCTAAATCATATCTAATTCATCAAATTAGTCTCGGTTCTACCTATTTGTTAATATATCAAATTAAACTTGATTTTTACCGATTCGAGGTTTTCAAGGTGTCACATTATCAATCGGTGTTTTTCCCGTTGCAACGCACGGGCCCTATTGCTAGTCAAGTTTGAAATACTACACTACGTAACAAAAAACAAGCTAGTCATTTGTTTCTGTTGCTATTGGACCTAATAAATTTCAAGATGGTTTCCCTTTATAATTGTGTTGAATTACTGTTCTGCTTCCACCTTATTTGCTTCAGTTTATCATTCACGTTGCCGGCCGTAACTGTAGATGAAAGCTGTATATACTACCTCTATTTTTTAATAGATAACGTCGTTGACTTTTTCTCACATGTTTGGCCATTCGTCTTATTCAAAAAATTTACGTAATTATAATTTATTTTGTTATGGGTTGTTTTATCACTCATAGTACTTTAAATGTGATTTATATCTTATACATTTGTATAAATTTTTTGAATAAGACGAATGGTCAAATATGTGAGAAAAAGTCAATGGCGTCATCTATTAAAAAAGGGAGGGAGTATAAAACACCTCCTTGACTGATGTATATATATAATGTAGCAACAATGGTAGCATAATATAATATATGAAGTGGTCATAGGAACTCTCGAAAGTGCCTAGCTGCTACAATGTTAGGACGAATAAAAATGATGGATCGTTAATACTAATGATGCAGTCCCTATTTCTTCGTAGTTAACAACACACTCTATGCGACTATGCCTTCTTAGTTAACAGCTAGCAATATTCTCTATCGTTTATACTTCATAGTTAACAACCAAATCTGACAAACAAATTAAACTATATGATAAAAAATGGTAACAAATATTTAAAAATGGAAATAAGGAGTAGACAACAACAACTACATAGTAGCAATACGAGCTGAATTGTTGATGCACAGTTGTCGTGTATATTGGAAGTATATATTCATGTTTTTTTTAAAAAAACATAATAGTGTTTGAATTAAAAAATAGATGTCGTACAAATGAAATCACAAACGCTTGTTTGACAAGCCATATATCAAAGGCCGAGTTTAGTTATAAAATTTTTCTTCAAACTTTTAACTTTTTCATCACATCAAAATTTTTCTACGCACAAACTTCTAACTTTTCCGTCATATCATTCTAATTTCAACCAAACTTCTAATTTTGACGTGAACTAAACACACCCAAACTGCCACGGTATAGTTTCCTATAAAAACGTCACGTCAGATCTATAAAACAGTGGTAGTGCAACACCAACACGGTATAGTTCGCATGTCAAAAAAAAAAAAAAACACGGTATAGTTTGACCGCGGCGGCGGCGATCGTGGACCTGGCGCACAACGGCAACCTGCGGGCGAACTGGGTGCCCATATGCATGCAGTTCCACGGCTTCTGCCAGCGAACCAGCTCCGTCGTCGCCTCCTTCCTCACCATCGTCATCCTCTCATGTTCCTCGTCATCTTGGCCGCCTGCTCCATCCGCAAGCGCTAGCTTAATCATCTTGCTAGCTAATTAAAAAAAGGGTTAATTTGATCATGCCACTGCAATTTTAGCTATTCAGAAAAATACCATTATAAATTTTCATCTTGCGCTTGATGAAAACGTGGTGGTGGTGAAGAAGGAAAACGGGGAGATGGCGACGTGTGAGAGGGATGAGGAGGAAAACGGGAGCTTGCCGACGGAAGAAACGGAAAAGGAAGATAATGGATGTAAAATGTGACGGCAGTGGCACGATTATAATTTCGTAAAATTTCTAGTGCCACGGTTTCGAATAGATGAATTATAATGGCATTTTTCTGAATAGACAAATTTGCAGTGGCATGGATCAAATTAACCCAAAAAAATGTGCTTAATTATACATGCATAAATCATTTACTTTTGATTTCTATATCTGCATGCGCGAGAGAGTGCGTTTTATTTTCGAATTGTAATCTTCTTCTGTACTAAATGCATTGCTTTACTTGTGAGCATTGCATTGCTTCCTTTGCTTTCGCCGCTCCTGCTCTCGCCCGTCCTGGCATCGCCACTCCGGCCCTCACTTGCGCGCCGCTGTGGCGAATAACGGTGTATTTGAGGGGAAGGGGATCGAGGAGATTGGGAAGATACGCAAAACGATGTGAGCCATTAGTTCATGATTAATTAAGTATTAACTATTTTAAATTTTAAAAATGGATTAATATGATTTTTTAAAGCAACTTTCCTATAGAAATTTTTTGCAAAAAACGCACCGTTTAGTAGTTTGAAAAGCGTGCGCGCGGAAAACGAGACTCAATCTCCCCAAACACCCTGGAACGAACAGAGCCTAAGTGGAACGGAGGGGGATGAGACACTGGTGGAGAAACCATCTTTGGTCGGTCGACCAGATTTCACAATAGTCCCGGTTGTATTAAAAACCGGGACTAAAAACATCTTTAGTCCCGGTTTAAAAGCTCCATGCTACTTTTTAATCTTTAGTCCCGGTTGGTGTAGATTTATTTATAGTCCCGGTTGGTAACACCAACCGGGACTAAAGATAGATCTATCTTTAGTCCCGGTTGGTGTTGCCAACCGGGAAAAAAGATCGACACGGAGATCGGAGAGGCATGCTCGATCGGATCGAGATATTTCCTTCTCTCCTTTAACTCCTCTCTCCTCCTCTCCTCAACATTATCTCTTCCTCTCCTCAACCTTATCTTCCTCTCCTCTCTAACAGACCGAGGGCGGTCAGGCGCGGAGGCCCGGCCGGCGCGGCGCGCGGTGAGGCGGCGGCCGGCGCGAGGGCGGCGGGGCGCGGAGGGCCGGCCGGCGAGGCGGCTGATTTTTTTTTTTAAGAATCTGAGATTGTTGTGTGATGTATTTGATTGGATCTGATTGTTGTGTGATGTATTTGATTTGTGTGTGATGTGAATATTTGATAATTTTGTAGAAGTTGTGATGTAATTTTTTTTGAGATTTTGTGATGTATTTGAGTATTTGAGATGATCGATTGTGGATTTGGAAGCAATTTGAGAATGATTAATTTGTGATTTTGGTGACGGGATTGATTTGTGATTTTGATTAAAAACAATGAAGAAAAGAAAATAATAAAGAGCAACCGGATCTAGTCTTTTTAGTCCCGGTTGGTAAGATAAATGATCTTTAGTCCCGGGACTAAAAATGGATTTTTACTCCCGGTTTTTTCACCCGGGACTAAAGATCGCTATCTTTAGTCCCGGATTCGTAGTCCTGGTTGGAAAACCAGGATTACAGGGGGGTTATGAACCGGGAGTAAAAACCCTTTCTCCACCAGTGAGAGCGTGGGCGAGATGGCGTCGGCACCGGTCTCGTTGACCCCGTCTCCACCGCTTGCTCTCGCCGCCCAGCGTAGCTCTGGCGCTCGCCGCCGGCCGAAGGGGAAGAACCGATGAGAAAGGGAGAAAAAGAGAGAGAAAAAGGGAGAGGGGGAGGAGGAAGAAGGGATTTATGTCGGCTCCACATGTCAGTAGGGCCTACAACTTTTTTTAATGACAAATGGGCCCCCACATATATATTTTTAATTCTAATGCCACTTAAGCGCCACGTCAACGCTACGTAGGACGAAGACCCGGTCAACACTGTCACGTAGCCGTCATGTCAGCGAAACCACCCTCTAAAACTCCCGAGGGAGTCAAATTAAACCGATTTTAACAATTTAGGGAGTCAACATATCTGGTTTTGCGGTGCAGGGTCATGGTTAGATTCGGACCGCTTTTTAAGGGAGTTAGAGTGAACTTATTCCGATGGCAAATCACAGTTTGGGTCAGCCCACCTCCCATCAATCTTACGCGAAGCTGCGGCCCACCAGCCCACCACCGACGCGGGGGATCTGAAAATTTCAAATTTTCCGGAGGCAAACGCGGAAGGAGGAGGGGAATCGCAAAAGGCGCCTCCAGAAATTTCTCTCCTCTCCTCTTCCCCCACCGCGTCGCCCCATCTCGCCGCCGCCGCCGCCGCCGCCGCCGCTCGCCGCCGGTTCGGAGACCGCGTCACTGATTGGCCTGCCTCTCCTCGCACCGGGGGTTTTTCCAGCGCCCAAATCTCTCGGCGGGGACCTCCATGCCGGCGGTGGAGGGGATGCGGGACGTGGTCGCCACCGTGAGCGGCTACCACGGCGACGAGCGGCACAGGCTGGTCAGGCTCATCGCGGAGACCGGCGCGAGCTACGTCGGCGCCATGAGCAGATCCATCACCCACCTGGTAATACGGCGCACACGCTTCGCTTGTCTGATTATTGGCCGCTGAACTTGTTCCGCCGGCGAGAAATTTGACGCGCGCGCTTCTCGATTGGGGTGACAGGTGTGCTGGAGGCTTGAGGGGAAGAAGTATGACATCGCGAGGAGGCTTCGGACGCGCGTCGTCAGCCACCGGTGGTTCGAGGACTGCCTCAAGGAGGGGAGGCGCCTCCCCGAGAAACCCTACATGCTGGAAAGGTACCTGGTTTTCTTCTGCTTGTTGCGATGCGACCATACATGTTCGACTATTGGTAATTGTTTCAGATGGACATGAACAGCGATGAATTGGCCATGTAATTTTTATTTTCTTTGGAGGAAATGTTAATTCGGAACTAGGAGTTACATTCAGAGTGGTTTTGTGATTTCCATGTTCATTGATTTGCTGCAATAAATCAGTCATGCTGTGTGTCGAAAGGGGGCATATAATTGTATAGGCTTTTAGTACTCTTGGGGTCTTTCCCTATATTCGTATTAACAGGATTTGAACCTTATAGATTTGTAGCACAGTCCAAAGCCCGGTGGTTAGTTTAAACATTCGATTTGATTTATTAGATGCTTACCGTTCTTTATGCGCGTGACAGCTGATAGCTTGTAATGTAGGAGAAATAGTCAAATAGCACAAATTTATATTATTGTGCCTAGTTTTCCCCTGTCAGTCTCAGCAAACCTTCTATTTTGCTTGATGTCCAGTGGTGAAGAAGCAGGGCCAGTCCCTGAGCTGCCCACTTTCCCGCGTTCACGATCCAAGAGAAATGCAAGCATGGAGGATAGATGCTTGAAAGAATTACCTGATGATTTCTGCAATACTTCATATGCGACCGATGTGCTTGTGGTTGCTGATTCAGGTTCTGATTGCAATCATCAGCGATGGTCTGATTCCTCCCTACTGAAAGAAGTAAGAACTACTATTATACTCCCTCCATTCCATAATATAAGTCACAACTACTTTTTTTTGGGATGTTCCATAATATAAGGCATGCATGCATACAATTAACTATGACCACTTCTCCATTAAATTATTACTTTTTTAAATCCTCTATCCTCAAGATCTCTAATTCTATTGGATGCATATATTATATTTATTAGGGTGATCCAAACCAGGAGATAATAATAATTGTTTCTTGGTCTTTGAATTAAGGGTGGTTGTGCCTTATATTTTGGAACGGAGGGAATATCAATTATTGTCCTTGCATGATTTGATTTCCTGGTAGAATCCTTTAATTGGACTACTGACTACATTCCACAAGCTAAGTTATATTCTGTTCAGTACTATGGTTTAGTATACTACATTTCACCACAACCGCATTAGTAGCTGTTCAGTCAGTTCAGACATCATCCCTGTCTATTGGCATTGCTGAATGCCAACCATGGCCTTATTACCAAGTGAAAAAAGGGCTGGATGATGGTGGATCTGTTTTGTTTTTTTTGTCAAGCCATCCATGGTATAAATATTAGAGTATCCATTAAAAAAATATATAAATATGGGAGTAGCTTCTAAAATCCCTCTAAGTTTGTACATATCTGCTGTACATTGCTTTTAAAAAGGTATTATGCATTTAATTAGAATACTTTGCATACCTTTTCCAATGTACTTTTGTACTTCATTTTTACTCTATTTCCTGATGGAGCTTTGTTGATCCATTGGCTTCAGAATTTTGTTGGTGATCGCGATAATTCTAAGATTGGTGCAACACACGTGAAGGAAAGAAGAAAACGTTTAAAGCATGCACAAAATTCAACCAATGAAGATGCACTAGATGCAGAAGACAATATTTCTAGGCTCATGGTAGTATGCAAATTATATTCCCCTTTGCGTCAGTTTTTCTTTCTGTCTGTCTTAGCTTTATTTTTGTAGATAATGTTTTGTAGCTTTATATTGGCGAACCTCTAGATGTCATCTCTATGCTGTGCTGATAGTTAGGTATTCATTTTGGTTTGAATCTATCAATATGACTGTTGCTCAATTAAGACCTGAACATCCTTGATCATGTATCCTTTATAATTGTTTTTAGAACTATCTTTCATAGTTATAAATGTTTATCATGCATGTCACTGTGTTTCATTTTGTATGTTTTTCACCCAAAAAACCGTCGAATGTTGTATAGCTACTCCTAATGATAATATAAGTCTTCTGATGAAGAAATTCCCACTAATCCAGTAGATAATATTTTGTCCCACATAATCCATACCAGCCATGTCTCCTCAAGGACCTTTCAGTGATGGAAACTGGAATGGCACCTATATGAAGCTGCTGTTGTTTATGCAGATTTTTTTTCTCGAAAACGCAAGAGAATTGCATTTCATTTCATTAAGGGGAATGTTATGCAGATTGACTTTAAACTTTTTCTTGCCATCCACGTCCAAGGCGATGAAAGCCTGTTTTGCTAATCTGTGTTTTAATTTAGAGCAGCACTTGTTTTGCTATATGGTTTTTGATGATTCGATATACCTAGCTTCTTGTTTCATCTTGCTTTGTATTTTCTTCTGCTTACAGGTGCTCTGTAATCTAATGTGTATGTATTAATGATAACACAGGCAAGACAAGGGCGTTATGAGTCAAGTTATACTTCATCTCGGAGCGCATCAAATCAGAAGGGAGATTTGTTAAAGCTTCTGCATAATGATGATGCTAGCATGATGAGAAAAAGAAATAGTCTCATGAAAAAGGAAACAAGAACCAAGCTTGCAGGCTATCTTATAGAAAGCTGTGAAAATGGAAGTTTGACAGACAGCTTCGATGAACCTCAAATGTCGGATACTCCGCCCACTGAAGATCGAAGAAAAATAAGGAAGACAAGACTGCGACAAAGTACGTTGGACAGTATATATGATTATGGTGAAGCCAGTGAGCATGATCCTGAAAAAAGTGAGGATCAAGAAAATTTTGAATTGGGTGAAAGTTCAAGAAGCTTTCAGTCAAGTGATTCATCCAGACAAGAACCAGCTTTCTGTACTGAGAAAACAAATCAAGGAAGCATTGACATTGCAGCTGATGATGACAAGGGAGATGATGAGAAAGCCACTTTGGAAGAACCAACCAGTTGTCAAGGGCAAGCTGAACTTTCCTGTGTCATTTGCTGGACTGATTTTTCATCCACAAGGGGCATCTTACCATGTGGACACCGATTTTGTTATTCATGCATTCAAGAATGGGCGGATTCTCTGGTATGTATTCGGAGCACTTTGTTCAGCTCGATTCATTCATTTCGTTAACACTATTATATGACCCATCCGTCTGCATTACTTTGATGCTCGTATGCTTCAGTATAATACAGTGAGGCAATGGTGGATTGTATATTCAAGATGTCTAGCATTTCATGCTGATTGGAATAGACGTTGTCAAACTACAACATATCAGATCGAAAACATATATGTTGATCATTTTCTTCTGCTTTATGAAATATGCAGTTCTTCTGGATTCTTGAAATAAAATAAAAATGTATATTTTTTTAACAGTCATCATTCTCAGAATGCTGTATTTTATCATTTCTTTGCTGAACTTTTTCCTTCTGTAGCCAAAGAGCCTTTGGTTATAATATCATTATTCTTCAATTTGAAACCTGTTCTTACACTCGCATGATGTGTCTTTCTTTTTCAGTCTTCTAGGGGAAAAGTTTCGACATGTCCTCTGTGCAAAACAAGTTTTGCCTGGATCAGTAAAATAGATGAGGCTGGTACATCTGATCAAAAGATATACTCTCAAACTATACCTTGCTCAACTTCTACCGACACTTTCATATTTGATGATAGAGTCTACGGCCTCCCAGAATCACCGGTGAGCTCTTATTCCATTATAGTAACTTGCTGCTACATAAATTACCTTTAATTTTGGCTTGCAATTCCTCACCTCTCTTGCACCTTTCTTATATATGTAGTCTGGGCAAGGGGCATGTTACCAGTGCCACTGTCGTGAGCCTGAGGAGCTTCTTCTGAGCTGCCATGTTTGCCGGTCTCAATGGGTACACTCGTATTGTCTTGATCCTCCATTGACGCCATGGACGTGCATACACTGCAGAGATCTTCGGATGCTCTATCAGCGTTATCGCTAGTCTGAACTCTGAAACCTGGATATTCGTTGATTAGAGGTTATATATGGCTTTCGCATTTGAAATGCATCTTCTCTGAGCTGATCATTTGCTTCAGGCCTTGTTATATAGGTTGAGAATTGACAATTACTGGCTTCATAATTGCAGTATGCAAATTGTTGTACTAATTGTGAAGTTGTACTGTTTTTGGGTAAATCTTACGTGCCCAGTCTACCAAATTGGAGTACTCCCTCCAGTTCCATTTTAATTGACGTTTTGGACAATGACACGGTCTATAAGATACATCTTTGATCTTATTTTTCTATTATAATATATATAATAAATAAATGCATGTTTATTTTTATTATAGTACTTTAAAAGACAAATCTATATATGTTGTTCTAGTTCCTTTAAACTAAATATTTTTAAAGTTATTGATAGTCAAAGTTATAAAAGTTTGACTTCAACCGGAGGGAGTATGTGCTAAATATTAGTGTAGCAGTGTGTGTCAAGGGTATTTGTTCGTGTTCTAGATTTACCTAAGGCCTTAATACAATCAAGAGTACTGTTTAGCACAAACTTATGCATATTGTCTGCCCAAACCTATAGTCAACAGTTACATAGATATTTGCTAACTACAGATAGAGATTTACAAATAGACTTTAATACGGTGGTCACTAATTTGTGTATCGTCATTTCTTAGATTTTCTCTGCTCTTTGTTGAGTGAATTTTGTACTCCCTCTGTCTCATAATATAAGGAATTTTGAGTTTTTGCTTGCACTTTTTATCACTCGTCTTATTCAAAAGTTTTGGAATTATTATTTATTTATTTGACTTACTTTATTATCCAAAGTACTTTAAGCACAACTTTTTATTTTTTATATTTGCATGATTTTTTTTGAATAAGACGAGTAGTCAAACACTACAAGTAAAAACTCAAAATCCCTTATACTATGGGACGGAGAGAGTAGTAATCAGCTATAGCTTCCTTGAAGCAAAGGCTGAGATTCATTTCATTATCTAAAAAAAATCGCCCAATTTCCTTTCCTCTTGCACAAATTTACTAGATGCACCTAACATTCTCACACAGTTGTTTCTTTAATTCTCTTGCCTCTGAGTTATCATTTTATTCTATTTTTTATATTGGCCTAATAGTTTAGAATGAGATGTTCCATACAGGTCCATTGAACGGATTCCCAATATGTTACTGTTTTAAATAGGAAAAAAATTTCTATGGGATTTCAATTCCACAAAACTCGCACACAAGTCCTTTGGTTCCAAAGGAAGCCTGAACTTGAAGTCTTAATTCTTGCATCCCTTGTAAGTTCTATCCTTCATGTAACGTGGTCAATGTACACAATTTTGTCGGTTACAAATTACAGACCTACAAGTTGGCATGCCAGACACTCAATTTAAAGTCAAACAGCAGCGATAGAGTTGACAGTTGGTGTAACATTTTCTATGAGGAATTTATCGAGTGATTCAGGCTGTGTTTAGTTGGATCCAAAGTTTGGATTTTGGTTAAAATTGGAGATGATGTGACTGAAAAGTTGTGTGTGTATGACAGGTTGATGTGATGAAAAAGGACTGAAGTTTGGATCCAAACTTTGGATCTAAACACAGCCTCAACTTCTACGAGGAATTTTCAGGTTTACGCAATTGCCATGCTAATCATCAGACAACAGGGATCCTAATCAGATTGATTTTATCAGAAAGACTGCCAGTCAACTGTTAATAAATACCAGCGGAAGGATCAATCATGAACTAATCTGTGGTAAAATTATCATATACTCCCTCCGTCCCAAAAAAAGGCAAACCGCGGGTTTGCATGCCAACGTTTGACTGTCCGTCTTATATGAATTTTTTTTATAATTAGTATTTTCATTGTTGTTAGATGATAAAACATGATGAACACTTTATGCGTGACTTATCTTTTTAATTTTTTTTTTATAATTTTTTCAAATAAAACGGACGGTCAAACATTGGACACGGAAACCAGGGTTTGTCTTTTTTTGGGACGGAGGGAGTACTCCACAATATAGTTGACCCAAACAATGGTTAGAGAACTTTAATTAAATGCGAGATGAAATGCAACTTCAGAGCCCTATCTATTTCCTAAAGGTTAATTATAAGCCTTAACGACTGATTAGTAATAAAAAATAATATATATATATATATATATATGTATGTTTTTAGTGACTTAGGTGGTGTTTGGGAACGAGGGACTTATGCTTAGTCCTTCCCAAACACCATCTGGGCTTATTCGTTTCAAAGGATTTGTAAAGGAAAAGTATAAGAATATCCAATCCTTTGTGATGAGCACTATTCTATCATTCGTTTCAAAGGAATGCATGAAAGGAGAAATTCCTATCCCTCCACTTTGAGGGGGAAAACAAAGGAAAAAAATAATCCACTCCAACCCAATGTTTTCAATCCTTTAAATTGTTTGCAACCCAACCATAGGAAAATTTTCTATGTTTTCCAATCTATAGGTTTGCACATGCATTCCTATATTATTCCTATGTTTTCCCTATTCCTACGGTTTGAAAATACTACAAACCGAATAATCCCAAGAGACTTTACTACTACGGAATGAAACTACTTTAAAAGCTAATATAAAAGCTAATATAAAAGCTAATATAAAAGCTATTTTAAAAATATCTTTAAAACAACTCTAAAAATAAATTTTAAAATTTAAGTGTTAGTTTTATGCCCAAGAGACTTTACTGGGGCTGTGTTTAGTTGGATCCAAAGTTTGGATTTTGGTTGAAATTGGAGATGATGATATGACTGAAAAATTGTGTGTGTATGACAGGTTGATGTGATGGAAAAGGACTGAAGTTTGGATCCAAATTTTGGATCTGGATGTGTTTAGATCCAAACTTTGGATCCAAAGTTTGCAAAATTCCATCACATCAACCTGTCATACACACAACTTTTCAGTCACATCTCTCTAATTTCAACCAAAATCCAAAGGAGGTAGCTAAACGCAGCATAACTACGGAATGAAACTCTGCAGATGTCACGGACGCGAACGGGAAGCTTGCCTTGCAAGCACACGTCACGCGCTCACGTGCCACGTCGGACGCAGCCCACGACCGATGATGGCCCAGCCGTGCAAGCCTCCGTTCCATTCCACCCAGTCGATCGGGTCTCCTTCCTTCCCCCACACACCCAAATCCGACGGCCCAGATCGCCCTCCCGCAACCGCACCGCGCGATCGCAGCCGTCCGTTACCCAACCACTAATTAATTATTTATTTATTTTCCGCCGATTTATCGCTGCCGCCGGTGGCTTACGAAACAAGAACAGAAGCCTCCTCCTCTCTCTTCTTCTCCCATCCCCCCTCCCCGATCCTCTCGCCCACCTCCAGATTCAAATCTTGCGAGCAGTTTATCCCTCCATTGGATTTGATCCAGTGACGTCCTAACAACCCGGCTGGCTGGTGGAAGTGGAGTTTGAGAGCTTGCTTGTCCTGAAATCACGCCTCCTTCGTCTCGGGCCGGGTTTCGTTGGTTGGTTTCTTGGTTCTCGAGCCAATGGAGGAGAGTTCTTGCAGATTGGAGTAAAAAAAGATCTTATGTACTAGTAGTGGTGGCTAGTGAGTGATCTGGGTTTCGTTCGGTTTGTTTTGTTTCGCCTCCCCCCAATTTGGTGCTTTCGGTGTCTGTGCGAAGCGTGTTGGGATGACGAACCGATTGGATTTCTTGTGAGCGACTACTCCTGATTGTTTCGTTGTTGATTCGCCTTTATTTCATTGATTAGAGTGGAAAAAGGGCTTATCGTTTTTATTTTTTTTGGCTATTTGTGAGCAATTTTTTGTTCTCCTCCATCTAGCATGTTTGTTTGTTTGTAATTGCTTCAGAAGGCGGCGAGTTTGCTTAATTTTTGGTAGAAAATTTATCTTCATTGGATCTATAGCTATAGCGAAGATTTGGATTCTTGAGGGAGATTTTTTTTTGTTTAAATTCTTGTTGGATCCGGCGATTTTTGTCCGGATCAAGAAGAAGGGGAGAGAAATCTTGGCTCCTAGCGGCCATGGGGCTGAGCCGCTTCTCCGACTGGATATGGCCGGGGAGTAGAACCACCCGGCGAGCTCGCGACGCTCCGGCGAGCAGCGTGGCCTTGGCCGTGGCCGGCGCGCTGTTCCCGGACTCCCCCTCCGGGTTCCGGGAGCCGACGGTGGGCACCCTCAGGGGCCCGGCGAGCTCCGGCGGCGGCGCTCGACGCGCCCGGAAGGGGACGAGCCGGCGGCGCAGCCGTGAGGTGGTCGACAGGGAGCACGACATGGTCGTCGTGCCGCTCGGCGGCGGCGGCGACGGGTACTCGTCGGACTCGGGCTCCGACGACTCCGACTGGTCCATCGGCTGGCTCGAGCCGCAGGGGCCGGAGCTCCACAGCGACGGGGATTCCGACGGCAGCTTCGCCGTCCTCGTGCCGTGTTACCGCCACGGCCGTTGCCGCGTCGAGGAGCCCGGCCGCGGTAGGCTCGCCGACGGCAACGTTTCCGGTGAGCTCACTGTGCAATGCGCATTATATATGTTTATGCTGTTTATGTAGAGTTAGCATTAGAAAGTGCTTAAGCTGCATAGTTGAAGCTAGTATCACACACAAAGTTCGACCTCTTAAGGGCCCCTTTGAATCGCATGATTGAAAAAACGGAGGAATAGGAAAAACACGGGATTTTGTAGGATTGCAAGTGTAAAACAGAGGATTACAAAACACAGAAAAAATATAGAAATGACCGTTTGATTAGACCGCAGGAAAAATGCAGGAATCAGATGAGAGAGATAGACTCAAGGAAAGTTTTCCAAGAGGTTAGAGTGGATGTTAACTTTCCTACGTTTTTCTCTAGAATTGTAGGAATAGGAAAGTTTTCTACGTTTTTCCTTTTCTCATTCCTACGAATCAAAGGCATAAGCCCCTTTGAATCACAGGAATGAAAAACTGACAGGAATGTAAGTGTAAAACAGAGGATTGCAAAACACAGGAAAAATATAGGAATGACTGTTTGATTGGACTATAGGAAAAACACAGGAATTTGAGGAGAGATAAAGACTCAAAGGATTTCTTCCATGAGGTTCTACCTCTTGTTAAAATTCCTCCAAAACTTGTATGGGAAGAGGCATTCCATAGGAATTTCATAGGATTCCATAGGATTCATTTCTTTGATTCAAAGAGCTTTGTGGGAAAAATTCATATAGGAATGAAATCCTCTAAAATTCCTATGAATTTCCTTTGAATCAAAGGGGGCCGAATAGTGTAGGATTTCAATTCCTTTGTTTTTCCTCCATTTTTCCTCCAATTCAAAGGGGGCCTTTGATTCACCAAATTGGGAAGTGTCAGAGTTCAAACTGATGCTGAAATTATAGCATTGGGTGAAACACCTGCTTAGTAAACATTTAATCACTGGTGTCTGTTGGACAATCATTGACTTGCTAACTGACTAATTGTCATGGTCCTGACACAAGCTCCGGTTTGATGAGAGTGCATCCTTGGTCTTGGATAGTACTTCCTTTGTCCCAAAATAAGCGTAGCCATGAGTTTTCTTGTCCAACTTTAATTGTTCGTCTTATTTAATTTTTTTTTGAAAAAACTAAAAAACACAAGTCACGCATAAACTACTATTCATGTTTTATAATCTAATAACAATAAAAATACTAATCATACAAAAATTTCAAATAAGACGGATGATTAAAGTTGGACACGGAAACTCATGGCTGCGTTTATTTTGTGACGGAGAGAGTACTATTGGAAAGATCAGCTAGTTGGAAAATGCCATCTAGTTGTAACTAATATGTTGGACAGGGGAAAGTTACATTGCTAAGGTCTAAAGTGGAAGAATTAAGGGTTTTTTAACTTTTAGTCATGGTGAATCTTCACTGACTTGATAATTGACTTAGTTGTCTTATGTTGGAAGCCACAAGTTCCGGATTGATGGAATTACTGAGTCCCACTGCAAAAATCACCAAGTTGGAAAATGATCAAAAGATGGAATTTGTTTTTTCCGTAATTTTCTCTGATTGAAATGATTGTTTAGGTGTTATCATCCATTCATCCTAATAGTAGACTAGGATAGTACGACATAACTGTTCTCTCTACATGCTTTGTTTTGTCATCATTTTGTTGTGCTACTGTGACCATAATTGTTGTTATATGTGAATGTTTGGTGGCATGATCATCCTGAAATTATAACTTGTCAATTGTCATACTTGTGGTGTCCATCTCTGTTCTGGTGCATGTGCCAAGCAAGCTATTGCTAATGATCTGTCATGTTGGTGTCCATATGCTGTTGGTAGATAAATCAGTTGTTGAGTTTGATGGCTCATTTTGTACGGTTGCCTTGGGACCTTCATTTAGTCTGTGTTGTGTTGCCTAAATCCTAATGCACAGTAGGATGTGCTATTTTATCCAGTTTTCAGTTCTAGACGGAAACCCTGAATGCTCTGGAGATCTGGTGAGAAGTACATTTTCATTACTCTAGTGTTATCTGTTCCTGTAGTTCATGATTAATTCTGTGTCATGTGGTTTTGCTCTGGTAGCGCCTGCCTAACTCTATTAGGAAGGGTCTTGTACGCTCATTATTGTCCCCCTAAGTTAGGAAGGTCATGCACCAAACCAAACTTGAGAGCTGCAAATGAACATCACCACACAAGGGTAATAAATGATTCTGTTATATGCTGTCTCTCCTCATTCTTTTTGTTCAGTTACATCTATATGTAGTGATGTCGGATAAACAAACACCTGTTACTTTCTATGTACTTTAAGAGCGAGGTGGAGGTGAAGTTATCAGTGTGTTTTTTTATGAATTACTCCCCAAATTTCTTCAGTAGTATGCAATAAGGCTTCCATGTGTTTGTTTGTTCTTATTATTTGACAACCTTCTGAGATCACATTTTAACATGGAAAAGCCCGATACAACCTAATTGTTATGTGTGGGTAAAATTTGCAATTAGGGCGCATAAACACTGTCAAATGCTCCTTAGAACAAAAGAATGAAAGACATGTTCGATGCAAAGATCACATTGTTTTTAATAACTCTTTAATAACAATATTAATAATTTTGTAAACATGTTAACTAATCAGTATGGTCAATTTCCTTTTACAACTATTTATTTCTAGGACATTTAATGTTTTAGTTCTTATCATTCCCAGAATCTTTACAAGATAAATGTCGAGACATTTTTCAGAGGGCATATTAGCCTGCTCAAACTGATCAATAGAGAATTAGGCACTTTGTTGTCTGATTTGACCATTTTAATGTTAATATTTTAATTAAATTTGTACATACCAAAGTTAGTTGTGCAGCTTGCCTTTCCTGATATAGCTTTGTTTGTTAATATATTCTCTGTTTTCTTAGTCAATACCGTGCATGATTCTAAATATTTTTTTGCTTGACCATTGTTGTAATATTTCTTTCTGTTTGTGTTCCGCAGGTGGCAAGAATTTTGTAGAGCGCTGGCTTTCTTCTCTTCCAAACTGATTATTTATCCATTCTTCTATGGCTTCGTTATCTTTAGCATTTTTATGTCTCTCGTATTTGTAAATATATCGATGAAGACATGAACCCCAGAAAACACCCAACAAAAAAGAAGATTAAAAGTTGAGGAGCAGTGGACCGAGATTCCAACGTTAAGGTACTCTTGCAGTGTACTAAGAGTCATGAAAACGAAAGATTACTGCCACGTGCTGACAACCTGAAGTTGAATCGACGAATTGTTAAGATTACCATTGATCTACTTGCTTCGGGATGTTTAATCTACCTGTATATGATGGCAGTTTACCTCATTTGTGTGACTGAAATTCTTCTGTACATATATGAAGGCAGAAACATTTGAGATGAACTCCAATGAGAATATGCATTTCTTCTGTATATATAATAAACGATTGTCCGTATGTGTCTCTGAAGTCCAGAATTAATTCAACTATTTATCCTATATATATACATATTTCACTATGATTCAGCATGTGAATGCTTTTCCATCACTTTGTTCGTCGCTTCGCAGTTCGCACTGGTAACAACAAACCGTACGTGGAGATTATCACGAATAGTTACAATTTTATAAAATTTCAATGGCACCAAGCGGCTATCGTGAACAGTAGTGTCATTTTTATGATTTGATATATTTGTAGTGGTATGGATCCAATTAACAAAAACTTTTTATTCTGATCCTTGTACTGTGGCTGTAGCAGTACAATTTCAATTAAGGGCGTTTACAATGCATCTATGGGGCGTTCAGCCTAAGAAGAAGGAACACTATATTGAGTGCCACGTCCTCCACATGTGTGGCTAAGTGAAGACCGAGTAGCCATGGATGGTCACCCGGTCTTGGGCTGAAATGTATGTGAAAAACAAGGAAAAGGAGAGAGAGAGGGGGGGGGGGGGGAGGGGGCAGCTGGGAAGAGGAGAGGCACAGGCAATCAAGCACACGCAGAAGACCGATGCCATCGCCGCTCGGGCCGCGGCGCGGAGGCCGGAGTTCCACCGCCGCCAACGCCGTCGCCGCTCGGGCCACGGCGTGGAGGCCAGAGATCTGGATCTGGCTGACGGTGGCTTCCCGCCCACGGCGGATGAAGAGGTGGGGCGCGGCGGCTGTGGCAGCTTCCTCGATTCGCCGTCGCCGGAGGAGGAGGGGAGGCACAGCGCCAGGCCCCATCGCCGTTGCCGCTCAGCCCGGTGCCGTCTCCCGCTCTCCCTCGTCCCCGCCGTGTCCTACTCGCCTCCACGACCTCCGCTTGAGCCGCCGCTCCACCCAACCTCCGTGACCTCCGTCTCCGCCCGGCTCTGCGGTGGCTGGTGGGGAAAGGAAAAGAGGGGAGAGAGAGAGGAGAGGGGAAAAGTAAAAAGAGAAAAGCTAAAAGTGGTATTAGTGGGACCCACTACAAGCTACTTGTATATGGTCTTGTGGAGTTTGCATCGTGGAACATGTGGCTAATACCGTTCTTGGTTTACGTGGCATGTGAAGAACACCAAAACTTGGTGACGACTGTGAATGGCCTTACAATGGCGTCTTTTCTCTAGTCAATAACTGTCGAAATTTTTTTCTGGTCATGCGGAAATTGAATGGTTTTTCTGTTCGTATGAGAATAGACGAAACATTTGTCTAGTCTCTGATATATACGTTAATTTAATCGGCCTTCCAACCGGAATTAAAAGTGACGAAGAACAAATTGGAACAGATTTTCGAACTTCAAGCTCTCTTTGGCGGGGTTCAATATTTCTGGATCGAAACACAATCCTAGCTAGAGGCACCCAAATTCTGAAATTTCAGAAATCTAGATGTTTTTACGAAATACTTCCTCCATTCCATATTGATCATCATATTAAAAAAATCAGGAATTTTAAATTGATCGTCATATAACCCGATTCCTTCGTTTGACATACAACATTATTGTATCTATGCATACAGATATTTGTGGGTAGTTAAGCGCTAAGTCTGCATGTTTTCCTGATTCTTTCTCAGCACATAGGTAGTTACCCGCTAAGACGTGCTTCTATGCTCCTCGGAAAAAAAAATACTGCACGAAAATTAAAGTGCATCAATGGTTCGGATTAAAAGATGATTACTAGGGTAAACCGTCATTAGCAAGGGCCAATTTCGTCCAGGAAGTAAAATCCCACATTCAGGCCAGGCCAATCGCACCATCGATCTGGGAGGTTCACACGGCAACAGGTTTGGGTGGTGAAGATCGGGCCGTGCATGTGCGAGGAACGGGAGGGCGACGAGCTGTGCGGGGCGTTGTTTGGTGCCCGTCGTTGGCGTTGAGACCGATTATGGTCCTCCAAAATAGCAAAAATTTTGTTATTTTAGATTTAAACACTAGTAGCAAAAGTTGACAATTTGCTACTTGCTAGTCCATAGTAGCAAATTGTGATAAAAAATGCTTTGGGACCCCTCTCTCTCTCCACCGAAAAGTGCTAGAATGGTAAAAGTTTAGGTATCTAAACACCAACTAGTACATTTACAATGTCAAAACTTTTACCACCGAAACTTTTGCTATTTGCCATTTACCATTCCAAATGGATCTAAACATGCCCTGTATATAGCACGACGAGAGAGGACCAGTTCTCGAAGGGCAGATGGAGCTTGGCCGGTTCGTGCTGCGCGCATCCACTACGGCCGCCGTTCATGATTATGATTACGCAAACTCTCGGCCGAATAACCGCTTCTTTTGATTCAGTGTTCTCCTGTTCTTTGTACCTGGAGAAACCTTGATTAGAAACCCCAGCTCTTCTCCTATTTTTTTGATTCAGTGTTTGAATCGTCCTTTTCAAACGCTAATCCTTTTGTTGTCCGCTGTGGCATGGACGATTCAAATATGGATGCAAGTGCTGCGGATCTTATCATCAGAATGTCATTCAGCTGCGTCGCGAGCGAATCGATCGATGAGAGGCGGCTGGCCGGGTACGGGATGGGTATGGGTATGGAATTTTACTTCCTGGACGAAATTGCCCCTCGCTAGTGAGGTTTACCTGTTAATCACTTTTTAATCCAGACCATTGGTGCGCTTTAATTTGTGTGCAGCTTTTTTTTATTAAGGAGCACAGAAGCACTTCCCGCGCTAAATAAAATGTATGGTAGTTAAGTTTTTTTTTTCTTGGTGAAAGAACTTATATGATGATTAATATGTAATGGATGCAGTACATCCGAACCAATTTTGTTAAGCTACATTTAACCATCGGGGTCAGTAGACCCCGACGATCTTTTGCCAATGTCTACTACCCCTCTTTATTTTATCAGCTATGGCCCTGTTTAGTTCACACGAAAAATTTTTCACCCTGTCACATCGAATGTTTGGATACACACATGGAGTATTAAATTAAAAAAAAACTAATTACATAGATTGTGTGTAAATTGCGAAACGAATCTTTTAAGCCTAATTGTGCCATGATTTGACAATGTGGTGCTACAGTAAACATTTGCTAATGACAGATTAATTAGGCTTAATAAATTTGTCTCGTAGTTTATAGACGGAATCTGTAATTTGTTTTTTTATTATACTACGTTTAATACTTCAAATGTGTGTCTATATATTCGATGTGACATGGCCTATTACTCCAGTGAAGAGCTAAACTAGACCCCGGTGATATTGTTGATTGTTCCATCAAAGCTCAACTTGTTACTATAGGAACGATACTTGCTAGCAAGCAGCAAATAGAAAATGAACTAGCACTTATATGATTATATGATGGTCCAATATACATTTATGATTGAGATTTGAGCCCATAAATAAGACCGGAAGCCACTACTCCACAAATTACCTGGTTGCATCATCATATTCCTCGTTGTCTTGCGTAGGCATTGCACATTCTGATATCATATTTTATTCTATTTCTAACATAATGGAAGGCAAAGAATTAGTGGTTTTGATAATCTTTGGTGTATTTGGTATCTTTTACATATTAATAATGTATATGTTTTAATAATTTTATAGACAGAAGCTGTAATAGGTAAGATGTAACACTATACAACAGGAGTTGGTTTTATTTTAATAATTGTCACGCATTATGTAGTCTTATATCATTAATTACAAGCTACATTACATATTTCCGATTTAGTGTTCGATTCTAATTTTTACTGTTTTAAAAATTAATTTTTGAGAACTATTCAAAAATTCACTCGGAATCTACCCCGCGTGGAGATATCAAATTGCGTGGTTTTTGATAGGTTTTGGCTGAAAACGTAAATCCTAATTAGTAGTACTGACCCCGGCAGGTATTTATCCTGGCTTCGTCCCTATTAAGCAAATAAACCATATTTTCGGCCAAAAGATCCTGAAATTTCAGGTTTATCGATCGGATCGAAACATTGAATAACCCTGCTTTCTGGGAGAAAAGTCCACGATGTATATGCGACACCGATCGACGTATGGGTGCGTACACTGCGTATATGCAGCATCCATCACTAATATAATTGCATTAATTTCCAGCTCAGCGGTGGCTCTACTTTACTCAATCAATTAATTATTATGCAGCGATCGATGATGATGCATACTCCCTCCGTTCCAGAATAAGTGTAGCCATGAGTTTCCGTGTCAAACTTTAATCGTTCGTCTTATTTGAATTTTTTTGAAAAAACTAGAAAGAATAAGTCACGCATAAAGTAATATTCATGTTTTATAATATAATAACAATAAAAATACTAATTATAAAAAAATTTTAAATAAGACGGACGATTAAAGTTGGGCACAGAAACTTATGGCTGCACTTATTTTAGTATGGAGGTAATACTACATGGTGTATGTGCATTCTAGAAGCAGGTCAAAATTAATTAAATTAAGATAATAATCAGGATATATAGTGCTCCAAATCATTTGGGATTGGAGAGAGTACGCCCTACGTTGTCTGCCTGTCTTCCCAAGGACGTGTCATTCTCGCTGTTCTGTCCATGCAAACGCCTCATCTTTCCGACAAAATTTTACAAGCTGGCCATGAATTGCAAACAGGTGGCAACACAACAGCTAATAAATATGTATCAGATATGATTGATAAATGATCACATATTCACATATGTGTGCTGCATGCTGCATATGAATACTGCTGCTGCTGCACCAGCTGCATGTGCGTGAATGCTCTTCAAATTAATTAAACAAACTTTTGGCATTGTGTACTTTTTTTCCCTCTCTTTTTCAATTACACGAAAGACACGCGTACACGCCCAAGGGTATGCATTAGTCCAAGGAAAACCAATGGATTTGTTTTTGGTTTTGTTATTCCCTAGCTAGTTGGCACAAAATTTTCTTGCTTGCTCATAGTTTCTGTAGAATACACAATGCATATAATACATTTGCATTGCAAGCCGCAGTACATATTTACTATATATATATACATGGGGCCTACAATTATTGATTTATAATCTTTATGTATTGCTAGACTAATATATATTTGTAACCGTTCACCATAACACTTTTTTTATGAAGTTAGAAATACTTCTTCTGGACTTAATCAATAGACTTTCAGACAATAACAAAAAAAAAAGCCAAAACGTTTGTTTGACACGATAAATAAAACTGACCGGACGTAGTACAATTGTTTCAATGAAGAAAAATGTATATATGAAGTAATTCACTCCAATTATGAAGAGACACTAGCATTTTAGCTTATCTCAAAAGCAAAGATTATCTTTTCTTAAATCTTGCATACCTCTTATACATCCATAAGAACAAAAGTTCATATCATGGACTCCATCCATAATTAAGAAACGACAAAATTATTGGTTTTTTTTTACTTCATCAAATTCAAAAGATAATACAACACTACAGTTAAATCTATCTTAATTAGTTCTTAGGCCGCTCTTTGCATGCCAGCAGTACAGAACCATGGAAACAAAACAATAAGGGCCTCAATTTCACCCTACAAAATAAGCCGCCAATCGAAGAAACATCGTCGATCGATCAAAGGGGAAAAAGGGATAGATGAAGAACAAAATCAAAACAGAAGAAACAAAATTAGTTAATAGCACATGATGAGGTATATATTATATACTCCATGTAACTAAATAACAGCTTGTAATTAATTAATCGATTATCCGCCAGCCTGCATGAACTCCATCCACTCTACAACAAACAATTCAATAGTGATGTCTTTTATGCTGTCTTGTTCGAAATGAATTCATTCAATTCTTCTTCTATACATAGCTACTGTATATCTCTCATCTCGGTGCAAGCAAGCAATGATCGATCGCGGCGCGCCACCGCGCCCCGGCGGCGGGCTCAGACGCCGGCGGGGAGTGGAAGCTCGTCGTAGAGCGCGGAGAGCGCCCTGAGGAGCTCGACCCTCGCCTTGAGCCGGACGATGTAGTCGGCGGTGCGGACGAGCAGGCTCCTCGCCGGCGCGCCCTCCCCGCCGGGCACCAGCCGCCGGAGCTCCCGCACCTTCCGCCTCAGCGCCACGCCGCTCCTCCGCGCCGCCGCCGGCCTGATCCTCCTCCTCCTCCCGCCGCTCACAGCCAGGCGCCTCATCTCCATCTGTCAACGACGACGACTACGATGGCTAGCTAGGTAGGTAGGCGATGGCGATGAGGTAGGAGAGGCAATGGCGAGCTCGCCGGAATATATAGCGAGAGGGCGGGGAGGAGGTGGTGGCGCGGCGGGGGTGGCATGTGAAGCTGGAGGCGCTTTTGCTTTTGGGGTTCGGCTCGCGCGAGCGGCGGACGTGGAGGAAAAGCGAGGGAAAGAAACAAGTAAAAAAAAAAAGCGCGGGAGGGGAGAAAAAGAAGGGAAAAAAAAAGCGCGGGAGGGAGTGGTGGGTGGTTAATCGGGTGGGGCCCGGGCGTGGACGCCACGTCTTGTCTGATTGTCTTCCACACGTGTCTGACAGCTGTTCACTCTTGTAATTAACTAAAGCTTCTTTTTTTTTCTTTTTTCCTTTTTTTCTTTTAGTTTTGATGAGAGAGATGATGAGCTTGCGTTATCCGGCGGATCGATGTCGGCCGGCGAAGGCAGTTGGGATCACGTAAGCACCTCCAACTTTCCAACTTTCTGCGGGTGAAAAATTGGAAGCTACTAAATCCGTCCAAAAAAAAGTAAATGTTATGATTGATTGGGATAAGAATATGTATGAAGAAATTAAATAAGATGTGAGCGTACATAATTAATTTAATGAGAAAGCGCTTAAAATGTTGTTGTATTCTTGACAGATTTTGATAGCTAGAAGTTATTATGAGATAAGAGGAGCAGATTATTGACCCCAACTCTTGCTATCCTAAAAACATATACCGTGAAGTGTCTAATCTATGGTGGAGAATTTTATATGATTCCATGGACTAACCATCGTCAACATTAAGATGTCTGTTTTCGATCATCAATTTAGAGGTCTAAAGGAGCCGGTCCTCTTTTTCTAAATTATCAGAATTATTTATGGCAATGCTTTTAGGAGTAGTATGATTTTTAGGAAAATTTTATGTCAACATTTGCGTACACCGCTCTTCTAAACTACTCTTTCCGTCCAAATATCAGCATATAAAGGAGCACAAAGCCAAGGAGCACAATAACTTGTCCAAATAACTTTGTCGGCTACAATAACAAGGAGCACAAAGCTCCCTCGTAATGCATTTAATCCGCACGGAAGCGTGTAGCGTGCGTGGGCGGAGACGGACGGGGAAGGGGGTGGGCACAGTGTGGATAAAACATGGCGCGCATGGACTGCTTTATGCATTAGGAAAACGGTGACGCATTAATATGAGCATCTGCAACGAAGAAACACCAACATTGTACACAAGAAAAATATATGCTCCCTTCGTTATATGATGATCAATCCTATATTATTTTTTCCCTTTTTGCTTATATGGCTATCAATCTTAGATGGAGAGACGTACTAATGTACTGTATATGGTTTATAATAAGTCCCTGTAAACAAATCCACATTATACATCATGCTTCATTTGCATTAATTTCATCGGAAAAGAAAGGTTCACGATGCCAATAATTATTGAGTACCACCATGATGAAGTGAAGATATTGCCATTTTGATGCTGATCTATGAACGAATTCCATGGTTCCACCAATTGCTTCTTCAGATCACGAAGATAGCTACTCTTAACTTGCATCTTGACCATTTAGGGAACAGTTCGGTTGGCTTTTTACCCAACTAGGAAAGTAGCCCGCGCATTCGTGTGGGCATGCATGCATCATAGGTTGTGATTCAAACACTGTAAGGACAAAATATAAATTGGAGGATATTTCCGGAATCGGAAAGGAAGCCGCACATATGCACGGACATCTTATTTATTATTCAATAAAAAGAATACTAAAATAAATCATATGTCAGTATATACATATACAATGTAAGCCTGTAACGGGATGTAGATTATCCTAAATAAAAAAAGAAATATATTTGCCTTAAAATAGATGGTAGATTACTAAATGTGATAAGAATGTCTCTCAGATTTAAATAAAAATCCTTTGTCTCGGTCATATATAAACTCGTATTTTGTCACTACTACTTATTATCATTGTTTTGAAAGTTAGGTGCACTTTTAATAAAGGAAATTGTATTTGTACCATTAAAATAAATGATACATTATTAATACGCTAAAAATATCATCTACACTGCATAACTCGGTGTTCATAACTTATTTTCACATCTATATATAAATAGTCTAAAAATACAATATCTACCAGATAATACGATAACACTGTTAAAAATATTCATGAATGTTTTTCTAACGGATGAAGTTGACTGTAATTGCCAACCACGTAATGCCTTGAAACATGGGACTCGCATCGATGTAGTCGTACCCCTAAAGACCATCTTAGAGTACAACTTTAACACTTACTCTGTCCTTCTTAAATTGATCATCATATATGTTTATGCACCAAGATCAAGGATAATTTAAATCACATTAATCAAGATACCATGCACACATTCTCCCATAATACATGCATCGATTAAAACACCATGCCAATTACACCTCAGCATGCACACATTCTCCCATGCTGTATTAATTATATTCTGATGAAATCCATGTACATACGGTTATATGATGATCAATTTAATAAATTTTAAATTCCATTATATGATGATCAATTTAGGAATAAGGGAGTAATTCACTATTGGCACACTCACAAATGATTGCATTGGTAAGTATGTCATTTTAGTTACATTGGCTACGATGGCCTTTCAAAACATCACCTAACTCAACCATGTACATGCCCCTGCAATATTTACAATGGTATAGCAAGTACTACACCCAACATTGAAGGACACAGAGGTACAGAAATGAGGAGGTGACGAAAACAATGTTATTTTTAAGTTTTGAGTCGATTTGTGGTAAAAAAAAAGACAATTATGCATGTTTGCCAATCCTACTTGGCAAAGAAAATACATGCATGGATAATTATAATTCTCATGATGAATTAAGGGGTTGTATTGTACCAAAATAACTATCTAAATCTTATTTATTGATTGATTTATTCACATCTATCTGTCATGTATGATTCTCTCTCCTCAAATAGCAATCAAAAATTTTTGAAAAATTTCAGATACTTAAAATCTCAATGTCACCCAAAATAAACCTCAAATGATCCATTTAAAAACCAAAGCTAAATTATGTAGTTTTATTATCGCAAAACCATTGTCTAAAGGTTAATTTAATTTTTCTCATCTATCTATTATTTGTGCTTCTCACTCGTCAAATAAGAATAAAAAAGTTTTGAACAATTCAGAATCTCAATCCTTCCAAAATTAAATAAACCTAAACAAATGTACTTAAAAACACAATGCTAGGTTTTGTCAGACGGTTGCTTTGACATTTTCTCTATCAGAGATTAAGTTTAATGTGCATATCTGTGTAGTGTTATTTTTAACAAAATTATAGTTTAAAGGTTGTTGACAGCACATCAGTGTGATTTCTCACGATTAGTATTTATTTCCGATTCTATGCACGTGTGCATGTTTTCTTTTATTTATTTGGCTTTATATTTTTTTTCTTTATTGTATATGGTGTAGGTATTTAAGTTTTGTTTCTTCAGGACGGAGACAATCGTATGATGTACGCACGTTATGTTTTTTTTTGGAAAGAGATTAGCAATGGGATTTTTAATAGATCTAATCCAATGTTTAAAATAATGGCTCCACCAATTTAAGTGAAGATTAAAGGGTCGGATGCTTTTTTTCTCTGAATTTCTAGGATTTATCTAATTTATTATAGTGCGGCGTGACAACGTAACACAATTTGTAGGACGTTTAATTTACTTTTATTATATAATAGATTTCTAATATTTCTCTAATTTATTAGAGAGACACGTAGCAACGTAAGAGTGTTCGTAGTAAGTTTAATGTACTTTTAGCATATATATAGTTGATAGATATATAATAGGTAAATTTATAAGATGATTTAAAGAACATTGATTGGATATTTATTATAGATCTTAATTTATGTAAATATATTTATATTTGTGAAGTAAATAATTTTTTTCTTTATATTGTAGAAAATCATATTTTAAAGACCGTAACATTTGGAAAGCTTTATTGTTTTATTTTCAGTATATATATATATATGGAAGAACAGCAGAAACGTTTTGTATCGTATATAATAAACTTTATGGCTGAACAGTACCGCTTGTATGTTATAAAAATATGAGAAAGTTATTATTTTTTAATAATAGATCTAATCTAACGGTGTAAAATAACGGGTCCACCAATTAAGTGAAAATCGACGGTAAGATTAGATAGTGCTATGTGGCGACTTAGGAGCGTTTGTAGGAGTGCCACGTGGCGGCTTAGGAGCGTTCGTAGGAGGTTTAATGGACTTTTAGTATATAATAGATAGATAGATAGATTCACACTGGTGGAGAAACCATCTTTGGTCGGTCGACCAGATTTCACAATAGTCCCGGTTGTATTAAAAACCGGGCCTAAAAACATCTTTAGTCCCGGTTTAAAAGCTCCAGGGGTACTTTCCAATCTTTAGTACCGATTGGTGTTACCAACCGGGACTAAAGATCTATCTGTAGTCCCGGTTGATAACTAAAGATAGTCCCGGATTCGTAGTCCCGGTTGGAAAATCGGGACTATATAGGGGTTACGAACCGGGAGTAAAAACTACTTCTCCACCAGTGTCACTGTGGATGGATGGAGTTTCAATAAGATTGTGCTTAATTACTAATGTGGAATTTGATCTCGTTAACAATATAATATTTCTATTTTTTTCTATAAGCTCGATAAAGTTAATTTGACGATTAATAAAGGATAACGTACCTTAATTATATTCTGAAACAGAGGGAAGCTGCTTTTAAATTAACCATATACATATTGACCAATTGTACTATATCATCCTCCAGTAATCTTAATCTTGATTATCTGCCAACAAAGCCAACAAGGCAACAAAAGGATAACGAGTGGCTAGCGCGCGGCTGTAGGAAACTAGGAGTCTATTATAAAGTCATCTTAACTTGTAGAATTGTAGCAAGACTTCAGTGTGGGAGGATTTTCAGGGAAGAAAAAAAATTAAAGAGGAGAGTTAGTTTCAAGATAATTAATATTGGAACTAACTTTTTACACCAACAATGTATAGTAATGGGAAAATAAAATCATGTACAACATTTATTCAAAACAAAATCATATAGGATGATTACCTGATCACAAGTTTTTGAAGTACCACTGAAAGTTTAGACAATTAAGCGCTAGCCTGTTTTTTTTTTTTTGGTTTAATTTCCTTTTGTAAATGAAAGC